AAGGAAAAAAAAAAAAAAAAAAAAAAAAAAAAAAAAAAAAAAAAAAAAAAAAAAAAAAAAAAAAAAAAAAAACGGCAAGATGACCAGCAGAGCACACGAGGACGCCGATATAGGGTTTGGACCAACGTCCGTGGGGCCGAGACAGGGTTGGAGAGACCAATCATACTACTTTTCACGAGAGTGGCACTGGCTCTCACTGGCCATGCAGAACTGGCTCACACTGGCGCCCACTGGACTCAGCCTCCGAAGCCCCCTTCGAGAAGCCACCGATTCGCAGTGGGGGCGAATTAGAATTAATCTCTCATCGGAGGTATCTGACCCCCCGTAGGAAAATAATCAGTTGATATGCCCGATGTAGTATTGTCTCCCTATCTGACAGTCTTGGATCTTGATCTATATCGGGGCACTCCGTACGGGGTACAGAGTACACCATGTGCTACGAGAGTTTATCTGAGGGCGTAGAGGAAAAGGTCACCTAGCAAATCAGACCGATTCCGATAACAGGCTTAGGGGCATGCTGCAGAGACTAGGGGTGCGCTAACAGAGTCAGCAATGAAACTGGGCCGAAAGTGCCCTGTCGCGCCGATTCACGGCAAGTTGGCCATCCCGCAAGTACAGTCCTTGTTTTCGATCCAGTGAGAGGATCTGGCAATATAGTACTCCGTGGTTCATAGGCTCTTCGAATTCCCCTATTTGGTGCTAGATTCCATCCCAAAAGTCTATAGCCACTTTGAGTGCCTGGTGCCGAGAGGCTGCCTGGAATGTGTCGTAGGCTTGGGTTGCCTCGGCGCAGGAGAAGTCTAGAAAGTCAGCTCCATCCATGCGAAACTGGCGGAGAAAATAAGGACATACGATGGGTCACTAAAGAGCCAATGTCTAACTGTCCCGACTCCACTAGTCGCAAAAGACGAGGTGTCGTCGTGGCGTTGACCAAGGACATATGAATGCCTGGAGGTGTTAGTGCAAACACAAACAAACATTTCACCGTGTGGGCTCACTAATGTTGCGCTCCCACAATGTCTCCAGATGAAGATCCACCTTGGTTCCGTGCACACCCACGTTGGCAATGCGACCCCCGATAGCCACCACCCTCTGACACAAGCCGAATGTGGCGGGGATTCCTACCGCTTCGATGACCGAGTCAAATCCCTGACCCTCAGTGAGATCCATGAGCTGTTGCTCCGCATCCGTCGATCCCGAATTCACCGTCGCATGGGCGCCCAGTCTTCGGGCCGTGGCGAGCCGCGCCTCATCTAGATCCACCACCACAAGGATGGCGGGGGTGTACAGTTGAGCTGTCAGAAGGGCGGCCATCCCCACGGGCCCTGCACCTACGATTACGACCGAGGAGCCAGGCTGAACATCCGCACTCAGGACACCACATTCAAGGCCGGTAGGAAACGCATCCGACACGGCGACCGCAGCGCGGGAATCAACCGACTCGGGCAGCCGATGTAATGAAAGGGTCGCGTGGGGGACACGAACGTATTCAGCCTGTGTGCCATCGATCCGGTTTCCCAGCATCCACCCGCCGTTCATACAGTGCGCGGAGAGACCTCGTCGACAAAAGGGACACGCCCCGCAAGAGGTCATACAAGAGATGAGAACGCGCTCTCCAACGACGAAGGCATCGACCGCAGAACCCAGGGCCTCGATGACTCCGACCCCTTCGTGGCCGAGGACCAAACCTGGCTGGATACTGGGAACGTCGCCTTTGAGGGTGTGTAGATCCGTGCCGCAGATGGAGGCGTGTAATAGACGTACGACGGCATCGGTGGGCACCTGCACGGTCGGCCTGGGACGATCTAGGAGCTCCACGGTCCCGGGGCCTGTGTAGACAAGTGCTTTCATACTCATGATGGTGTGCAAATTCAGTGGCACTTAGGTATATTAATTTGAGTGATCTCGAAAGTTTAGACAGGCAGAAAGGAAAGCCCGGGATTTATAGCATATTGCCTGGTATTAAGTACATCCATGGATGGGATGATCTGTCTGACTCGGCGGCATCAGCGAATATTCGGAGAGCGAGCCGATACTCAGACCGTGACGATCAGGCCCTGAAGCAGGATTACCTGGTCAAAGTGGATAAGCCTGCATAAGTCCGGCGAAGAGAAGTCCATATCCGCCAAGGGTACCGCTGTCAAACTGGAAGTCCTCAGGCTTTTCCTGTCGGTTCCATCTTTGACTTCAGGATGTGATCAGGTTCACTTCCGAACGTACTCCGTGGCATGCTCCAGGTTCTCATATGCAGACAGAGCCATCTCGAAGCGGAATGTCGCGACCAGTCTCAGGTCTTATTCTCTCCAGAGCCTAAAAAGCTCAACAAAACCCAACCCGGGTGAATCAAAATGAATCAATGCCGCAGAATTATTCTGATGGACAACAGCATCATCCAACAAAAGCTAGCTGCGTGCGGGGGCAGATTAAATGGAGTAACAGCTTCATGAAAACTCAACCCATTTTTCGATTTCCCACAAGCTCCACAACTGCAACTTGGATCTTAAGCAACTTGGCGCTGAGTATCTCGAACATCTCGAAAATCATTCGGGCCGGTGTAGCATCATCGTCTTCGGTATATCAAGGGCTTGCGTCATACTCGAGCTCCTTTCGGGCTTTGAAGAACTCGATTGCGCAGTGAAAGGCGGCGGCGGTGCAAGTGACTGCGAAAATGAATCTCTCAGTCTCCGTCTTTGGAAAAAAAAAAGCTTGGGACATCTTATCTAGAGGGTACATTGTACCAGAGGGTGTGGTACCTTCACACGAAACAAACCTCCGATCGAATAGCCGATATTTAACATCGGCATTGACTAACCCTAGATCGGGGGTGATGTCTCCCAAGGCGTTGGTCTAATCCCCAGTAGCGATCCATATTGGCTATGAAATGACGATCGGGGTATGACATCGGTGCATTATGAAATATGCGAAGTACTTCGTCGAGGAGCTGTATCCTCGCTGACCCGGAATCGATTGCTGTCAGTGACACAGAAAATATTGGGCTTTCTGGAAATGATGGAATAATCGTGTGCGCAAGGGGAATTTCGACGCTGCGTGACTCGAACTTCAGCTGTAAGGCATATGAAATCCATGGATGAGCTAGTGCGGGCGTGTTGCCCGCACTCACCCACCTTATCATATTTGGACACCCAATACTTTCATACATGTGCATATTTGATATCCACATCATGGAGTATGTTATCAGTGGCAAATCCAGTTTCTGATGCAATTTTACCGTCTGAGTACTTGGGCATTCAACACACTACAACCCCCGACACTTCTAGGGGTTATACGCAAATCATACCGATTTTCTGGTCTCCTTGAATAGCTACACTGCATCAAAGTTAAGAACAATGACTGTCTTACCACCTACTGTGACTCCCCTACCGTGTCCACCTGGTTCGGACATTGATTTCGGGGCCGAGATTCGAGGGATTGATCTAGAACACCTGAATGGTTGGTGCGATGCAATTCGTTCAAAGTGCACCCGGCTGATACAGAACAGATGAGCAGTTTCAAATGATAAGAAAAGCCCTCTATGAGCATCATGTGGTGGTGTTCAAAAACCAAAAAGGACTTTCACCCAAGGCTCAATATGAATTGACCAAGCGCTTTGACCCGGCCTCCGAGAACTATGGACACGGCAAAACCATTGACGCAAAGAGAAGTATTTTGCATCCGGACCTGAAAACCGTGCCTCATCAGCCACAGGTCCAGGTGATTGGGAATGGGCAAGTTCAGTCATATGAAGGCCTAAAGGATATTCAGCTGCGCCACCCTCACCACCGAACATTTCACCAAGATCACATCCCCGATGACAAAGATTATGATTTCACTCGGTTCTATCGCTGGCATATTGATGCTGCTCTGTATGACCTATATCCGCCTCAGGTGACGACACTGTTGGCTGTCCAGGTGCCAAAGGGTCGCCGTCAAACACTTCTGTATGATGACGGAACGGAGGAAGCAATGAACGTTCCCCTGGGTACGACCGCATTCGTGAGTGGTGAGCGGATGTTTGAGCTTCTCTCGCCTGAGGATAAGGAATTCGTTCGAACGAGCAAGATCGAATATGCACCTCACCCGTAAGATCCGATTCTCATATTGTATTCATTACCATTGTTTTAACCTCAATGGCAGATACATCTGGATGAGTGCAGCCCGCTCTCGATCCACCGGATTAGGCTTGCACTCAGAGGGACTCGAGCTGCCAGACTCGGAGTTGCCACCGATCGACCCTAGCAAGATCATGATCTTCCCAATGTGTTGGAAAAATCCCGTGACGGGCAAGTTGGCTCTTCAGATTCACCCGTCCGCCATCTTGCGAATTCACTGCGCTGATGGAACAACGATTGACGACCTAGCCCGGGTCCGGGATATTGTTTATAAACTACAGCGACCGGCCATCAGTCCCCAATATGTGTACCCCCACGACTGGGTGGAGGATGACCTGGTACTGTTCAACAATCGTGGTGTGCTGCATTCGGTTGTAGGTGCATTCAAACCGGACGAGGTACGATTGTTCCGCCAGTGCAATCTGGCGGCTTCCGATCCTCCAGTCGGCCCCTGATTCATCCTGTTTTGTTATGGAATGGCGTTCATGGCGTGTGGAATATTTGGTTCTGGAAAGAGTCCATGTTGATTCAGCCTTTATAGGCCAACATGCCGGGTGAAATGTGGTCCCAAATATTACGGTCGACGATTTGTTATGGTATGGAAAGTAGTATATATCTGCTATGCAAAGTGATATGCATAGTGTAGAGCATATTGCTCACCGGACAATGAAATACCCATTTACAGCGATCTGACTCTCTCTGATTTCATCGGTGACGGATCGAACTCCAATTTTGTGCAGTGGAACCTGCTCGACCAACTTCTGCCCACGTGTAATAATATTGGCAAATCCCTCTTGGGTGCGGTCAATCCAGTTCGTATTCTGTTGAAGTTCCAAGGTATGATGTTCCGCAGCCCACGCCGGGTGGGCGAGAGTGTCTTGCACAACGGATGTATCGTACACATCGGCAAGCATGGCCGCCTCCAAAGCGGTAGCCTGCGCCTCGGCTAGTTGTTTACTCGTATTTCCGGTCGGTGGAGGAATTTCGGCTCGGAGGTACCCCAAAATTCGAACCTCAATTCTCTCGGCTTGTGGAGGACCGGTGTGGAGGAGGCGAAGCGCGACCGTGCGTTTGGCAATCTGTGCCAGATTCACTCTAGCGGCCTGAAGAGGATCCATCGCTCTTACAGACAAGATGGCCGGGCGCCACGCACTCACTGAGGATCCATTGTTTAGTGCAATATCATAACGAGCCCAGCCAAAATAATAACCTCTCAGTTGGTCTGTGATCCATTCGGGGATTTTTGTCAGATTGAATTTTGACGGTTCTTCCACTCTGTCCAGAGATAGTGACTGAGTAGGTAGACAACGAGCTTTGAACGACATTGGATATGGTGGCTGAGGCCCAACATCGATGGAAACCGGTTCGTTTCTCATGAGCTCTGGGCTTGTTGGATTTGGCTGGAATTGGCCAATAGGTCCATGAGGCCCGTTAATTATGCCACCAACTCTGCTTTGGGCTCCACTTGTCGTGTATACTTTTTGAGCCACAGCTTTTGTCACCCTGGAAGGGGCCAAGCGATCTACTCTGGCTTGTATGGCTACAGCGGCAGGGGCAGCTGCGGTGCGGGCTGCGGTTTGGGCATAGACACTCAAAACCATGGCCCCAACCTCTACCGGTAGAGTGCTCAAGCTAGCGCCGCGGATAGAACTCGGGGCAGTGGATGTTGACAGCACACGGAACACAGGGCTGTTGCCGAGCACCTTTTTCTTCGGTCCCTGGCAGAGAACCAGCTGGAAATAGCCATCACCTGCTTCGGAAGGTATGCGTACCACAGAAGTTTCCCGCAGCTCATGTTTATTGCGTGGACGAGTGGTTGCCTTTTTCCGAAACTTCTTAATGTCGCGTTGCCAGGCTCGCTCATCATTTGGAGCCACTTGGTCTGCCCTTAACGGCATCCCGGGCGTCACATCCAGCCAGCTGTCTCTTAGACGAAGGAACGACTTGACCTGCATACCCGTGTTGCCCGACCAACCCCTATTTTGTAACCACAATGTACGGTCGGGTGGAAGAGGTGCATCGGAGAAAATTGAAATCGCAACCGATGTTGTGTTTCCGCGATAGAACACCAAGCCATGGGAATGTCGTAAAATAGTGACATGCTTGTTTGATTCTGTAGGATGATTGATCAGGCCACCGAGGAAATGCCGAGCTTCGGTGTATGCCTTCTGCACTGATGTTGGGCCTTGAGGAGCTGGAGATGTTGTTGATCCAGCCGTCCGAGGTCTTGGTGGCAAGCCTGGACTTGGGGTCCTTGGAGTTCTCGGGGGTGGGCCATATAGGTCGGTATAAGACGGGGGCTGAAGGGGTACCAGAGTTGGGGTACTGGCAGCAGCTGTCAATCCCCGATGATCGGCATACGCCGTAGCCCGTAAGTTGGGGTTGGACACCGGCTTTCTCCTCAGTGCCGGGTCTGGATATTCCGGCTTCAAATATCCTGTCGACATCTTTGACTTCCAAAACCCCCTCGACAAAAAGAAAGGGGCGCCCCAGGGGTTCAATCGGATAGTCCGGGGTCGCGACTGTTATTGGCCCGAGCGTAAATGTGGCCTGAGGCATCAAACGACACAAACCGGGCATGAGCATTCCTAATTCGGGTCTTGTGAGTATGGAACACACCCTATAGTGAATCTCCTTTTCAGTTAGATTCTGATGATTGGTCTCTTGATGTCTACAGGTTTTCTTTGAAGGATATTGTGCAGTGCGGCACTAAGGTGCTTCTAAAGTTGTAGCACTGGTTTTTTTCCGAATAAATTTACCTTTCCAGGACTGGATATGTATATATATGTTACTGACATCGCGATGAAAATATTTTTCGAGAGCAACTTGAGAATGGATCGGATTGATTCTCCGGCCCTGACTCCATGGCTTTTATGGCCAATGTGCTTCTAAGTTCTAAAGTTGGTCCAGATCTGGAGGCATCCGATTGTTGTCTCTGAGTCCTGATGTGATGTCTGCCCAGGTGGGTACGGTTGAGAATCGAGTTCCACGGTTGTCACTTGAGCATTTGCACATGCCGTACTGAGTACTGAAGTACGGAAGGCCCTCACGATCTAGGTACAGAGGTGTGGGCCATGAGGTTTGAACTTTGGAAGAGAGATACCACAGGGGAGTGAAATACTAGTGAAACGGATTCTCGTGCCGACCGAAGCTCGGGCGATCGTCTACAGGTAGACCTAGGTAAAGTTGCAACTTGATTTGTACTTAAGTACTCCCCGCAGGACATCAACCCATGAACAGCTCTTGAGAACGGAGCACGCGCACTTAAGTAGTATGTAGTAGTAAATTGAACCTGAGCTAGGTAATAATGCAGTTTGATTGACGAACGGACTTCAGGAGTGGCCTCTGCCAAGGACTCACGACCATGATTGTAGCTATCCCGACGCTCAAGACCTTGAAAAGTCACATCCCATGAAGACAGTCGCCTGGATTGGGGTTTCATAGTATGGTGCAATTTCCACGAAGCCATGTTTGCGATACAAGGCCTGCGCTGCAGACATTTCGGGCAGTGTGTCTAACCGAACCCCCTTGTATCCCAGCGCCTTGGCCTGAGCCAGGATCGCCTGGACCAATTTATCGCCGAGGCGCTCGCCTCGCGCTTCTTGGAGAACGTACAGGCGTTTCATTTCACCCCAGCCCTCAGTACTGCGGCGTAGAGCTACACAGCCTAAGGCCTGCGACGTGTGCGGGAGCGGTGGGGCGGAAACTGTTGAGTCGCGTTGTGTGGGACTTGGGTCAACGGTCCGCCTTGCGATCAAAAGAGCACCCCCTTGTGAGTGTGCATATTTTCCGGGGAGGGAGTCCAGTTCTTCCTGGAATGACTGAAATGTCAAATCAATGCCCAGTGACGAGGCATAGCCAGAAAACAGGGATCGAGTTGACTCGGCGTCTTCGGGAAATTGCGCGCTCGTTATGTGGATTGCCATGATCAGAGCGAAGTCCAAAGTTCGGAGTACGAGTAGTTCAAGTGATTCAGGGAAATCTACAACTATGAGTAGTCAAAGGGACTGTACTCGAGGACGAGGAGATCATCCCTCAACTACTCGTAAACGGAGTACTCGTATGTACAAGAGAGATCAAATGAAACGATGACTCATGGCTCTGACCAGCCGTTTGAGATGATCTCTCAATCTACCGGAAAGTACGGAGTAAATATGGGTGGGGTAGCAGCCGCTGTGCATTTGATTTTAGAATCCTTCCACTCAACATTGGAAGTTGACATCCATGGCTGTCGGACGCGTCTTGCCCTAGAATCCTTGGAACGATGTCGCGTGGAAGGATTATGCCACGTGACCTTCCCCTGAGCAGGCCTTGGTTGCCCCAGTGGAGAATCTCCAGGAGTTGGCCAATTATTCAGCTTAAACTGGTAGGGCACCCCCACATGTGGCAAAAAAAAAAAAAAAAAAAGAAGAGCATGAAAAAAAAAAAAAAAATACCAACAAAACCCGTGGGACAAGGGAACGCGTACGTGATATTACGGAGTACTACCGAAATATCGGCTCAACAGTGCCGGTGAGGCGATAAATCGTACACCCAGGTGAAGGGCAAAGGGCGTGAAAGGGGCGATGTCGGTGTTTGATGGGAAAGATCTAATCACCTTCCATTTCTAGAACAACGTGTACGAGAGTTAAGCTTCGAAGCCAAATTGACTAGGGTACCGAAATTAGTCTTGAAAACCCGACATCATGCTGATCTCCAGGGGTACGAGTAGCCAAACGTTGATCATTGCGAGAACTCGTTGAATATGTAGTATACTCGTACAACTTGCATATTGTAGCAGCCTGCTCGTACGAGTGCTCGTACTACTCTGGACACTTAAGTACCCACAGCCAGAACCATACCCACCTAGGGAGGTACTCGTAGCTAGGGCTACCGAATGGCGTGACCAGAGGATTTTCACCGAAAACTGGATCACTGTTTCAGGAAGGCGCCGGACGGTGGTCCTTAAGGCCGATAAGGTAAGATCCGGTGCAGATTCGGACTATTGGTTCTTGCCGTGCCCGTATCATTTTTTTTTTCTCTGGCTGGGACTTGGGTTGGTGGCTGTGATTTTCGATTTTCGACTTTCGACTTTGGAAACTGACCATCTTCCATCTCTGCCCATCCCTCCACAACCCGGTTCGACGGTCATCCAATGTCAACAATCAAGAAGGATGGGGGCAAGATTTTGCCGGACAATGGCCCGGTGGATTTGACTTACGACCGGGAGCAGCAAATTTATGAAAGTGGTGTTGAGAAGTTCAATCAACTAGGATGGAAGCGCCTCACGATCGTTCTGATCGTAGAGGCCGTGGCACTCGGAACTCTCTCCATCCCATCGACCTTCGCAACTCTCGGCATGGTCGCAGGTGTCATCTGCTGTGTCGGTATCGGTCTCATCGCGGTCTACACCAGTTACATCATCGGTCAGGTCAAGGTCAAATTCCCCCAGATCTCGAACTACCCGGAGGCAGGCAGAATGATGTTCGGCCGCTGGGGATATGAAATCGTCTTCGTCATGTTGTGCTTGGAGCTGTTGTTGTCCGCCGGGTCGCACTGTCTCACCGGTAAAATCGCATTCGAGAACATCGTCGGAGGCCACATCATGTGCTCCGTCATTTGGGCCTTTATCTCCGCCATCATCTTGTTGCTCCTTGCGATCCCCCCGAGCTTTTCCGATATGGCCATCCTAGGATATATCGACTTCGTCTCGATCATCATCGCGGTCGGAATCACAATCATCGGAACCGGTGTGGAGGCCAGTTCATCGACTGGCCTGGCAGCCGTGAATTGGTCAGCCTGGCCAAAGGATAACCTTACCTTTGCCGAAGCATTCATCGCCCTCTCCAATATCATTTTCGCCTACAGTTTCGCGCTATGCCAATTCTCCTTTATGGATGAAATGCACACGCCTACTGACTTCCCGAAGTCCGTTTGGGCTCTCGGTCTCGCGGAAATCGGTATCTACACTATTACTGGTGCATTGGTGTACGCCTTCGTTGGTCAAGATGTTGCAAGCCCGGCTCTGCTTTCTGCTGGTAACCTTCTGAGTCGTGTTGCGTTCGGCATTGCACTCCCGGTTATCTTCATCAGTGGCTCTATCAATACGGTGGTGCTGGGTCGACTCGTCCACGGTCGTATGTTCAAGGACTCCAACATCCGCTTCATCAACACGAAACTTGGATGGGGTACCTGGCTTGCCGTTGTCACAGTTTTGACCATCCTGGAGTTCATCGTGGCCGAGGTCATTCCATTCTTCGACGATCTCTTGTCCTTGATTTCGTCACTCTTCATCTCTGGCTTCACGTTCTATTTCCCGGCTATCATGTGGTTTATGTTCATCCGCGGTGATAGCACCTCCAAGGGCATTAAGTTGCTTCTTGACGTGGTGAACGCCTGTATCCTGGTTATTGGCCTGATCGTCCTCGGTGCTGGAACATACTCCAGCGTTGTTGATATTGTAAGTGGCCTTCGTTTGTTTTCTCCTTGCGCAAAGACTAACAATTGTTTGAAAAGATTAACTCCTATGCCGAAGGTTCTGTTGGGGGAGTGTTTTCCTGCACGTCATGAATTTAGTACTGTCTTGAATTTAGTACTATCTTGGATTTAGTACTGCATGGTTTTGTATAGATATAGATAACATTATAGACGCATATTTCAACTGTAACTTTAGAGCATCAATTCCAAGTTTTGGCACAATTCAATGTCAGTTTCGCCGATGCTTTACTACTAAGTAAGTACGTAGTGTTGCTGAATTCCTTCCAAACCTTGAAAGTTCTAAAGTTCCAAGGTGGGAGCCCTGGAGGCTGATTCCAGACCGGCACAGTCTATTTTGAACCTATACTTCTAAAGTTGCGATGTGCATCCGTGCTCAACCTTGGAACTTTAGAAGTGGATAGATAGCAAAATCAACGTCTCAGGTAAAATCTACCGAACATTCCAGCAACGCGCCTTGAAGTGGACGTGCTGTTCTCTGATTGACCACGTGACCGTGTCTTGCGGCCCAGTGTATGAGTACGAGTCTTGATCCCAGCAGAAAGCGTGGGTTACTTCTAAAGTTATGTAGACATATAATTAAACTTCAGCGTGTCATGTATGATCCATGGAAGTCTTGTTCCAATGTCGGGCTCTTCTAAAGTTCCAAAGTTCTACTTGGTTGGTGTTCACTTCCAAGGTTTGGGAATGGTTGCATTTATAGATGTGCACTATATATTTTAGCAGTCTGATTCAACTAGCCTCAACTCCTAATTTTACCTAAGTCACGATTAGAATACAAAAGGCCAGCTGCACAGCTTCAGATCAACTCAAGTACTTAATGATCAATACAGGATACTTGAAAGAAATAAAGATTGTATTGAATGGAAACTTGAAAGCAAACTACAGGTGTCCTGCAACATGAAGCCTGAGATTTCAGGCACCAAACCGGTGAAGGGAAGGGGCACGGACTCCAGGAGGTCTCTTAGAGCTGAAGTCTGAGTGAATATTTAAAAAAACAACAGCCTTCTGCGTCATATTAAGGCAGAGACCATAAAGCATGGGGAACGGAGTACCCGCGGTGGCTTTTGGGCTTGTATGGATATAGAGAGATGGATTGAGGACACAGCTGCAACAACCTTAGAAATTAGGAAAATTTCGGGATTTGTATACCGAATCCTCAATCGTTCAAGTCGGGTTCTCGTCTTAAGTTTAATATATAGGATAGAAAAAAGAAATGCCTGGGCATGATTTGATTTCTAAGGTCGTACGAGCCAAACCCTACTGCCGAGGTGCGGCTACCAGCACGACAGTGCGTTGCGCCTCCGGGGCTAAGAGCTTTGTACCCACCCAGGCGGAAATAAGCACTGGGCGCCCCTGGTTGCTATTGGCGAGGATGTTTGACCCTGGGTTTTCTAGATCCAAAGATCTGGGGTGTTGTCAATCCTCGTACACGACTGGACTTCGGGGAAAAAGGGATGAGTTCCGATGTCTTTATTGGTCTGAATTGCCCAAGTGGTGGAGACAATCTATGCCGTGAGTATGTTAAGCATACATTCTTCGGCACTCGCATGTTGAGAGCCAACCAATCCGGAGCATCGAGTGTCCCCACCTGGAATGTTTCCCCTTGCTGATGATCGAAGGAAATTCCCGATTCAGTTCATTGTCAACAATTGCTGGGAAGCTGCTGGACAGGTGGTTGATGAGTAGAAGGCCATGTGTGAGCATGCCGATTTAGGGAGCGCGGTACGAGCGATGCGAAGGATTTGATATCCAGAATACTGGAGAGGATATTACTGATCGATTTGCTAGATCAATAAACAATTCCAGTGACAGTAGACTGCATACAAGTACGAGTACAGAGTAAAGAGCACTTGTATGGGCAGTACTTTATTCTGAAGAGCCGCTGCGGCATGTATGCAGCATGCATTGTTTGGTGTGAATCTCACTGTGTGGTGAGTCTCGCCCTACATTCCGTCGAGGTTCTCGTACGGTGGGATCGTCCAAGCGGTAGATACAACCTCACACGGGAAGAGGTAGATTTTAGGTATGTCCCAGCACACCAATGCTACGATAAACAAACAAGCAGCAACAAGCGTCGATTCCCCAAAGTGATCGACAGAATGCAGGTCCCACAAGCCCGTTATTTATGAGAAGCTACTGCTGCCCCGAAACTTTCTCTCCATCATTCATGTCGCCCAACTATCGCCAATCTTTCAACGCCTTCGACCTCGGGTGACTCGCTATTGCATCCCCGCTTAATACCTCGCTCTAGTCTTTCTTTTTTTTAATATTTTTCTTTTGAGCCATCACTGTAACCATGTCTTCAATTGTGGCAAAGGGCATGTACGATGCCAGTTCGAACACCAACGGTGGAGGTAGCTGGGCATCCTCAGTACCAGCTAGCCGCCGAACCCAAGATGAGGCAGGACAACAGTCACCCAACAGTCCACAAAGCTCGTCTCAGTTGTCGGGCCAGCAATCCCCATCGAGTAACAAGAACGCCGCCACCCCGGATGATGGCTATTGGCACCCAAACGGTCAACACTCAAGCCAACAGTCCGCATCGAACCCACAGTCAGGGTCGAACCAACAGTCTCCATCTAACCAACAATCGACATCAAACCAGCAATCAACGACGCCACAGTCTACGTCTAACCAGCAAAGCTCATCAAATGCCGGAAGTAACGGCCAATCTTCCTCCCAATCCTCATCTGGGGGCAACGGGGTAACCCCAAACGCCCAAGGCGCTCAAGCTGCAAGCAACGGAGGCACAGCAGGCCAACAGACAGCCTCTGGACAGAATTCTTCCCCGCAGCTTGGCCAGCAGGCCCAGGGCTCTCAAAGTCAAACGTCATCCTCATCTTCGCAAGGACAGGCTGATTCCAATGCGCAGAGCAGTGGACAATACAGCGCCCAATCAAATGGAAACCAGCAAAGCAGCTCGTCTTCCTACGGCAGCGGTCAATCCCAACCCGGACAACAACAGCAGCAGGGTGGCAGCACCCAATCCAATCAACAACCTGCGCCTGCACAACACGGACCAAGCATGGAGGCAGACAGGATCGAGCAGTCTGACTGGAGTCAGACTGCTCCCACAAAAAGCCAGTGGAACTCGGCAGTTGATCCTGCACAGTCACCAACCCCGACCGAGACTCAAGCTCAGCACACCACAGCCCAAGAGGCATCGACGAGCCCCCCTGGGATACCCTCATCGCAATCTCAAGGCACCACGGCCACCTCCGCCGCTGCCAGTGCTGGTATCGCTCTGGCCGTGATAGCAACACTCGGACTCATTGCAGTCCTCATCTTGGTCCCCCTCCACAAGAAACGCAAGCGCCTGCGCAAGCTTCTCGGTCACCACCAAAGAGAAAAGGATATGGACGAGCGCCTGAAAAGGCATATGCACCAGGTCAACGACTACGTCGTAAGAGGCTACACCCACACCCATCGCATGGCTCGGTCAGCGACAGGATTCCTCAGACCTAAACGACACGCCTCGCCGTATGTAGGACATGTATCCCCCAGTCTCGGACAAACCAGTCGCAATGCCTCAACCAGTGAGAAAGTCAACCCAACAATTATTCCCATCCAATCGCCAGAACTGGCTCTGCACCCAGCGTTCGACCATTCGCCCCACCCTTCATTCACATCGTGGTCAACAACAAGATCAAAATCGAGCTGTAACAGCTCTCTGCACCACCCGCACGATGACAGACCACTGTCGCCCACTTCCAACAACCTTGGTCAGTTCTATGGACAAGGGTCGGCGGAAAACCTCAGCATGGGTAATATTGTTGCTGTCAACCCATTGATGAACAAGATCTACACCGTAGAGATGGATTACAAGTCCGGCAAGCCTGGCCAACTTGACCTCCGCGCCGGCCAGCGCCTGACGATATTGCAGGTTTACGATCATGGATGGGTATGTTTCCAAATCTTCCACTACATGCGAGTCACGAAGGCACAGATCACTAATAGATATACACACAGGCCGTTGCAGTACGCCTCGACTCACCTGAAGCAGGACTAGTGCCGCGCTCTCATATCTCTGCCGTCCCTGACGAGCGCCCTCTTGCATGCAGCGATGAACTCGCCCCATCGCAGCGAAACTCCATGGTTCAGCAGCCACTTGGTGCGCTGACCTCGCGCTTCTATTCTCTCTTTTCCCAGCCGGAGCCGCATCGGAAGCCCTCATCACCTGTCTAGACAGACATTTGATCAATGTGCGGTTTCATTTAGCCCAAAGCGATTTTTCCCTTATTCTTCATCCACACGTTCACTTCAAGTACATAGCCAAAATCCTAGATTTCAAAATACAACCCCTGGCACCGGGCTATTCGACACTTCGTTCACTTGAAGGACCCCCACTCGTTCAGGTTGCGCTACGAGTAGGCTGGCCTTCCACGTTACGCTACTGAAGTCCTAGTCTTTCATTCCACCTCAAACTCACCCTGAGGTGGCATTGAATGTAGGAGCCAGAAGGTAGCACTAGAAAGTTACTATAGGTATGAGCCAAAAAGGCCTTTCTTCTGTACATCAATTCCAAGTGTTCCGTTGCCACGGTGATGGAGACCTGCGCACAACATTCCACTCTCAGCGCGGAGTATGTGATATGTCGATTACTGATCATTTCAAGCCAAGCGATAATGTGGTATGTGATGACTTGGAAAATGATCTATTCCCTCTACTCCATCAGCCGTGGACACCCGATTGTCGCGGTGGAGGCCGAATGATTGGATTACAGCCTGCCAACAAATTGGCCCCCAAAATGTGTCCTGTCAATGGGCCACTTTCGCCCGCTTGAACCCCCAGGTCGACACGAACTCGTCCGAATAATGGCAATTTTGATAGATGCGCGATCAAAATGCGCGCTGGTCCGCTCGTAGCAGACTTAAAAGGAAAGCCTGGTGTCGCCTGGCTATTCCTACTCAAATTCCCCAGACAATCCGACCAAACGATAGCTGGAACTGAACGAGGAAAATAAGGCACTATGGAGCAACTGCTCGACTTTCTCAGTCAAAACCCTCAGATACACCATGTCATACCCTCTTCCCCAGATTTCAACAATCTTCGCTCGGGGTATGTGATTGACTCTATAGTACCGGCAATCATAGTGCGACCTCGCTCGGCAGATGATGTCGCAGGTCTGGTTACCATCCTTAGGAACAACTCTCTGGCCTTTTCAGTTCGGGTTGGCGGTAGTGACATGTTCAACCGGTTCCATGTTAAAGACACTGTGACGATCGATCTACGAGAAATCGCCCACATAAATGTGGATCGAGAAAGCCAGACTGCTCGGATAGGTGGAGGTGTCATTATTTCGGACTTACTCAGGGTCCTCGACGAGCATGGCATGGTTGCGCCACATCCAATTATTTCAAGTGTTGGATTTGCTGGTTGGGCCACGCACGGGGGATATGGCCTTTTGAGCTCCGAGTACGGTATGGGCGCCGAACAAATTCTCCAGGCCAAGATAGTTGGCGCCGACGGAGCTGTTCGCGATGCGGACGAAGACATGTTGACTGTAATTCGAGGCGGCGGAGGAGCATTGGGCGTGATTATCGAGTTGACCATCAGAGTCTATCCTTTGACTCAGGTATGCATGCTTTGCTTCGTTTTACCAGGCTTCTTTAATTGCTAACTTTTTCGACAGCTGCTTGCGGGTTTCATTATTTACGATTCCGAAGACTTGCCCATGACAATTAGACGATACAATGATGCCTATCGCCAGCAGAAGGAAGCTGGAATTCCTAAAGAACTCAATCTCTTCCAGTCAGTCACGAACGGCCCTACTGGCAAGGCCATGGGTGTCATCTTTGTTTGGGCATCCTCTGACTTTGATGCGGGACAAAAATGGCTGTCGATAGTGAGCTCATGGTCTCACGTGGCCATGAGCACTGTAGCGCCTACAACGATGAGTGTATTCAACGAATCAACAAAGACGATTGCCCCCCAGTCTGCCTATGGGAAATCTCTTACCTTGAGTCTTCGTGAACTCACTCCTGAAGTGGTGGAGATCATATGCAAACATGCATCTTTCCAGCCCAACAGCCCAGCCACCATCTTTGGTATGCACGAGCTGCGTGGATGTGCTCCACAGCCTCCCCTGAATACCCTCATAGCCCACCGTCACCCACATTTCGTCATGGAGCTGTTGCCTACGGTTCGTGACGCTGATTTGCTCGATGCCGCAGTGGCCTGGGCCCATGAATTCTATGAGGATCTTATGAAAACTGATCCTGCGAATATCATGGCCTCGACTTACCTTCCGCTTACTGAACCTGGCAAAGTCAATATGAAAGGTATCTTTGGGGATAAGTATGAATTTTTGAAAGTGATGAAACATCGACATGACCCGGACAATGTGTTCAAGCACGCATTAGTGAGATTGTAACCAAATTATTCACATTTGTCACGAAATTAAAGATGAAATCTAAATGTTAATGCAATATTGTCTTTCATTAAGGTACAAGATTTGAACCACGAAATCCGTAAAACGCCAAAACCCCAACTCCAAAAACCAACGAGAATCTCATGAGTCGAAATCAACTCTATTGGTAAACGACAGTGAATTCATGGTTGCCTGAGACTTCGACATGCGCCTTGACATCGCCGTTCTGCTGAATGTCCAAGATGGAGGCATCCTTGACACCGTAGGAAGATCCGTCATCGGCCTTGGCCTCGGCACCAAAAAAGTCAACCCGGTCAAAGTTGGCCAGAGGAACCATGGTGTTGCCGGAGTTGAAGTCCTCAACGATCCACTCGGCATTTTGACCGGCCAAAGTGGCGGAGGCGGAGGGTGCTTTCAGAGTCTTGGTGGCACTCTTTCCGCTGGATTCGTTCTTAATGATAGCGACTCCCTCACTGGGCGAGGAGGATTCGACTATCGCAACGATGACATCTCCCGCGGTCAAACCCAGGTCGAAGTTTTCCGCATTGTTGGGGTACCACTCGTACCATGCATCGAAGGATTGCTCGCCATTTTGAATGTATGCGTCGATTCCGGTCTGCAGAATCGCGTCTGTGTAGGTATCTCCATCTATACCGACCCAAGCGGACACGGCTTGCATATCGTTGGAGTTATCGGTTGCCGTTGGCGTTGGGACGGTGAAAGTTGCTGAAACGGCAGTGTATGTGCCACTTGGGGGAGGCTTCTCACGAACCACTCCAGCCCAGTTCTTGCTGTATGCGACATTGGACCCATCGGTTCCCTCCTTGAGCAGAATGCTGTTTTTCTCAGCTGGGATGGACTGGCGGGACAGAGCACCACGAGCGTGCATGCGATCAAGCAGGCCACTGCGGGGAGCAGCAAGAGAGCTACCTGCCAGCATCACAGTGGCGAAGAGTGTAGTAGTAACCTTCATGTTGGCGGTTTGAAATTGAGAGTGGGTTGGATGCTGGAAGGCGTTGAGAGTAGGGAGATAAAGTTGAGCTGTTGGAGACCTGGTTTGTTTGGAGACTGGCCTGCGCGATTCTTATGTACTAGATTTGATGCAAAATGCATGCGGTGCACCACAATTAAAATCCGCATGAGGAAATGAAGATCACAGTATAGGACCGAGCAAGGAGTGACTCTCTGCACCAGATGAGAGATGACCATGGACCCGCCATAGTGAACACGCAAGAATACAGTTAAAATGGAAGAACATCACGTTTTCACAAGCATTCGGTTGACGTTTTGGGAGAATCAAGGCCCTGGACCATTCTGAGTTTCAAGCTGTGCTGATCTTGTCAGTTTTCCTCTGAGTTGCCTTCACATATTCTCAGATTTTGTCTTTCCGCTATCGTCACCAGGAACGATGTAGATTGACCGAAGCAGCTGAAACGAGCTTGCGTGTCCCGGGGAAAGAAGCATTCCTGACGACAGAAACATCTGATAGCGACGGATCCGATGACGATCGACCCCAGATCCCGACATTCTCTCGGCCACGAGATTCGGCATAGTGTACGGAAGTGAAAGATTATATCCTGCAAGCCGTGCAGACCATTGCCTGCCTACAAGTATTCGATTGTAGTAGTTGCGTTGATGTTGTTTTCCCAGGCGCCCTTGTCTGCTGCAGGGTGGCCGAAGTGCTGCTTTAGCGGAAACGGCAATGGCTCAACTTGAATTGAATAGTATTTAGAATTTTGAAATAAAGTATGAATCGTGATTTGGGTTAGAAAGAATGGAAGAGCGAACGCCTCTCCACGGCCATATCGATGCCAGGGACGTCATTCGGGCGATGCAGTTCGCGGCGCCAGTCAAGGGATAGCGACAGTCGACATTCCTCAGTGCCTCACATCTGCTTGTGATTGGCTGGGCTTTCCGAATGAACTCTGCGAACAGCAAATCATGTTTTAAATGAAAGTCTTCGCACATTGGGTCGAGGGACACTGCGCACACAAGACGTGTATGGCATGTCTGGGGCAGATGGTCTTCATCTGCCAAAGCCAATCTTGCGCCTGCTGATCGGCACTCAATGTTGTCGGACCGCCACACGAGGACACCAATTCTTTCCAAGGTTGAATTTGCGCATAACTCGTCTCATCGTGTCGCGTGTCATCTACCGATGACCCCATATTATCATACTAAGAGTAGCAAGTAGCCAAAGCCGCGCAATAGTGCCCCGTTTGAGTTCCCCGGGGCAAATATCTTGGGCCAAGGCGAAGGGTTGATACAGAGAGGCAAGCCCCTGGGTGAAGACAGAGGACAGCAGAGACCTTGGGCCAGAGAGGTCTCCCAAAAGGCAGATCAAACATGTTCAAACATTTTAAATACCAAAACCTGGCACCATTTGCCTCGAAGCACGGTAGCTGTGCGCTCTTTTGTATTCACCATTACATTGGAAGGCGTCGCATCTCGTCCAGCGACCAGAATTTCCGCATGTTGGCTGCCTCGAGCGTTTTGACTTCTTGGTCCAAGTGCGTCCACAGTACCTTTCCAAACCCATCCATCAGTCGTTTGACCTCGTCACGACGCATGTCCTCCTCACCCGAGCGGCATTTCTCGAGATAGCTCTCTAGTTTTTCAAGCCCAGCATGAATCTGTCGGTGCTGACTCAACAGCTCAAGCTCTTTTCGAAATTCGGGCATCTTTTTGGCCAAGACAGGAAATATGTGCTGCTCCTCGATAGAGTGGTGGAAGTCCAACTGTGAGCAAAACTGAAGGCCCATCATGATCATTTGGCGGGCCGAGAGCGCCCGCTTGTTATTATTCTCACAGGCCTCCCAGAGCTGATTCCATGTCAAGCGGAAATGGCTGTGCTATACCAAATGTTAGCTATTTTAATACCATCCACATAGCCCAGTGTGACTGGCAGAATGCTTACAAAGGCTTCCATTTGCTCAGACATGCGGTTATAGGTGCGAAAATCACTCGCCGACAAGGGGAGGGGCTCCCCCGACTCCGGTGTCACTTTCTTGGCATCCATTGTATAGTCCGACGAGAGTCTTGAGGGGATATAGAGATACGAGTAAACAGGAGAGAAGTGTGCGCGGACAAATTGTGGGCGCACAGGGAAACGAAAACCACGCATGAGACGGCAATTGAGTTAGTATAAATACCGAAATGATGAAGATCTGAAAGAGCTGGTCTAAATGAAATCTAATGAATCTAGTCCGTAAGAGAGCATGACAGATGCTGAGAAAGCAGAAATTTCTTATTCGACGGGGCGCCAAGCCCATTTCGGGAATTGTCCGTTCTGACATCGCTGGAGTACTCAGGACAAGCAAAGAGCACCTGGGGCAGGTTTACAGGAGAATCTTTTTACAGGTGGATTCTTTTCCAGGTTTCAGACAATTTACATCTTGCTCAGAATCTTCACTGACATTTGCCATTTCGGGCCAATCATTCGAGACATCTAGTACGGAATACTCTAGCGCAAACTAATCTCAATTCCCAAATGACCACTTTTGTAACACGGCCTCAGCCACCGGAACGATCGCAGGTTGTCACCCGTGCGAAATTTCAATGGGATTGACAATGGAATTGACCAAGGGGCACGGGCGAAGAGAGAAAAAATTGTATGTTATTATCAATACACATCGGGGCGCAGGGTGGGAAGATAGTAAGACAGTGGCCGCCGAGGGGGGAATCGAAAATGGAATCGAAAATTAAACAGTTAAAAGTCGTAACGCCGTGGATATGGAGGCGACTCAAAGTTCGCCGTGCGCAATCGATTTGGGAGGACGGAAGTTGCCTTGGGTAAGCTCCTTGAAGGCAAGGTCGAATCGTGCACCCATCATCCAGGCTGCGAAAATCATCAGGCCAGCGACGATGACAACAATCACACCCATCAATCCCATCATGAACCAGATGTCGTTCTTGTTCTGGTCGTCTTCTTCCTTCCGCTTGGCCTCGGCCGCAGTCAGCTCGCCAGTGACCTTGCGCTGAGCAGCCTCAGCGGTTTGAGTGGGGAAGATGGTTTCAATGAACTTCTCGATCTGACCACAAACAATGCTGATCTTAAGGAAGTTGGGGTCCTTGGGGGTGTTCTTCTTGTGGATTTTCCGGGTGTATTCCCGGAAGCTATCACAGAGAACGCTGAGGTTCTGAGTCGACTTGTGCATGAGATGACAAGCGTCTCCCTTAGTAATCTTGATGTTCTTCTTGAAGATATCGGGGTTACGGAAACACAATTCCATGGTGGCAATAGCCATGGACTGCGGGATGGCGCAGAAGTTGAAGACACTCTGCTCGCGGAGACCAGCCAGGTAGAAGAGACATTCCTCGGCATGCTCGAGGGCATCCAAAACCATCTCAGAGCTACAGTTGAGAGCGGCATCAAGATGCTCTGGCTTGAAGAGATCCTCGAAGTTGTCGACGTGCTTAGACCAAATCTCCTGGGGCCAGAATCGGCGGTTGTCGTCGAAATCCTCCCGGATATCGCGGATGATGTTGGTCTTCTGAAGGAAAAGTCCCATGGACTTGTGGAGTCGTGGCCGCTTCATGAGTGCGGGGTTTCCGAACTCCGCCTCCACAAACAACCGAGTGAGACCCTCACCGACCAAACCGGCGACGTAATAGCAGTACAAGTCGTACTCCTCCTTGGTCTTCACACTAGCGTCATCAGACTCGGCCTTGACCGCGTAGTCAGCCATACCATTGCCCATTCTGTCGGTGATGTCCTTGATGATGGTCTGGTACTCGGGCTTCAAGTTCATGAACTCGGTGACGACGTGGTTGAACTGAACAAGCAGCTCGCGATCCTTCTCCTCCGGTCGGTTGCCGGTGAAGTTCCATCCCTCCTGTGTCAGGTAGTTCTTGAAATCTCGCAAAATGGGCTCTTTGGTGACCAAGGGGATGGAGGTGTCATCTTCGACGGTGTCCAGTCCACGGAGGACCAAATAGAAGATGCAAACAGGCATCAAAAGCTCCGGGTGGAGCTCCTTGATCACAGCGCTAAAACTCCGACTGGTCAAATCGAGGAATTTGAAGCAAAGCTTTTGATTTTCGGTCTCGTTCTTTTCGTTGCGCTCATGGGGCGGGTTGTGCCAAACTTTCCTGTGCGAGGATCAAGGGTTAGGTTCGGAGAAATGCAGTAAGTATGCGCATCTAAGAGTACCTACCATTGAATGATTGCCCTCAACTGCATAGGGTGGAAGGAGTAATAGAGGGCATTGCCGATGAAACCCATGATGGGCGAAGAAGACGCGTGCACGTCAGAAGCTCGAACAACAAGGAAGAAGCCAAACCCAACAGCTCCGAGTAAGAGGACAAAAAGAGGCAATGGAGACCGAAAAGGGAGAAACAACCAAAATCCGGGGGCGAACGCAAAGGAAAAGGGGAATCAGCGAGGAGAGATTAAATGCAGAGTTAGCCCGGGCACGTGATCACAACACCCCCACATGATATCAGCGCCAACTCCCGAAAATATTAATCTTCTGCCTAACACCTTGGCTTTGGATCTTTGATCACTCTGCTAAGTTTTGCAAGATGGTTGCCGATACTGCCTACTACGATGCGCTTGGTGTGCCACCGACGGCCACCGAACTAGAGATCAAGAAGGCCTATCGAAAGTTGGCCATCGTCACTCATCCCGGTACGTACGACTTTCGCTTTTCGTGACTAGGGCGCGTCTCCTAACTCGTTGCTACAGATAAGAACCCCGGAGATGAAACCGCCCACGAACGATTCCAAGCTGTATGCTGATGCAACACCCCAAGACCCATGGAGATAACGTGAAGCTGAGACTGTCCTACTACCTAGATCGGCGAGGCCTATCAGGTTCTGAGCAATGAAGATCTACGCAAACGTTACGACAAGTTCGGTAAAGAGGAGTCGGTGCCTGGTGGCGGCTTTGGTGGGTTTATCATAATCATCGAAGTGTTGAACATGGTGGTATCTAACAACTTATGCAGAGGACCCCTCTGAATTCTTTAGCATGATTTTCGGTGGCGAAGCTTTTGTTGATCTTATTGGCGAGATCTCCCTTATGAAGGATCTGACCGCGACCATGGACATCACAATGCAAGAAATGGAGGAGGAAGAACTGGCCCAGTCCGCAGAAGAGAAGCTCAACATCCACGACGAGGAGGTGAAGGCGGGCAGCGCTGACACTGCCGCCACCTCCGAGGCCCACGAGTCCACCGCTGGACCTACGCCTGCTGCTGCAGCTGCCGGTTCCTCCGAGAAGCCAACCTCCGATCAAAGCTCCGGCGCTAGTACCCCTCGACGAAACTTCGGCCAACAAGCACTCATGGACAAATCTGAAGAAGAAGCTCGCATGGAGGCAGCTGGTCTGTCTCAAGAAGAAAAGGATCTTCGTAAGAAAGAGAAAAAGAAGGGCCTCTCCAAGGAACAGCAAGAACGTTTGACAGCCTTCGAGGAGGAGCGCAAAAAGGCCCGCGAGGATCGTGTTAACACACTGAGCAACAAGCTCATTGATCGCCTGAGCGTATGGACTGAAACTGATAAGGGCAAGGATGTCTCCCACGCTTTCGAGGAGAAGATCCGCCTCGAAGTTGAGAACCTAAAGATGGAATCATTTGGTCTCGAAATTCTGCACGCAGTTGGTCAAACTTACGTACAAAAGGGAACTTCGTTCCTCAAATCCCAGAAATTCCTCGGTATCTCTGGCTTCTTCTCCCGCTTGAAGGATAAGGGTACTCTGGCCAAGGAAACCTGGACTACCATCTCCACCGCTATTGATGCGCAAATGACCATGGAAGAGATGGCCAAGATGGAAGAGCGTGGCGGTGAGGATTGGACGGATGAGAAGAAGGCCGAGTACGAGAAGAGGGTCACCGGCAAGATTCTTGCAGCAGCGTGGCGCGGCAGCAAGTTTGAAATCCAGAGTGTTCTGCGTGAAGTTTGCGATCAAATTCTGAATGACAAGCGGACTCGACTCGAAAAGCGAGTTGAGCGCGCACATGCTCTTGTGATCGCGGGTAACATTTATGCCAAGGTATGATTCACACTCTTTTGCTCCGGTGATAGCCAACTAATGAACAACTTGCAGGCTGCACGCGATCCTGAGGAGGAAGGCGATTACATGGCTTTCGAGCAACTCATGGCCGAGGCCATGAGCAAGAAGGGCAAGGAGGGCAAGGAAGAAAAGGATAAGAAGAAGAAGAAGTCCAAACATGACCACGATGGCCATGATGCAAAGGAGACCGAAGAAGAGGCCACTGCTTAATCGACCTTCATGCCTCTCTGACTCTCTTCTGCCCTGGTTGATACATTGTTCTATCGTTTTCATTCTGCGGCCTTCGTATATCCTGGACATACATCTTCTGTTTCCTTTTCCATTCATAACCATCACTCTCGGGCCTGGAGATTCAATTTGTTTACAGCGACTGGGTGCTTGTGGTCACTCTGCAACATGTGCAGTGTGCTCGAGCGATAGATTGCCCTTTATACCTCTCATGCCTTCTTTGATCAGCTGCAGCAGCGCAATACTGGCATAATGCAAAATTTATGGACATGGACATAGATGTTCATACTTAAGTATGAATTACATATAAATTATAGACATGGCTTCTTCCAAAGTTAGTTCAGAAATAGATGAGCTCTTGATTAAATTCGCAGTAAATATGTGACTGGGAAATACATGATCACCGTTGTACCGCCGGCCGACGATCCCGTCAGACTTGACGCTGAAGCTGGACTGGGAACCTCCAGGGCCTGGAGAGGCTGATGACATATGTCAATTTCGCCGTTCGACTCAAGACTGGAAGCGTGGAAAGGCAATAATAGATTAAGCGATCGGTTGTTCGGCTGGTTATGTTAGACTTGAGCATCACGGCATGAAGAGAAGTCACGGGGTACGTACTCATTGGGAGATCATGGGCAGGTTCAACAGGTGCGTTTGCCTTGTTCCTCACTGGTCGATAGCCAGCCCACTCAGAGTTCATGACACCACACATAGCCAGAATTGTGAAAACAAGAAGAGCAATGAAGAGGATCCTATGTATGGGGCTATATATCAGCATGGTCACGTATACTAGGACTCGGGAGACGAACCAGAGAAGCACAGCAAAGGCAATCATGGCATTATAATATTCGTTTGATACGTAGTCCAGATAGGTAGCAAGGTCGGCGAATGCTGCGAGCCAAAACACCATTGTCACAAAGTAACCGGCCACAAAGGATGCAGCCAGCACCGTATTGAGCTTTGGGGTGACCGAGCCCTTGCGAGTGTAGTACCAAGGCAATACAAGAGCCGCCACGGCGATGAGCATGGTCCAAAGCGAGGCGAAGACCATGAAGCCGACGATGGCTGGGGCCTTCACTTTGACATAACCGCCCCAGGTATCATATTCGGTGTGCTCTACGGCTGAAACAACAAAGGCCGAGAGACCCAGCTCCACGATCGCGAAGACGAAAGACGTGCCTAGCAGGGCATATAGAATGATATTCAGCACCATGTTGCAGTCGATATGGTGGAAGGGGGAATCTTGGGGGATGCAAGGGCGAGACAAAGAGCACAGTGGGCTTGCTTGCACTTTATGATGACTTGCTCGTGCGGCTCATGTCGAAAAAGCTCGTAATCGACAATCATGCAGGATCAGTCTTTATTAGAGCCCTAGAGCCAGTCATGAAGGAGCTTGGCGCGTTCAAAAAGTGTATACCCCAGTCATTCGTGTTGGATACGAACAGCTACATCGACCAGGCGCCGCGCTGTCCCTAATTAGTACCAAATTTAGCGAGTGGGTGTTTCGGATCGGAATATTTGGTGCAGCTGAAGATTAGACCTGTATGGAGTACGAGCTTCTAAACTTTTAGAAGTTGGGCCAGGGTCTCTTGACCTAGCGATGTGCCGGCGCTAATAGCATTTGCAGGGGTGACAAGTTGATCCAGGAGGGTTGTTGGCCTGGCGCTTTGTTATTATTAATTATTTTCTTTTCTTTTCCTTTTTTTTTTCTTTGCACAAGTTGACTTGGTATCGACCTGATCCTACTTGAGTCAAAGTATTTACGTGAAACTTTAGAATGAAAGTTTGGCAGGCCCAAAGCTCCAGATACCCGTACTTAAGTAGGGTTCTCCAGGGCTGAGCCCGAATCGGTCTGATCGGCACTAAGCATGCCTCTCTCGGGATAGCTGTTTGTTTGTCCCAATTAGGACTTATTATGCGTGGCTCCATACAACATTCAGATCCTGATACGGTGCTCTGCTCGTGGGCCCCGCTCCATCAAGCTTTTGAAATAGGCTTCTATGAACCTTTCGCTGTTAATTTTTTGGGGGGGGGGGGGGGGGGGGGGTGTTTTTTTTTTTTTTTTTTTTTTCTCTCTGTTGGAGAACGAGGGTGTTCCTCTTGGGCCATACTGCTGACACTTATAGCTCCCAATCGATCACGACAACTCTTCCGTGGGCGAGTATCTGAATCGGTACTGGGTCAGCGAGGAGTATTACAAGCCAGGCGGTCCAGTCTTCATTTATGACGTTGGCGAGTCAACTGCCGAACATGTCGCCCCAACTATGCTGGGCAACTCAACATCGTTCCTGGGGCAGATGATGCAGGAGTTCAACGGTATCGGAATCGTCTGGGAACATCGGTGAGTGATGTTTGTGCCCCTTTGGAAGTCCGAACTAACATCCACAGGTACTACGGCGCCTCTCTGCCATACAACGTCAGCAACCAGACTCTGCCGGAACATTTCCAGTATTTGACGAACAGCCAAGCTCTGGCCGATATCCCTGTTTTTGCGGCCAACTTCACTCGCAAGAACGTCAACGCCACCTTGACTCCTGATTCTACCCCCTGGGTGATGCTTGGTGGCTCGTATGCCGGCATGCGAGCAGCTTTCACGCGCAACGAGTACCCGGAAACCATTTTTGCGGCTTATGCTTCCTCTGCGCCCGTTGAAGCCCGGGTCGACATGAGCGTGTATTTCGATCAGGTGTATGACGGCATGGTCGCCAATGGACATTTGAACTGCACCCGCGATATCAAGGCCGCCCTTGGGTATATCGACGAACAATTATCCACTCCTGCAACTGCGGCCCTCATCAAGCAGAAATTCTTGGGCAAAGGCGCCGAGACCAACAGTAATGGAGACTTCACCGCTGCGCTGGCCGTCATTTACGGGGTTTTCCAGAGCTACGGGCTCGACGGCGGCATTCTCGGGCTTGGGAGCTTCTGCGAGCACCTGGAGACCGATGCCGAGACCGGGAACCCGGCGCCCGCGGGCGGGTTTGCAGAGACTCGGGGCAACGAGTACGCGGCAGAGCGGTATGCTTCCTGGCCTGTTTTCCGGCAACTGGTCAATATGAATTATCAGACCAACTGCAACAAGACGGAGGCTAGTGAGCCCCTGGTGTGTAACCTGGGCCAGGGGGCTGTCGATCCGGACACCATCAGCTGGACGTGGCAGTATTGCACCGAATGGGGATATTTCCAAAGTAACAATTTTGGCCCTCACTCGCTGCTTTCCAAGTACCAGACTCTGGAATATGTGCAGGAGGGTTGTTATCAAACTTTCCCTGCCGCGTTGGAGCAAGGATATCTCCCGGCACAGCCCGAGGTTGACGCGACGAATGCCGCGACCGGGGGCTGGACGATCCGCCCGTCCAATGTATATTGGAGTGGAGGACAATTTGACCCCTGGCGAACACTTTCACCCCTTGCTTCAGGGCCCTCAGATCCCCACGTGACATTGACCACTGAGGTCCCGGGATGTGGCGTGAAGACCAGTGAAGACACGCTGTTTGGCTATGTGATGCCTAACGCAGAACATTGCTTTGATTTCCGCGCGGGTGAGCCTGGAGAACAGTCCCGTCAATACTTTAAAAAGGCCTTGCAGGAATGGCTGCAGTGTTTTAAGGCGTTGTAAATAGTTGACACGTCTATTTGTTCAAGTTGATAGTTGACAAAGTTGTCACGACTTAACTTCACTTTTTTTGGGTTTTCTTTTCTCCTTTCTTTTCCTTCACTCTTATTTTGTATTTGTTTGTAAATATGAACTTGATAATACTTTTGGCCCTCGGCATCGGACTCTTGATTCTTCACTGGATCTCCCAATTCATCTCCCGACGCCAACAAGCCAAAGCATGGAATTGTAAACCACCACGCCGGGGTTCCCCCGGCCTTCTTGGAATACCGCACTTCCTCAGGCTCACCAAGGCTGCCCGGGAAAATACCTGGATTGACTATTTGGCAGATGAGCATGCTCGCTACGGGACCACCTACCAGCAAGAGCTGCTATCCCAGCAACTGATCCTCACCATCGATCCAGAGAATATCAAAACAGTCCTCGCCACTCAATTCAAAGACTTCTGTCTAGGATCTCGTCGCGGCCAGTTATACCCCTTAGTGGGAGATGGCATCTTCACCCTCGATGGCGCAGGCTGGGCGCATGCCCGTGGCTTGCTGCGTCCTCAATTCTCCCGCGAACAAGTCACCGATCTCTCCATGCTGGATGATCATATCTCCCATTTGTTCGATCTGATCCCGAAAGACCGCTCTGTCTTTGATATCCAGCGCCTGCTCTTCATGTTTACCTTAGATTCTGCAACGCATTTTCTCTTCGGCGAGTCCGTGGGCTGCATGCTTCCTCCGTCCGAGACTTCGAATGTCCTGGAGAAGTCCGCAGTTGGCAGTGCGAAAGGTTTTGCAGATGCTTTCGAGCTCGCGCAGGATTATGTGGGTAAGCGCGCTCGTTTGCAGGGCTTCTACTGGTCAATCAACCCCAAGGAATTCCAGGAAGCGAACAAGAAGATCCATGAGGTCGTTGATCACTATGTCCGGATGGCCTTGGAGTCGAAACGGAACCCCGACACCGCGGATGAGCGGTACATCTTCCTCCGGGCGTTGGCGGCCGAGACTGACGATCCCAAGATGCTGCGAGACAGTATGATGAACATCTTGCTGGCGGGACGAGATACCACGTCCAGTCTCTTGAGTTCAACTTTCTTCTACCTGTCTAGACATCAGAATGTCTGGAATCGACTACGCGGAGAGATCATCAAGGTATTTGGAGATGCAGAGAGTCAAACAGAAATCACCCATGCGAAGCTCAAGGACATTCCCTATTTGCGATATGTCTTAAACGAAGGTGTGTGCTTTGTTCTGGAAATTTTGCATACTTAATTGGCTGACCGAATAGTCCTTCGTATCCAACCGCCTGTTCCAGTGAACTTCCGCGTTGCAGCAAAAGATACATCCCTGCCAGTTGGGGGAGGAGAAGATGGCCATTCCCCAATATTTATCCACAAAGGGCAGCACGTTGTTTTCAATTTCTTTGCCATGCATCGCCGCCCGGATATGTGGGGAGAAGATGCAAAGATCTTCCGACCTGAACGCTGGGAGGAGAATCACAGACACGGCTGGGGATACCTTCCTTTCGGCGGTGGGCCGCGTATCTGTATCGGTCGTGAGTTTTTCATAAACTGATGATATAATTGACAATGCTGACTATATTTTAGAGCAATATTCTCTCACCGAGGCCAGCTACACTATGGTTCGTCTCATGCAGCACTTTGATACTCTCGAAAATGCCGACCCGCATCCTCGACAAGAGCCCATCAAATTGTCTAATATATCGATGTCCCATGATCTTGGTGTGCCGATCCGACTGTATTCATCAAAGCAGGCTTTATAACTAGGCTATACTTAGACACAAACGACATTTGGGATAAGCACTTACCCGGGCTAGAGGCGATACCATCCTAATTTTATTTATCGAGAACCTGTATGAAGCGGGAATTTCGAGCAGATGTAATTATTATACAGTCATCCTGGCCAAACGATTCTCAGGGGAATGACAGAAGTCTCATGAGGCAGAAGACAGAAGTGGAGACGGAGAGAACAAGCATTGCTAAGCCTACCCCTCCCGAGAATGTGGAGATTTTCCCTTCAATTTCTTTTGACTGGCGATTAATTTCTCTATGTTTTCTGGATTTCATATCAATTAAGTTCCTAGCATGGATGAGGAGAAAGGAAATACCGCAGCTATCCAGCCATTGGAAGCAAAGTCCCCATCTAGGTCAAACTTCGTCAGCCGTGCCAATGACTATCTCGCATCACTGAAACTATTCGAGTCTCGCGGTATTGAACGCATACCCCTGGAGGAGCGTCATGCTGTGAGGGCCACAGACTACTTGCAGATGACACTGCTGTGGTTCAGCACCAACATCACCGCGAACAACATGGCCATTGGCATGCTAGGGCCTCTGGGATTCTCTCTCGGCTTCGTGGACTCTGCTCTGTGTGCGACTTTTGGTGCTTTGCTGGGCGCTGCTGGTGTTGGATACATGGGGACATTTGGGCCGGCAAGTGGTAACCGGACTATGGTATGTCGGAATCGTCGTTAAAGAATACTCTGTTGATCGTAGGTTCAGGTTGTCGCGAGGTACTTCATGGGCTATTACCCTAGCAAGATTGCGTGTCTGCTGAACATTGTGATCATGCTTGGATACGGCATGATCGACTGCCTGGTTGGTGGGCAGGTCTTGTCTGCAGTCGCTGGGGGCCGATTGACAGTTGCCGTTGGCATTGTGATTATAGCACTCTTGACTTGGATTGTGGTTATGTTCGGCATGAAGCTATTTCACATTTATGAAAGGTACGTGGGTTGTTGGACTGAACTGCATACAGGACATCCTATACTAACGCAACACAGATGGGCGTGGATTCCCCAGCTAATAGCTGCATTTGTCTTGGTGGGCAGCACAGGTTCAAAGTTCGACACGTCGATCGTCTCAACTGGCTCCGCAGCGACCATAGCCGGCAATCGTCTTTCGTTCTTCTCACTATGCCTGTCCGCTTCAGTTGCATGGGCTCCAGCGGGTGCTGATTTCTTCGTCTATTTCCCACCCACCACATCCAAATGGAAGACTTTCCTCATGACATTCCTGGGTGTCGGGCTAGCACTCACATTTGCAAACCTCCTCGGCGTGGGTCTCGCTTCAGGGACCTTTACGCATCAATCGTGGGCGAGCGCTTATGGTACATCCTCTGGGGCACTGGTTGTTGCCGGCTTTGACGGGCTGGGCGGTTTTGGTAAATTCCTTGGTGTGCTTGTGGCCCTTGGCCTTGTTGCCAATAATATCCCTGGCACCTATGCTGCATCGCTAGGGTTCCAGATCATGGGCCGTCATCTCGCGTTATTTCCGCGTTGGTTCTGGTCTTGCGTCGGCGTCGTTATTTACACAGCTTGTGCGCTGGGCGGAAGAAATCACCTCTATGAAATCTTTGATAACTGGCTTTCACTGATGGGGTACTGGGTCATGATTTATCTGACTATTGCGGTGGAAGAGCATGTTCTCTTTCGTCGACATAGGGGCTTCAACTGGGACTCGTGGCCAGATCCGTCCAAGTTACCCATTGGCCTCGCGGCTTTGGCGGCTTTCTTGGTCGGATGGGCAGGGGCTATTGTATCGATGGATCAACTCTGGTATGCTGGGCCTATTGCCAAGATGGTCGGTGCTGATGGGTCTGATTTGGGCATCTGGGTGGGAGTATCGTGGGCCATGTTGGTATTCCCGCCTCTGCGGTGGTGGGAGCTTCGACATTTCAGCCGTTGATAGAGTAGAACAGACAAATACCTCAAAGTTCTCATACTAGTGTTTAGGGCTTCAATGCTGTACGGCAGGTCATAGGGTTGCCTTTATTGGTGCTCACAGCTTACTTTTTCAGCCACCGCTTTCGATCTCAGTCCATATTGTGATTCACTATGTTCATTCTTTTCATGTTCTCAACATTCAGGGTCATCTTTTAAATTAGCCGTTGATCTCGGTCATTATAATAAGATTAGTACGATAGATGCAAACGCAGACTGTTTGTCAACTGGGGGCTGGACACTGGTGATCACGTGATTCCGAATCCGCCAAGCCTCCCCTTTTCTCATTCTCACTCTTTCTCTCCCTTCCACCTTCCTCAAGTGCAACACCTTTATGGTGTAAATGCAGTATTGCTCTCTGCCATCCTCGTCGCCAACCCTGCCATTCCTGTGTTCTCATTGGACTCTCCGATTTCACTCGGATTGGGCACGCGTTCGTGACCAGGTCGCAAGAGCCTTACGCTTTACTCTCGTATTTATTATCATCATCGAACTGAATCTTATGCGAGTCAAGGCTGCTCGATTATTGCAAAGCCAGGGCGGGAGGGCTACTCGATTTATCGAGGGAATCACTCCGATCTAACAGATAACTATTGCAACAACAGCATCATGGCTACGACGTCGCCGAAATCACGCTGGACCATGAAGAAGAAAGTGGTTGTCTACGCACCTGTGTCGGATGTTTTTTGTTCTGCTAGTCTTCATGTCATTCATGAAAGACATGTCAACCAAGGATCTGAAGGATCTATTTCTCTTCATTTCGAGGCCGATCTTGCTAACCGAAACGGCAGATCACAGGCCCTTTGGTTGAATTTTCCCTCAGAAACTGTTAATAGATGCGATTTGACACCGATAGACTTCCATAAGATCCCTTCACCCCGTTTGACTTCAATGCTCCGGTCATCTGGCAACATTCATTCGACTGTCTCAACTCTAAGTCTGGGACTCTCTGCCAGAGGTACCCTGTTCCATCCGTCCGACATAGACTCTCTTCGCCCGGCCACCAACGGAAGGCTGGACTTTCAAGCATGCGCAACGATATGTCAGTCCGAAGATCTACATATATACTTTTATGGGCGAGAGTTCGAGAAGAAACAACTCGATCAACTCGAAATTTTCTTGGCAGCTTTACAAGGGGGATCCCTCCGGGCAAAGGTTTTCGACCATGCTCGACATGGCCTGGTCCAGGCAGATTGGCGTGCCTTGATCGAGTCGCTCGATCCGCCCCCATATTGTGAGCAACATGTGCCGGAACAGGCACCGGATGTGCATCCACCCCTCTATTACGCAAAGTCTCAGTCTCAGCAGGTGGTTGGAAAACGACGCAGAGGTATCTTCTTATATTCTCCTCGTACTGTCTTCTTTATACCTCGGTGACTCATGGATTGCATCTAGGCTCACCGTCGGTGCCATCTGAAGACGAGAGGCAAAAGAGATTCCTTCTTTCATCCCCTTCTATACTAGAAACCCCCACCGAAGTCAATACGCCGAGCACTCTGTCCCCGTCACGGTCAATACGCCCAACTCACTTTACGCATGCTTGCTCTCCTAGTCGCACGGAGCCTGCCAAACTTGCGCATCTTGTGCATGAGCTCCAAGGTGTTTCCGACGGTCTCATTCGCGAATTGTTAATTCAGTCAGGACACGGACATTTGCTTGCCAAGTCAGAAGTCCTTGACAGTGACCTACCGCGCGAGGCTGAACGATTCGGCTCTTCTCAGGTGGAAATGCTTGAACGCCGTCTTACGCAATATGTTAACCAGACAATTGATCAACGTCTCGACCACATTGTCAATAGTGCCGTGGGCGAATGTCGTGATCAGGTTTACGACGAATGCAAAACAAACGAAGCCGAATTCCGGGAGCATTTAGACGATGCTAATTCCGAGCTTCGCATTACGGCCAATGATTGTATAGTGGAAGTGCAAGAAGAAGCACAGAAACACATGCGTGAGATGGAAGAACAAGCAAATCAATATATGCATAGCATTGAGGACCGGGGAGCTGAGGTCAAGATATCTGTGGAAGATATGGTCTCAGCCCTCAAGCGCCGGTTCGATACTTCTGTCCAGTCCGTAATTAATGGCAAGTCAAGTCTTGGCCAGGAGCTGGGTACAAATCCCAGACGGACTTCCATATAGATCCGGTATCAGGCTTATGACTCTTGAGATTGTCGCCGTGAACTTAGAATTTCTATTCTACTAGAAAGGGGACTTAGACTAACGTATTCCCAGGTGAGCATCCCGAAATCCCGCCTAGATTATATACTTAAGTATATCCTGAAGTCTTTCCCAAGGTGTATGCGACTGCCCTGCGCATCTTCCCGTATAGAAACTTTTTTTCTTCTCTTGACCGTGCCCAGGTCGTGCCTTAGGGTTAGAGCATCAATATGTATGGAACATGCCCATGGGTGCTCTATATGGTTACTATACGGAGCCCTGGAGTACATCTGTGGCACTCTGCTCCCTACCTGCGGTACGCCTGACTTCGCAACCCCCCAACTTCTTTCTTTCCTAGTATCTCTTTCGGTATAAGAATTATGGAGCACAAGGATGCTAGGCACTCATTTTGTCGAATCCCCCGTTGAAACGCGTTGCGTCACATTTGGGCATTTCAAGGTTGAAGGCCCACCCGGTGGCTTTTGTCTCCGAGACTAATGAGGCCAAGAGATTTAGATTCAGGATTCTTCAAGGATTCTGGGATTTATTTGCTCTTCAACTGCAACTAAACCCATCTTGTCCGGGGTCAGCTCATACATCGGGGAAACTCATCCGGAGATTCCCCGTGGTTTTGCCGCTCGGTCCTGGGAACTTCCGAATGCGTCCAAAGAGGCAATGAGCATCGTCAGCAGGCCCCGGACTGGGGTAATGCCCTCTTTCATTGGTCCTGACCCCCCTCAAGCTCTGCTCAAATCTCGGCCAAATATATGTGGAGCACGTTTTGTATAAAAGTTCCATGCCCCGCGTCTGCTCTACTCAGGAATATCTACAATGAAGCCAACAATTGCAATTCCCCTCGCGCTGGCGAGCCAAGCCGCATCGGCTGTCGTCAGTCGTGATGCCTCCATTGACTACAACGCGGCACCACCTAACCTTTCTACCCTGGCAAATGATACGCTGTTCGATACATGGAGACCTAAAGCTCATGCTCTGCCTCCATCTGGCAAGATCGGCGACCCATGCATGCAGTATACTGATCCTAAGACAGGACTGTTCCATGTGGGATGGCTTCACAATGGTATCGCAGGTGCTACAACGGATGATATGGCCACATACAAGGATGTCAACCCCGATGGAAACCCGTCGATCATCGCAGGAGGGAAGAATGATCCCCTTGCAGTCTTCGATGGCTCAGTGATCCCCAATGGTATTGATGGCATGCCCACTCTCTTATATACCTCCGTGTCCTACCTTCCAATTCATTGGTCTATCCCGTACACCCGGGGAAGTGAGACTCAATCCCTTGCCGTCTCATATGACGGTGGCCACAACTTCACCAAGTTGAGCCAAGGCCCCGTCATTCCTAACCCCCCATTCGCTGCCAATGTCACTGCTTTCCGTGACCCTTATGTCTTCCAGAACCCCACGCTGGATGCCAGTGTCAACAGCACCAAAGGCACTTGGTACACCGCCATCTCCGGTGGTATTCATGACGTCGGCCCTTGCCAGTTCCTCTACCGACAGACTGACTCGGACTTCCAATATTGGGAATACCTCGGACAATGGTGGAGCGAGCCTGTCAACTCTACCTGGGGCAATGGTGACTGGGCTGGCGGGTGGGGCTTCAACTTCGAAGTCGGCAATGTCTTCAGCTTGAATGAAGAGGGATACAGTGAGAGTGGCGAGATCTTCGTGACTCTCGGTACCGAGGGCTCTCTGGCCCCTGTGACTCCTCAAGTGAGCTCAATTCACGATATGTTGTGGGTTGCTGGAAACGTCACCAACAACGGCGAGGTCACCTTCAACCCGACCATGGCCGGCTTCCTCGACTGGGGTCTCTCTGGCTATGCTGCGGCAGGAAAGATCTTGCCCGCAAGCTCCCAGGCATCCAAGAAGAGCGGCGCTCCCGATCGCTTCATCGCCTATACCTGGCTCACTGGAGACGAGTTTGAGCTTGCCAAGACCTTCCCTAATGCCCAGCAAAACTGGACCGGAACTATGCTGTTCCCTCGTGAGCTGAATGTCCGCACCATTTCCAACGTGGTGGACAACAAGCTTGCTCGTGAGTCTCCATCCTCCTGGCGTGTGGCCCGCGAGAGCTCCGGCAAGGTCGATCTCGAGACAATGGGAATCTCCATCGCCAGAGAGACTTACAGTGCTTTGACCTCCGGAAAGTCATCTTCTGAGTCTGGCCGAACTCTGTCCGATGCCGGATCCGTTGCTTTCCAGGATTCTCCCTCGAGCAAGTACTATGTCTTGTCTGCGAACATCTCCTTCCCAGCCTCGGCCCGTGACTCCGATATCCAATCCGGCTTCAAGATTCTGTCTTCCGACCTTGAATCGACAAGCATCTACTACCAATTCTCCAACGAGTCTATCATCGTCGACCGCACCAACACAAGCGCGGCCTCAAAGACAACTGCCGGAATCACCAATGAGAACGAGGCAGGTCGCCTGCGTCTCTTTGACGTGCTCAAGGACGGAAAGGAACAGATCGAGACTTTGGAACTCACTGTCATTTTGGATAACGGTGTTCTCGAGGTTTACGCCAATGGACGCTTCGCGCTCGGTACCTGGGCCCGTTCTTGGTACTCGAACTCCACTGGAATCAGCTTTTTCCACAATGGTGTGGGTGAGGCTACCTTCTCGAATGTCACAATCTTCGAGGGATTGTATGATGCTTGGCCTGAGAGGAAGTAGGTTATCACTGAGGCTCTATTGATGGGCATTTGTACACTTATACCATATACCTGTCGTAAAATTGTTACGATATAGTTGATATAGTTAGAGACATTCCTCTCAGTTCTCTGCAAGTGGAATTCCAAAAATATTTTATCTATCATGAAATTAAGAATAATCTTTGGTTGATGAAAGCCATGTTGAAGAGATATCCCCAGTATTTGCATTCTCCTCTGCCCATAGACCTCGGAGAAATTTGTTTTCAGCCCGGTTTCGCGGCCCCCATATATGGGTCTGACCAGGTAGGTGTCTAGGTCAAATCACCAACTTCATACAATTGCTCGAAGGTTCTTGTTTTGCACCAGCCGAGCTGCGATCAAGAGAACACCGCCCACTAACAAGGATACACCGGAGAATATCGAAAGGGAGAGATACCCATACTTCTCGACGAGAGCACCGCTGATAGGCACATTTGCCATTGCACTGTCAAAATGTTAGTATCATCATCGTATTTGTAGAGTAGAAACTCACGATAAAGCAGCAGAGCCTGAAACGCTTCCAATAGCCAACCCAAGAGTACCGGAAGTCGCAACTTGAGCAGCACAGGCTTGTTGGAGCGAGAGGATCCCCTGCATTTAGTCAATATCAGAATTTTAGGCACTTTGATCGGACTCAATACTTACCCCTGAAGTAAACCCGTATGCAGCGGACCACAGCACTAGACCGGCTACGGATGTGACTTTTGTCCAACAGAGTGCAATCAGACCCGATGAGATGGTCGCCAGGATACAGCAGTTGAACTTGCCGTATCGATCGGCCACAATACCTGGTAGGATTCTGCCAAAGAATGAAGAGCCGTTCACAATGGAAACGGTATAAAATGCCAGTGTTGTGGAAAATCCCATCTCAACAGCGTACGAAGTCGTGTAGAAGAACGGCGCAAACATGCCAAAGTAAATAATGAAAATGGCGAGGCAAAGCAATCGCAATTCAGGCTGTCGGAAGAGTGCTAGGACTTGCGCCTTTCTTTGCTGTTTCTTTCCAGGTCCATCAACTGCTTTGCTCTCGGCGGGTTCGGGATTTGCGCTTTCCACGCCTTGCATCTGTGTCTCTGGTGACTTGGCCGCCACGCAAGAGAATATGAAGAGAGGAATCATAATAAAGCCGACGATCCGCATGGTCCAGGGAAATCCGATCTTGGGGTTCTTGAGCAGCCTATCGATTACAATGGGCCAGATGACTCCTCCCAATGAAGACCCCGCAAGAACGATGCCCAGGGCTGCGGCGCGCTTCACTTTGATATATTGTCCGACTAATGCAAGCATGGGCCATGTGGACAGAGCCATCGAAATGCCCAGCAGAACACCCTGGGCAAGCAGGAATTGGTAGAACTTGTGGCATAGTGAGATCATCATCAGTGCGAAGACCATGCCCACTGATCCAGAATAGACCATCAGCTATTTGCGGAATGCGTGGTTAGTGTATGTTTAGAAAGGAAGGGTGTGACGATCTACCTTGGGGCCAAACATATCAAGCATTGCTCCTGAAATGACGGAAATGCCAAACAAAAAGAGAATTGAGATGGCACCCAGCCATGCAATTGTAGAGGCCGAGTCGGAGGCAAGTTGATTCTTCGCGTAATACTCTTGGAATATGCCGAACGAGTTCATAAAACCGACGGTGCAGAATGCACAAGTGAAAGCGCCGAATATGACCAGCCATGCTCGCGGTCTACAAAAAATTAGTCTTTAACCTAGAGATATGAAGGGTCACGTACGTATATTCGGTGTCTTTTGATGCCATCTTAGTGTCGGTAGATCAAGATCGTGCCTAGTTGGCTGTTTGAAAGAATAGTTGCTGGAATACATTCCCCTTTATATGAAAATACTTTTATGTGCTGGACGAGTGAACAAGTGTTGAGTGCCCGGAGAGTCCGACGTATATATAAATCGACCAAATAGGGTTAGCGTCGGAGTGTCCGCGGAGGGTCCGGTCAGACCCCGGAACATCTCTTTGTTGACTCGACAGGGTAGGACAGGGGTCTCTGATGACCACGTCAATAAGCTGGACTTTACTCTGGACTTTTCTTAAGTAAATAAGTCCGCTGGCACGCCACCATGAAACGAAGTGCAGATGCTAGTCTCTCCGGGGGATCCCCAAGGCGTCAACTTCGACAAGACCCGGTCTCATGTGAATCATGTCGGAGGAAAAAGCTCAAGTGCGACAGGAATCTACCATGCAGCAGTTGCTCTGTCCGGAAACTAGACTGCAGCTATGGGGCATACCGTGGTGGTGCCAGGGCCTCCCTACAGCCCAGTCAAACTGAACAGAGACCGGCGGGTACCGTTCCCCGTGATTCGTCGTTGAATCCGCGAGGTATGGGGACGCAGATCCGGGGCGGCAACGAGTCTACACAGACAGTAGACTGGCTGGAGAATATTGTTATGGGGCCTCGGGTCCCCAGTGCTGTCCCGGCTACCTTGAGGGCAGAGCTGTCCCATCGAGACAGCGAGAATTCACCATCGCAGTATCTTTCCCCTCTTGAAGAATCGAGAATTCTGAGGCAAGACGTTTTCTCTCAGGAGCACCCTGCAACTATTCATCTGGGATCCAGCCTACCACCCCATGCAGAAGCGTTACGCGTATTTCGATACTATTGCATGTATCTCGACTTTCAGTATCATCTGATAATACCAGCCCAGGTGGAACAACATATTGAAGATATCTACAGAAACGATGCACGGCGCCTACCGATGAATCTCGCCCATGTTGCTTTGCTGTTCAGCATCCTTGCTTCCGCACTATATTATGAACATTTAGAGGATGGATCGGGGCACGCTGAAAAAGTCAGTCGGGAGACAACATTCCTAGCAGGTGCAGCATTGATACAAGGGAATTATCTTTCCTATCCTACCATCGAAGGGCTTCAAGCAACTATGATAATCGGCCACCAGTTGTCGAACATGAATCTACCTCCATCAGTCAGTTCATTGTTCTTGCATCGGTCATCTGTGAATCAGGCTATTAGCATGAGGCTTCATCTCATCGACTCTCCTCAGCTTGTGAACGAGCGTAGGTCAGTCCAATCTGACGAACCGGATGTTGAACTCAAACGTCGGCTGTGGTGGGACTTGGCCGCATACGACTGGTAAGTTGTTTCATGTCCTGCCTAGGTACTCCATACAGAATATCTCACAAATCTACCAGGCTGATAGGATTCCTGAGCGGACCTCAAGAATGGACCTACTCAATTCAGCCTCAGCATATGGTCGTCAACGAGCCACTGAACATTGAAGACGAAGATATTGGCAGAGTTGGCCAAGGTCAACCCATGTCTACCCCCACAGTAATGTCATACAGCCTCTGTCGAATGAAATTAGCTATCGTGTGCCGTCAAGTTGTAGACGGCACCTCGCAATATCATCTGCGCGGTCAAGAAGTACCATACGACATAACACTCGCCCTTGACCGTGAACTCCAAAAAATTTTGTCGGAAATTCCATCTTACTTCCGCTTCGATCAGGACTCGCAACGTGAATATTCTCAGCTCTATCAGGACAGACCTACCTTCGCCTGGCAAAGAGCCATGGTGCAACAAGGGTATCATTCTCGATTTTGTCGCCTGCACCGTGGCTATTTCGTGCGAGGGGCGAAGGATCCCAAATACTCCTACTCGCATGTGGTATCCCTTCAATCGGCGCGCAAGGTTCTCGAAATAAAGCGCATCATGGACGAGGAAGGGCCGGTCTTCACACCTCACAGTTCCGTGGTGTGGTCTATCATGCATCATGTTTTTATGGCAGCTGCAATCTTACTCATCGACGTTTGTTTCAACTGGGACGATATACTAGCCGAGAAGCGAAGATCAGAGGTCCTTGATGCATGCCGTATGCTTGGTCAGGCTCAACAGTCGTCGCCCACTGCGCGCCAAGGAATCAATGCCATGATGGACATTTTGCGAAAGCACTGGAGGCATGAAAGACATCCAGCCTCCCGTGGCCGGGAAAATGATCTGCTTACTTCGTCAGATGTCTCTCAATCCTCACGACAGAATATTCCGACGCCCGTTTCCATCAGCGTTGCAAGTACTGCGCCTCATCAAGCCCCAGATCGCCCGTTGGCTCTAGAATCGACAAATCTTCCTTCTGATCCGCCCCTGCTAGAGGACTTGTGGGCAGAATTACTAAATGACGGCGCCCACGCTGAGCTAGATACACCAGACTGGACTGTTCTCTTAAACGAACTTACGAATGTCACGCTACCGAGCGAGTGAATCAAGAGCCACGGCATGATTACCTGATGTGGCAATCCAGTTCTCATGATGCCACCATGATGTGACCATATCCTTCTTCAAAATACACCAGATATCCCTCAGTCTCTCCAGTAACTCACCTCAATGCAATCATCTATTCAATATGTCCCCCAAGAAGAACGACCTCCCCTATATCCGCCGCTACATCACGACCCACAACACCGAAGGCGAGGCAGTATTTATCTCCCATGCACAAGTCCCCGACTACCTACCCTCCACACCAGCAGGGGACGATGGCGAGATAGCCCTGTTGTACGCTACCACCAGTGATCCAGCCTCTACAGACGCCGAAGCAGATGTCGCCATGTACGACGAATTCCTGCATCAACCGCCGGGTATCACAGTTGACGAAGGAACCATCTTCCGGCTGATTGATCTGCGTCCAGGGAAGGCAATGCCGATGCATCGAACGGTCAGCTTAGACTATGGCGTCATTATCGAGGAGGAGGTCGATCTGGTGCTGGACTCTGGTGCGTGTCGGCGGATGCATCGTGGAGATGTCAGTGTGCAACGGGGTACGGCACACTCATACCGCAATCGCAGCCATACAGAATGGTGCCGTATGTTGTTTGTCTTCTTGCCTATGCAGAAGTTGAAGATCCAGGGCAAGGAATTGGAGGCGGAAGTGTACGATGAAGGGTTTGATGCAGAGAGCGAAAGCCCTGAGGCTGATTAGGTGTATCACTTTTCTGTCAAGCTCTTATAGTCTAAACCTCACATTTGTTTATTGGAATCCTCCCTTGAAGTTCAGTATAGCCATCAAAATGAGAATTGTATACTCGGTACTTTTGTATAGTTCGGAACTTCGGAATATCGGAATCTTCCGGACGGAATTAATTCCAACGCGCCCTTTCGGTGACAGATCTCTCGCGATTTGGAGATTTTGATTTCTTTATATCTTCTTCGTACAAGAGACATTTGGAATCTCTTGGATATCCTACCTCTTCGCAGCTTATACCTCAATCCTATTCTCGGAGCTGTTGGCGCTGCCTTTGACCTCCCCCACCTCCCTGCATCATGGATCGCGACCAGTTCAAGACAGCCGCGTATTCGGCCATTGATGACAGTAAGTCTCTTCAATCCACTACACAACCCTCAACTCAACATCTCACCATTTCCAAGTCATCAAATACTTCGATAGCGTCCCAGAGCGCAGGGTTGTACCGGACATCCAGCCAGGCTATCTCCGCCCATTAATCCCAGAAAGCCCACCCGACGAGCCCGAAGACTGGGCCACGATTCAAGATGATGTCGACACAAAGATCAAACCCGGCCTCACACATTGGCAATCCCCGAATTTCATGGCCTACTACCCCGCCAGCGTAACCTACCCCAGTCTTCTAGGCGAGATGTACTCTGCGACTTTCACAGCCCCAGCGTTCAACTGGCTGTGCTCGCCTGCATGTACGGAGATGGAAACGATCGTGATGGACTGGGTTGCCAAGGCCCTTGCACTGCCCGAGTGCTTCCTCAGCGCATCGGAGACCCACGGTGGTGGCGTGATTCAGAACAGTGCCAGTGATGCGATTGCGACGATTATTGTTGCTGCGCGCGAGAGGCGCGTGCGAGAGATCTTGCTCTCAGAGGGCCTCGAAGAAAGCTCCCCCGAGTATGAAGATCGCAAGTTCGATGTCCAAAGTAAGTTGGTGGCTATTGCGAGTGACCAAACGCACAGCAGTGGTGCCAAGGGCGCATTGGTGGCTGGCACCCGGTTCCGCAGCGTGAAGGCCAGACTCGAAGATAATATGGAAATGACGGGTCCCAGGCTGAGAGAGGTTCTGGAGAAGTGCGATCGCGATGGCTTGACCCCGTATCATCTCACGATGACTTTTGGAACGACGAACTGCTGCAGTGTCGATCGATTTGCGGAGATCAAGGCCGTCCTGCAGGAGAAACCTGCATGGCAGCGCATTTGGGTCCACGTTGACGCAGCTTATGCGGGTGCATCGCTTGTGGCGGATGAATGGCAGTATATTGCCAAGGACTTTGCCGAGGGTGTTGATAGTTTCAACATGAATATGCACAAGTGGCTGCTGGTGAACTTTGATGCTAGGTGGGTTGGTTGATGTTTTCTTTTGGGTGCGAAGCTAACTCTCGCAGTGTTCTCTATGTCCGGAATCGCCTGGACCTCACTAATGCACTTGATATCACGCCCGTGTATCTACGGAACCCATACTCTGATATGGGCACAGTGATTGATTATCGCAATTGGTCCATTTCTCTTGGTCGCCGATTCCGCGCCTTGAAGATTTGGTTCGTGATGCGGAGCTACGGTCTCAACGGCATGAAAGCGCATATCCGCAAGACTATCGGATTCGGTGATCTCTTCGCCGATCTCGTGCGCAGTCGATCTGATCTGCTGGAGATTGTCACGAAGCCGGGCTTTGCCTTGACGGTCTTCCGCGTGAAGAACCCGGCCTCGACGGGCGAGTCTACAGAGCGCGTCTCTCCCGACGCGGTCGCGGATAGTGTGACTAAGAAGGTCTATGAGCTCATCAACTCGCGAGGTGAGATCTTCATCACCTCGACGGTGATCGATGGCGTTTACGTGATTCGGGTTGTCAGTGCCAATCCTCTCGCCGAAGAGAAGTATATCCGCAAAGCGTTCGACATTGTGGTTCGGACGTCGGAGGAGGTGCTGCAGGAGTAATATATACACATATAACGAGCCATGTCATAGTAAATAGTCGTCAATAGTTTAGTCAATAATTGACCGGGTATACTTGTAGTTAGTCGATAGTCAACAGAAGGCTACGGAAGGGAAATACTATTTTCCCGATGAAATCACGACTCTTTCGCACTTGGCCGCTTTGGGTGTTTTTCCCGTCTGGCGTGTCTTCCTTCCTGCACGTATATTGACTCTTATATTGCGATATTACACCGCGATGTTCAGCCAAGGATTGTGATGGAGTACTCCGTACCAGGGCCACTCCTACGTACCAGTATGACATACTGATCTTTCTCCCATCTCGATGGGAATTGCCGAACCCCCTGACGGCAAAAGTAATGACGATCTTTCCATGTGTGGACCTCCTCCGCGCAAGCTTGAAACGGTTCTGAAGAAACCCATGGTCGATCCGGGTTTGCCGACTCGTGCTCGACGTTTATTCCTTGCTCGATGCGGAGTGGAGAGGACCCACGCTTCATTTCGGCTCTCGAAGGATGCAACTGGGAGCTTTTTCTTCCACGGAAATTCCGAGTGGTCTTGTCGGGCAACGGAGGACGGAGTATATAGCACCTGAGACGCCTGTTCGGAGAAGATCATCGCCAAAATGTTGACTTCCGCTCTCTTTTTGCTCGCCTCGCTCGGCTTGGCTCAATCAGCGACCCTCGAGGATCTCTACCTTGAGAACGCGCCCTCCGCGCCTCGTCCGTATGTGATTCCGCATTACGCGAACTCACATGCCGTTGCGGTGGGGGATCAGGTGTATCGCTTCACGGTCACTGGCCCGTCCTCCGACAATGCCTTCACCTTGATGAGCACCAATGCGCCGTCCAGCTCATCGCTGGGCGTTCTGCCCCACGTGCACCAGAAGCACTACGAGAACTTCTTCAACTTCAAGGGTAGCTTCCAGCTCTGGGCCCAAAAGGATGCCGCCGAGCAACAGGCGCGTCTTTTGACAGCTGGAGACTATGGATCGGTGCCCCGAAACACCACCCATACATTCCAAATTTTGGATCCTGACACTGAGATGGTTGGAGTGATTGTTCCTGGTGGCTTTGAGTAAGTTGGCTCACATTGATCGTCCATTTCAATATCTAACATGTTTCAGGGACCTTTTCTACGCCCTCGGAACCAACTATACCTCCGACACCGGCACCCCCTATGTCCCCGCTCACTCCAACAGCTCATCATCCCCCGATTCGAGCGTCATCTCTTCGCTGCAGAAGTTTGACGTATATGCCAAGCTCGGCTTTGAGCCCCGGCGTGATCTGGTCAATGGTACCGCTCCCATTGACAATTCGGAATGGCACACCGGCGATAACGCCCTTGGAACCCCCGGCAAGCCGTACTTTGTCGCCAACGGATATGGTCCCAAGTACTTGAACTCCAAGTTTGGCTATCAGGTCGTCCAGCCGTTCGTGACCTCCAAGCAGGCCCAGGATACCAACTACACCCTTTCGACCATCTCCCTCAACCGCCAGACCAAGGACAATGCCCCCACTTACACCCTGAATGGCGCCACCGCCTTCGAGGTGATTGAGGGTGTCCTCAAGATCCAAATTGGCGATTACCCCGTGGCTACCCTGTACACCGGTGATGTTGCGTTTGTGCCTATCGGTGTGTCCTTCACTTACTACACTGAAGTGGCTTTCACCAAGGTGTTGTATGTTGCCAGTGGTAGCAACGGAGTGGATTCGCAATTGATCAAGGGCGGGAAGGCCTGGAACTGGGTCACTTTCCCTACCCACTAGATGGATGTTCTTTTTTTATTATTATTTTCTGACTTCTTTTGGGTCTGTTTATATACATCTGTTCTAGAGTTGTACATATAAAGCTGAACTGTTTCGTTCCATTCTCATCGATGCATTTCCATGAGCTGACCGCTCTGGCGACCGTACACATCTCCGCCCCCACTGATTGTTGTCCTCTTCATCATATCAACCTTGGAATATCCGGAGTACTACTTTCACAATGGCTCTACGACTCGAACATGCCACTATTGAGGATGTCCCAGCCCTCACGGACCTCTGGTTCACTGTCTTCAATGACCCCATAATGAGCCACATGGTGCCCAACACCCCCGGGGTGCGGGAATGGTTCAGTGAGACCAATCGCATCGACATGCTCACGAAGCCATATCAAAAATACTTAAAAGTCATCGACCCTAGCACCGAAGTAGCAGGCCGTCCCCGGATAGCTGCCTACGCGAAATGGGATTTGAGCATGGCCAGTGAGCGCGGGCCTCGCTTTGCGCCTTGGCATGCTGAGCAACCTGGCTCTGATTGCGACGCTTTCTTCGGGGCTATGGAGGAGAAACGGCAACGGTTGTATGGGGACCGGAAGAACTTCTGTATGTGTCTGGTCTCCGCTGTATGGGGCTGTAGTACTAATCGGGGTAGATCTGGATATGCTTGCCACCCACCCGGACTACCGTCGTCGCGGGGCGGGTTCTATGTTGATTCAGTGGGGGTGTGATGTTGCGGATCGGGAGGGTTCTGGGGCTTATATCGATGCTTCTAAGGCTGGTGCTCCGCTGTATGCGAAGCATGGCTTTGTGGACCACAACAATCCTGCGGATAAGAGTGAAATTGCCTCTATGATGCGGAATTAGATTTGACCTTGGAACTAGAAATAGACACTAAGTAGAGCCGTTAAAGTGCATCACATCTCTATCACACGTAAGTATAAATAGCTTCAAGGCGGACTGCCAAGACCTACATACTCGGAGTTGCACCTGGGCTCAACTTCTCCGCCAAGCATCCTCCCCCACGCACCTGGGTAATACCAAGATCGACAGATTTCATGATACATCCTCTCTGTTCAAGTCTGTTAAGTCTTGGCTATCACCAACGGCGCAATACGGTTGCTAAAATTGGCACGCTTAGATGCATGCAGTCATCCCTGTCCTTGACGTGTGTACTCTGCACCCCATACTCAAAGCCTACACCGTACGACTACTCGTACATTGGTCGTACGGAGTAGATGGCGATCTAGCTGAGACAACATTGGATGTTTCATACGAGCCAGGTTAAACCCCCTTGCCGGGCATCCCTTACACTTACGTCAACTCGGAGAATGGCAGAGAGTGTACAGCTCTGCCGTGAAGTACAGAGCCAGACCTCAGTCAATGACAAAACAACTGTGGAGAAAATCCTCCATTACCAAGCGTCATGGCCTCGGCCGTCTCTGCGCTTAATGACGCCAAGAAAACCGCCATTATTGCGGCCCCAAAACCCAGTCGCCAAGTTCGCGGTCGCGAATTTGCATCTGCAATGCCAATCTCTTGCCAATTCCTGCGTTAGCGCAAGGCCCTCCTGCTTCAACCACCAATAGCCCCATTGCATTTCTATTCGGCCGCAGACTAACGGTCCTTCGGGAGCGTGCTGATTATTGCTTCTCCACTTGCTCTCCTGGGCTCACCCGCTTCGATCAACAGAGGCTCCACTGGGTATTTGATCTCGTCACACTTGGCCTGGGCCAAAGTGCTGAAATAATCACTCTTCTGGTTGGAGGCCAGCCCCGACTTGATCAATAATACTTTTGATGCCCATGTGGTTGCACTGCACCCAATGTGAGCTTCCTATTGGCTAGGTGCCAAAGTCCCTTGGGGTTCGTCGACGTATAAATCACCCGGACACCTGCCTTTCCGACCTGTCGTAAGGCAATTGGATTTTTTTTTTTGTTTCCTCTCTTCGCCATGCAGCTTTTGGCCCTCGTGACAGGCCTGGTTGGCGTTGCCAATGCCGCCTGTCCTTATATGACCGGTGAAGTGGACAGTCGCATCGAGCGCAGAGGTGACAATGATGCCGCTGCCGACACGGAGGAATTCTTGTCGGGCTTCTACCTCAAGGATCAAGACGTTTATCTGACCTCTGATGTCGGCGGTCCCATTGAGGACCAGAACAGCCTCAGTGCAGGCGAGCGTGGTCCAACCCTTCTCGAGGATTTCATTTTCCGTCAGAAGATCCAACGCTTCGATCATGAACGAGTAGGTTATGAGTAATCCCAATTGAATCGGCTGAGACTTATACATATATCTTTCATAGGTACCGGAACGTGCTGTTCATGCCCGAGGCGCTGGAGCCCACGGGACATTCACCTCCTATGGCGACTGGTCTAACATTACCGCTGCCTCGTTCCTTTCGGCCAAGGGCAAGCAAACACCCATGTTCACCCGTTTCTCCACTGTTGCTGGAAGTCGTGGAAGTGCCGATACAGCACGCGATGTGCACGGATTTGCCACTCGATTCTACACAGACGAAGGAAACTTTGGTACGACCCGATGCCCTTCATAGATGAACTCGGCTAATTCATGTATAGACATTGTTGGAAACAACATCCCCGTCTTCTTCATTCAAGATGCCATCCTTTTCCCCGATCTCATCCACGCCGTGAAGCCCCGCGGCGACAATGAGATCCCCCAGGCTGCTACTGCCCACGACTCTGCTTGGGACTTCTTCAGCCAACAGCCTAGCTCATTGCACACTTTGCTTTGGGCAATGGCAGGTCACGGAATCCCTCGTTCTTTCCGTCATGTGGACGGATTCGGTGTGCACACTTATCGTCTGGTCACGGATGATGGCAAGACCAAGCTGGTCAAGTTCCACTGGAAGGGTCTGCAGGGTAAAGCTAGCTTGGTGTGGGAAGAAGCCCAGCAAGCTGCTGGCAAGAACCCGGACTTTTTGCGTCAGGATCTTTTCGAGGCTATTGAAGCCGATCGTTTCCCCGAGTGGGAGGTGAGTAGTCCTTATTCTCTGGTGTTAAAATCCACTGCTAAATCCATTTCTCTCAGCTTGGTGTCCAAATCATGGAAGAAGAGGACCAGCTTCGCTTTGGTTTCGATCTTTTCGATCCTACCAAGATTGTCCCCGAGGAGCTTGTGCCCGTCACAAAGCTGGGCAAGATGCAGCTGAACAGAAACCCATTGAACTACTTTGCTGAGACAGAACAAGTCATGGTATGGCACTCAATTCCCCGTATCTGGGCATCCCCCAAAACTAACCTCCCCAGTTCCAACCGGGTCACATCGTCCGCGGTGTCGATTTCACAGAAGACCCTCTCCTCCAAGGCCGTCTCTTCTCCTACTTGGACACCCAACTCAACCGCCACGGTGGCCCCAACTTCGAGCAGCTGCCCATCAACCGTCCCCGCGTCCCTATCCACAACAACAACCGCGATGGCGCAGGCCAAATGTTCATCCCTCTCAACAAAGACGCCTACTCACCAAACACCCAGAACAGTGGCTCTCCCAAACAAGCCAACCAAACAGTCGGCAAGGGCTTCTTCACCTCCGACAGAACCACAAGTGGTAAACTCCAGCGAACAGTCAGCACTACCTTCGAAGATGTCTGGTCCCAGCCCCGTCTCTTCTGGAACTCGCTCGTCGCAGCGGAAAAGCAATTCGTCGTTGACGCCATGCGCTTCGAGACTTCCAACGTCAAGTCTGACATCGTTCAGAACAATGTCATCATCCAACTCAACCGTATCAGTAATGATCTGGCTACTCGTGTCGCAGAGGCAATTGGTATCTCAGCCCCCAAGCCAGATGACACTTTCTACCATGACAACACAACCGCGCACATTGGTGCATTCGGTCAGAAGTTGAAGACACTGGAAGGACTCAAGGTTGGATTACTGGCCTCAGTATCGAACAAGAGTTCCATTGCCGAGGGCGCAAAGTTGCAGAGCGCACTTAAGTCTGCTGGTGTTGATGTTGTTGTCGTTGCAGAGAGATTAGCAGACAATGTCAGCCAGACATACTCTGGTTCTGACGCTGTGCAATTCGATGCTATTGTCGTGGCCAATGGTGCGGAGGGATTGTTCAGTGGGAAGAGCTTCACTGGAAAGCCTGGTAAGGGAGCTGCGTCTCTTTTCCCGGCTGGAAGACCTTTGGATATTCTGCTTGATGCTTTCAGGTTCGGAAAGCCTGTTGCTGCTGTTGGTAATGGAAAGGTTGCTTTGCGGAATGGGCAGATCTCTTCTGAGCGTGACGGTGTCTATGTTGCGGATTCTGTTGAGTCGTTGGTTAAGGGCGTGAAGGAGGGATTGAGCACTTTCAAGTTCCTGGATCGCTTTGCTCTGGATTAAATATTGTGATGATAGTTTTGCACATAGTATATTTATGACACCCTTTATGTTTGTACATGGCCTACACGAAGTATTGGGGAAAAAATAGAATAAAAGATGTAAGCTTAATGGTTATATCAAACTGCCAGAAAATACCATGAGAACTTCTAAAGTTAGAACGTGGGAATTGGAGAGCAGCAAAGCACGTTGAATAATTTAGCTAGGGTCTATATGTACAAACAATTCCCATGTGCTTCATACGCAGTCCTCAGATCTCTCGCAAACTCAACACCGACCGTCTAAAGGTGAGGGTTGAGGAGGTGGCGACGACGGGCGAAAGAGCTCATACTGGAAGCCGCAGCACGAACACTCATCTTTCTCTTGGTGGATGAATTACCCTTCTTCTCATTACCAAGGATAGTCCATTCAGCAACTGTAGCTCCAGTTCCATTCTTGGCATCAACGTCGACAGAGTCAAGAGCCTGGTTTCCGACGATAAGCAGTGATGCATATCGGGCGGCGGGTACAGGTGAAGTCAGAGTGATGTTGGTGGTGTTGCCAGTGGGAATGGAAATGATATCGAGATTGGTGGTCTCGGAATCGTATGGGTCTGATTGAGTGATGTTGGTCAGAGCATGAACGATTCTGTAATCGGAGCTCTGAGAAGAAAGAGCCTTGGCCGGATCTTGGAGAGTTGTGTTGTGGAAGATCACGGTGGCATTAACAGGGGGTGCCTGAGCCCAGTCGAAGTAGAAGCCTGAGACCAAGGCGCCAGCCTCTTCCTCAAATGACACTGTCACGGCGCTCAGATCGGAGGCTAATTCCGGCTGCCATTTGGTGGAAGACGCGCCATCCACTGCGGATATCGGGAACTGGCCGGGTTCGAATGCATTGGTAGAGGTGACCGGGTGACATTGGACAAGGTTTCCGGCGACGGTGTTCTCTGTGCCGCTCTGGCGGTTGGGAATGACAACGGACCCCTTCAATGGCAGGTGGTAGGTGATAGCATCAGTCTCAGGACCGGAGTGAATGGTGATTGTCTTGTTGGCGAATCTTTGGTCGGCAGTATCCAAAGGTGGGGTACCAGTGGCATGGCTGATGGTCGTGTGGGTGTAGTTAGACCACGCCGAGATAGGCCATCCGCGCCAGTAGAAGGTGCGATACTTCAAGTATGGAATCTGAGGGGGCAGATTAGGGTCGACATGGAGGATATCATCGGGCCGCAGTCGCAGACCAAGGTACCCATAAATGGCAACCTGGTTGGCACCACCATGACCAGTGAGGAATGGATAAGCCGGGTGTGTGCCTCCGTTGATGGTGGTGTTGTCCACCATCTGCTCCGACATTTGGAAGAAAGGCGCACGTGTGTATGGTGCAAAGGAATACTGGCCATAGGTGTACGCAGAGCAGCCAGAAGGAGCCATCTCGTTCGCCACGACTGAGAAGATAGCCCATGTCATGGCAGGGCCATCTGCCGACTGCTTGGCAGCATAGTATTCCAGATCATCCAGGGAGTTCTGTGTACTATAGTTGGAGGTGTAGCCAAGAGGGAATGTGACCATCACAACATCGGCTTGCTTAACCACGGCACTTCCATTCATGGTAGTGTACTCAAGGGTCACATCGTTTTCGCGAAGAACCAATACTTTGTCGGCCATATCATCCCAAGTTGAATTCTCTTCAAGCCCGAACTGTTGTCGGAAGGAGTTAGCATGTCGAAGGGTTTCAGCAACTACTGGCATCGTGAAGCCACCCGCATCGACATGGTTTGCATATTCGTCCTGCTTTTGTCAATAAATTGATCATTAACGTATATGAACATAACTCACAGGGTCGGTCATGTTCTTCATGGTCCAGTAGGAACCATTTCGAACCAACAGGTCGGCATAGAGGGTGGCGGCGGAGTCGTAGATTGGGAAGTGCTCCTCCTCAAAGAGTTTGGTGTTTCCACTAGCCACCCACTGGTTGACAAGGGAGATTCCAATATCACCATTCAGATGATACTGATAGTCCCAACAGGCGCCAGTTGCTGTGCAGTTACCGAAACGGCCACTTGTCCAGGGGAAGATGGCAGCCGAGTCACTGAAGCGGGTCTGGTTCTGTGAGCCTGTGAATGAGGTTTTTATGTTCTCCTTTGCCTGGGCATATCTCTCCACGCGGTAATTGGTGAACCGTTCGGCTGCCTCGGGATGAGAGGGAACCAGGCCGGGCTGCATCCATACATCCGCATCCCAGAAGACCTGGCCACCGTATGAATCGGACGTTAAACCACCAACTGAGATGCTGTCAACATTGACTGCGGCTCCATTTGTTTCATTGATCGCATTCTTGCCAACGGTATTCTGCACCAAGTAATAAGTATTGGCCACAGATATCACGGCATAGTCAATAATATTGCTATCGGCCGGGAGAGTTCCATTGGGAAAAGCGAAGTGATCAACGGAGCTTTCAGGCATAACGCTTGCCCATTCCAGGATGTGGGATCGAAGAGACTTGGCGAAACCGTTCTTCATTGCCGTGGAAGCGGCATTCTTAGCCACTTCTTTCGGGTTCTTGAAAGCATCTGTTGAGGCACCTCCAACAAATTTGGTAACACGAACGACCTGTCCTGGCTTGAACTCGACATCCACAGCCTGGGCAATGGACGATTCGTTAGCATGGATGTACGGCTTGTTCTCGACAATCTTGCGAGAAGAGAGATCCACGTTTGACGAGGCAGTGATATTCGCGTAGATGTAAGCCGTCACATTAGCAATTCCATTCGGTCGGACAGCTGAGAAAATGGCCCCATTGTCCTGTCCGGTTTCCACAAAGTCGGTGCGCACTGCAGATGCTCCGTCGATGACATTGACGACCTTCGCCTTCGTTTCCTTGGATGGGACAATCTCCAAGTCAACGATAGCTTGGTTCACATACAACTTGTGGGCAAAGAGTCGGTAAGTGATCTGGTATGACCCCTTGTCGCCCTCGGGTGTCCACTTATATGACCAAACCAAGACACCTGCTTGGAAGTCGTATGTTGTTCGGAATTCAGAAATGGTCTTGTTGTCAACCTTTGCATCCAAATAAGTGTCATCACCAAGATCCAAAACTAGTCCAGCCCAGTGGGGGACACCGCTGATGACGCTATCGTCTCCGTATTGCGAGAGCCAGGGGAAGTTGCTCCCATTGGTGGTGGGCTGGGAATCAAAGAATCCACTGATGGTAGCAAATGACTGGCGGGTAGAGAACAAGGGCCAGCCGTTGGTGTCCTCAGGACTGTCGACCTCAAAGAATGGCCCAGCACTGGCCACATTGATACCCAAGTATCCATTGGCCACGGACCCTCGAGATTCATAGCGACCTTGCTCTAAGTTGGTCGTACTAAGTAGCCAGTTGTCCTCGTCCCAGGTCACACCGTCAAACCCTGTTTGGTACACATTCCGACTGGAATTTGTTGAGGGGCCTGACCCTGTGTGCCTCTTGAAGTTCTTGATGATTCGGCTACTGGGGGCTCCAGTAGCTGAACCAAGTTGTACAAGCAGCGGCAAGACCGCGCATGTGAATAACTGGGTAGGATGTGAGCTGCAGCCCTATTTGACATCAAGTGACAGTAGACTCACTGGAAGCTGCATAGTGCAGTCAATGCCGTCGTTTTGACCTATTCAGTTCGTACGGCAGATCGAAACACACTCGACGTTTATTGTCGTTCAGGTACGTGGGGAGTAGGAAAGGGAAGCTCGGGGTTTAAATGTGGGCTCTGGTTTCAAAATGCCGAAGCACATAGATATTGTTAAATTACCCAAATGTGGGGAATCGGCAGACCGCGAGGACCGTTCACGGGGTCATACGAGGGAGTGACCACGGAAGCAAGTGACAGCCGTCAGCCAAGCCGTGAAGCAGGATGTATGGAAGAGGCTAGTGGCTGGTAATGGTAATGGCGGACAATGGCAAGACCGGGAAATGCGGGCAGCGACCAGGCAACACTGGTATTGGCCGTGAAAACCGAAGGTTTACCGGCATCTTTTGCGGGTAGGACTTGCCCGGGGCCCCAGATCATCGTCATCGACATCCCGTAGAAGGTTTGGCGCGAGACTTTGTGGGGAAACGAAAAGTATCCGAGGCTGTCCGAAGGTTCAAGTGAGGTAATGCCCCGATAAATGTCCGTTATGTTACTCACCGAAGTGATGAAAGGGCAAATGGTGTATAAAGGGGAGATCAGAAGGATGAAGAGAGGGAAACTGCCTAGTTTGTGGTTTGTGCCTGAAATATAAGGTGTCAATTGAATATGTCAACTTTCCACGTCCAATTCGGCATTCTAGTTCTTTTTTGGTCTTTTGATCGAGAAACTATTACGCACAAAGAGTCTAGAAGCCCCCAGTCTGGTGCTAAACGGTTGCAGGAACCGAAAACGTGTACAGACTACACCCTTAGTGGGAACGCCAGGGCTGAAGTGGTAGAATACAGTAGGAGCAGTTCAAATTAGATCAACTAATTGGAGTCACTGCCAAGGCAGGAATTCTCTGTGTTTGAGAAGACAATGTTGGGCACTATCACCGGCGGAGTCGATTTGGGCGCTGGTGATCTCAGTAGACCTCTCATGGAGAACCGGGACGTTGGCTCCCATCTGCCTGATACTTGCCGGCCATCCCATGTTGCAGGAGACATGGATGTGTCATTTTGCAATTTCGCCGTGCATATCGCATCATAGTGGCCTGCGAAGTCACATCAATTGATGCGTTTTCTTGTTCGTGCCAGGGATTCATATGCAAACAAGGCTGCCGTCTCTTCGTGACCATTCCCCCTATTTTCAGGTCAGACTGTTCAAGCGCATTGTGTTTCGAAGAATGTCACAGGTGCATCAGTATGAGACAATAAATAGCCTATGTTAGTAGCCGAATATCTCACTTCCTTCTATTTTCTATTCGCTATCCTCGTCCAGATTTTGTTCGAGAACCATCCGACTGGGAGTTGACCGCGTCGAGGGCTCAACGGAGGGGCGACTCGAGGCCGGTGTCGATCGGCGAACCACGCCGCTCGGCCTGGAACTTGTATTAATAGCCCTCTCGCCGACGAAGTGGTCCCCAGGCCACTCCGCCTGGCACACAGGACACTGTTCTGCCTGTTGCATCCGGAAAAAGTTGCGTATGCAATGGTCATGGAGGCGACCCTCACAGTGGATGTCAGCGCAACGTTGGCCCTGGATGTGGTCAGATTGGATCTCGACTTCAGAGCAAATTTACTTACCACGGTGACCATATCTTTGCATGCGGCACAGAACCGGATCTTGGTCGATTCCTCGTCATTGTACTCCATCGCCAGCCACCCCCGCAACTCCATTAACGCGCGGGGGGTAAGGGTCAGATACCCCTTGCGGCTTTTTTGGAACCACCCCTCCTCGATCAGGTTCCGGATCGTCTTCTCCGCTTGTGTCATAGTCAAGGACTGTGACGCTGCACTCTGCGTTTGCGATGGCTCGTCGGTCGCAGGGCGTGTCGTCGGTGCTTTATGTAGTCCCACGGCTTGCAGTTGTGCGACGCACATTCCTTCGGTTCGGACGGTGTTATTTGTCAGGAACATGTAGTCCAGTAGGCGTTTGATGAATGCGACTTCATCTGCGGTATACGTTGTGGCGAGCTGGGTCAAGGGATCACTGGTGTTGTTGACCAGCGCCCACACCCGCTGGGGAGGGTCCTCTTGGGCCTGCGGGTCCTGGGGCAAGGAGCTTCGGATCTCGAGGTCAAACTGGGAGATTGTCCGGTTTGCCGCATCCAGGTAGGCGTAGAATTGGTCTTCAGTGACATCTGTGGGATCGACTCTTTCCCCTCCTGTTCGACCTGTCAGCGGCGTCTCCCCCGGATTTGTCGGACTCTGTACCAACTGAGAGGATGGCTGCCAACACAGGCTGGGCCTCTTCAAAGGTCAGGGTGGAGCGACCCATAAAGGCCTGTAAAAAGGCGCGATTCCGATCATCGTATGCCATCTTGCGATGCTCGACGAGGCGAAAGACTGAGACGCGACGCGATTCAACGATAAGCGATAAGAGGGCCTGAGGCAGCAATCTGCAACGAGTGTGTACCTAGGTACCTAGGTAAGTAGGTATGGAGTACAGTCGTATAGTAGAGTAGAGAGTAGAGAGTAGAGAGTAGAGAGTAGAGAGTAGAGAGTAGAGAGTAGATAGTAGAGAGTAGAGAGTATGGTAGGAAAACATTAGAGTGCTATTCTTACAGAGTATCTCGAACTGATCGAAGACAAAGAAATGTCCACAAAGAAATATCCTTAATTTCAACATAATGTGCAGAGTACAGACCAGTAGTACTCTGCCTAGAGAATAGAAAATAAGAGAGAGATTCCAAACTACTATAGAATATGAATTCAACCATATAAAGTGAAGCAATTGAATAGATCTAAGGGTTCGGGAGGGCCGAACCAAGTTCCCACACTGACACTTCTCTACTCTGCTCTCTGCTCTCTACTTTCTACTTCTGCACTCTACACTCTACACTCTACCCTATTCTCTGCTCTTATTCCACACTCAAACTCTCTGTACAAGATATCCTCGTGTTCTACTCACGGGATATGTTGCACAGAAACTCTCAATTCCCTGTCTCGCCAACTGAGACGCCATGATGTCACAGCTCTGAATCTGAGATCTGAGATCTCTGCAGGAATCAGAATATCAAGTCTCAGCATACCACGAGAACTGCATCCAATCTAAAGGGCAGTACAGCTCTGTACAGTACTCTGTACGGAGTCCCTACCCCATGTTCGAAGCCAGCAAGGTCGCAGCGGTGAAGCTCAAGATTGAGAGATAGAAAAATCTGCACAAGCTTCCCAGCTGACAATTGTGCTGAACCCGATTGCCCTCAATGGTTGCACTACAGCCCGCAATGTCTATGAGTGGTTCCCAAGACCCCATCTGGCCTGCACAGAGGCCCCAGATAGTCTGATGCCTTACCCCTTTTGGTGCGATCGGCACCCGCCAATCTGCGCTATTACATCGCAATCGTGTTGATCTCTTCAGCTCGCCTCGAACCTATGGTGGACAATCCAATCGTGCGCAAGCGCCACTCAAGATGAGATCTGTCGAGCTGCAAGCTGAAGAGAGACCCTGTTGTAGATTACTCCACCCCCCTCGTTCGTAAAGCTTCTGGGTTTTTTTCCTCTTCTTTCTTCCTTTCCTCGTATTCCCCCCCCCCCCCTCTGTATTTTAGTGATATCCTTCTTTTTTGAATATGCCCACTCCCATTCCTGGCCCCGCTGGAGTTCCGCTCCTGGGTAATATTTTTGACGTCGACCCAAATGAGACATGGAACTCTTTGAACAAGCTGGCCAAGCAATATGGTACGCAACCTGGACAATAAACATCGGAATCCTCTCTAATTCATGGCAGGCCGCATTTTCAAGATCAACGCTCTAGGTCACGAAATCGTCTTCATCAGCAGTGTCGCTCTCCTCGAAGAAATCTGTGACGAGACCCGATTCCGCAAATGTGTCACTGGCCCTGTAGTCGAGATCCGATATGCAGTACACGACAGTCTGTTTACCGCATATCATGACGAGCCCAGCTGGGGCATCGCTCATAACATCATGATGCCTCACCTCACTCAATCTGCGACCGATAGCCTCTTCGGCGATATGGCCGAGGTCATCCCCGATCTCACCAATAAGTGGAGCGCAGGCGTCAAGCAGCGCACCCTCATCACAAAGGATCTCGACCGTCTCCTGTTGGCATCCTGTATGCAGAGCTTCTTCAATCAGCGCGTGCATGTTCTCGAGGGCGCCGAGCCCCCCATGATCAACGCCATGGAAGCTGCTACAATGGAGGCGATGAAGCGCCCCACTCGTCCAAGGGTGTTGAACTGGCTGCACCAGCTTACCTTTGCAAAGAACACCAAGATCATGCGCGATTTCTCGGCTAATGTGATCAAGACAAGGAGGGAGAACCCCGAGACAGCCCGCAAGGATATCCTGGATGCAATGATGAATGGTTCCGACCCCAAGAGTGGCAAGAAGCTCGACGAATCCGAGATGATCGATGAAATCATCTCATGCTTCATTGGTGCCGCCACAGCCCCCAACCTCATCTCCTTTGCTCTATACTACCTGATGGAGAACCCCAAGGAGATTGAGAAAGCCCACGAGGAACTTGACCGCGTTGTTGGCGACGGCAAGATCCAGCTCGAGCACCTCAAGGACCTCAATTACGTCGAGGCCATCCTCCGCGAGTCCATCCGTCTTTCTGCCCCCGCCCCAGGCTTCAACATTGAACCCATCAATGCTGATAGTAAGACCGATACAGCCCCCATCCTGATCGGAGGTGGCGAGTACCAGATCACCCACGACCAGAAGATGATTGCCGTCCTCGGCCAGGTCAACCGTGACCCAGAAGTCTTCGAGGATCCCGAGGCCTTCAAGCCAGAGCGTGTGCTCGGTGAGAAGTGGGATCAGCTCCCTGCGGCTGCGAAGAAGGGTTTCGGTAACGGCAAGCGTGAGTGCATTGGTAAACTCTGGGCTTGGCGCTGGTCCTTCTTCACCTTGGCTAGTATCCTCAAGGATACTAGCTTTGAGTTGGCGGATCCTAAGTACAAGCTTGAGTCCAATGGTGCGTTCAGTGTAAAGCCGCTTAACTTTTATGGATTGGTTGGCCCGCGCAAGTAGGGTGTGTGTTTTTTTTGCTGTCTCTACTTTAGCTTTATGATCTCTACTTTAGCTTTATGACTCTCAGAATGAAATGAAACTGCTATATTCAATATAATCATTCTATTCTATTTTCTATTTTATTTAGTTCATGGCGTTGGGTTTACGTGGGTATTGCGTATGCAAGTGGGCATGTCCGCCACGTATACGCCACATAAGTGAAACACGGATTGCGAAAGAGTTAAAATTCTTAATTCTCCAGGGCTACACTCATCTATTTAGGGAAGATATTCAAGTGAATGTGGTATATTGCATTTCCATAAAGAAAAAAAAAGGACCAGCCTATAGTCTCTATATTGACACAGAAGCAGAAACCATTCCAGCTGGGTGATGGATCATTTCCAAAATGACCCCAAGTCTATCTTCAACAATCATGACAAAACAACAAAAATCAAAGAAAACATTTTAAGAACTGTAGTCGATAGTAACAGCCAGACGGACAGGACCGGAGGCAATGTTAGCACCGATACCACCGATATCAGTCTCGGCAGAGGTGTAGGCATTGTCGACAGTGGCAGCATCCTTGGTGATAGAAGAGCAAGTGGAGCCAAGGGCATCACAAATCTTCATACCAGAGATGCTCATGTCCGCATTCTGAGCGGCAATGGCCGAGACGTCAAAGCCAGACCAGCCGTTGTTGGTGGTGGATCCGAAATCGAACTCACCCCAAGTGGAGGCGTAGCCACCCGATGAGTCGGTGGGGATGGTTGAGCCAGAGGCTGCAGCCCAGCCACCCTGGGAGTCGTCATCAAAGGCAATGTACTTGGTCTCGCCTGCGGCGAGGGTGAAGGTGTTACAGGCTTGTCCGTACCACCCGTCCATCTTCCCATCTTTGCCGTACTTGTTGAAGATGGCGACGGTCCAGTCGTCAGTGTTGGATCCCTTGAACTGCGCCACGTACTTGTACTGGCTGGCTTCGGAGCTGGAGACCTCAATGATGTTGCTGCCGTACGGGTTGCCGACGTTGCCTGCGTAGGTCACGCCGGTGCCGGAGGAGCTGGTCGAGCTGCCGAACCCAGAAGTCGCGTACGAGCCGCTGGAAGGGGTGGAGGTCCAGTCTGAGTTGGAGCTGGCGCTGGTGGTGGTTGCGCGACGCTCCACGCCGGTAGGCCGGGCCAGGGTGCCGGTGGTGAGGGCTGCGAGCAGCATGAGAGACTTGGAGAATTGCATGGCTGTGGATTCTTTTTTCCTTTGGAGGGCAAGAACTGTTGGAACAACAAGGAAGACAAATGTAAAAGAGTGTTGTTGTCTTAGAAGAATTCCAAAGACTTGTTTTTAATGAGTGACAAGGTGACCGGTTACCAAAAAAGAGTGTGGTTGATGGAGAGAAAGAGAGTGAGAGAACGAGCCCTATATATAGGCTTCATGAAAGAATCTTCCGCCACGCTCGCCTCCAACGTCCAGACCCAAGGTGCCTGGTACCTGGGCCCCATCCATGGGCAACGAAGCACAGGTACGTCAGACCGTTGGAGGGATACGTAGGCCTATTCCACCGGGGTCGAGGCCATGGTGGGTTTGACAGATTCTTTGCAGTGGATGCACAGAAGTAGAACGTAAAGAATCACAAACATCACACCCATGGGTCTGCGTGGGATAAACAGTATGATTGGGCTGGTTGACTGGAAAGACAAGCCACGGTCCCATTCCAGTCCAATTCTAGATCGAATGCAGTGTGTTCGGGTCATTCGTCATTGGGCGGAGCCTGGTGGTTCCCCAGGGCTAGACAGCAATCCAGGGAACTCTTTGCACTGGGTGCCAGGGGCCGCTGTGTTCCGTAGGCCATGGCTGTAACACAACCATGAATCTGAGGATTCTCCGCATCCTTTATTCGGACAATCAGTTTCATGAACGCGATCATCGGGCTCCATTTATGGAGACCCAAACAAAGTTTGCGAACTGGATCAACTTCTAGATCAGTCCTGAGTCTACCCGGAATGGTCTGGAACCGAGTCCGGAACTGAGATGAACTGATCTGACTGGCCTTGTCAAGTGCATGGTAATGAAGTTGAGGGTAAGGGGATCCAAGTGATTAAGGTCAAGACCACTACGAGGAAGACCAGGTGATGTGTTCAAACACGCAAGGACCATTATTGTGCTGGGACCAGGCCTGTGTCCATGGAGGGGCAGTCAATGGATCAGGAGTAATGCAGTATGATTGGTCAGCCATTACACAGTGACAGCCAATCATAATACAGATGCAAGTCTTGGCAGGGCAAGGGCTTGAGTGGAGCCAATCATTGTACTCCTTTCGAGTCTAGCGCAACCTCGGGACCAATGGACTTTGTTCTTGTGAATTTCCTTCGCTTCTCTTTTCTAAGTCTCTTTTTTCTAAGACTTCACAATTTGTTCCAGGTTCAATGGGAGAATTGACTCTCTGCTTCAGCTGAAATTGTAGTGAAGAGCCTGCATTTTAGTGAACTCCCAATTTGTATCATGGACGTTGGAGATCAGTCTTACTCTGAAAACCTCACAGTCATGCTCGGTAAATCTGAGAACACAGATTCCATTCTATTCACGCAAGATCCACATGCTCCATAGTCCTACTTGGCGCTCAGTTTCTTATTTACTCCGCAACGTTCTAGATTCTGACCAGAGCCGGAGTATCAATTCTTTCCGAGGACATTGCTGAAAGCGAGAATGTGCGTCTTTGTTTACCGGATATTCTCCGGCAAAATAAGGTTGGCCGCTAGTGACATCAACGAGACTGGAGTCTAGACGGCCCAGGCTATACTTAGTTCCATTTGCACACATCCATGACACTGTGATTACGAGGTAGGTCTTGGAGATTCCCTTTGTTTGATTCTTGGATCTTGCGTCCTTTCTGTGACCATCGGCACATTCTAGGTCTCATCTCGGTGTCACATGGATGAAATAGGTTTTGATTATTAAGGACATTGAATGGTATCACATATGCTTCTGTATTCTGATACCTCAGAGATACCAGGTTCTCTATACCAAGACATTCATCGATATTCCGTCTGAGATGGCATCTCGTGCAGCGTGCTCTTGGGCTGGCTATCAAGCTCCCTGGGTGGTCCGGGTTCGGAGCTCCTACCAGGAGTAACGAAATACCCCGAGGTTTCTTGCATGCCTGAAACATAACTCGAGGGGGAAGAATCTGTCCCCAGCGAGATGGCCGCGTTCTTACGTGCCCTTTTGCGGAGGATGAACCATACCAGTCCAGCTAGTAGGGCCAGTCCGGCCACTCCTCCCACGACTCCACCGGCAATGGCCCCGGTATGTGAGTTAGACGAGTTAGCGGAGTCTGTAGCGGACGGAGTTGGGCTTGCAGTATTGGTTGCAGGTGTAGTTGTTTGGGATGCACTGGATGATGTCGCAGATACTGAGGCTGAAGATGAGGCTGATGCTGAGCTTGAGGCTGAGGTTGATGTGGCTGTCGGTATGTGAGTATTCATATAATTTATATGATGAGGTCTTCACGTACCGTGGTATCGGATAGCCAAGAGAGAGACGGTGTCGTCCAATTCTGATATATCATCGGTGCAGCCAACAAAGCTGGTATCCTTGTTCATAAAGGCCGAGGTGTCCGAGGAACAGCAAAAGTACCCTTTTGCTTTATAGACGTTGGCGGTGCTATTTGCGCAGTGCGTGTTATCGACCAACTCAGTGCAGTCGGCATCTGACGGACAACACTTGACATTGCCCTGGCCTTTGGGGCATTTGGTGCCATTAGGGCAACAGGCATGGAAGGGCGACCAGGTTTCTCCACAATCCGTCTCGGTGCTCAGACAGGAACCATTTCGGCGAACCGACAAGCCATAGGGACTACTCAGTAGGTCGGACATAATTTCAAATGATAAATAGTAAGTAAATTCTCCGTAGTAAACTCCAAGTTGACCTGCAAAGCATGAATTGGGGGGCGTCGGCTTATAATCGTCAGGGTCCCAGCCCCAAAGGCCAATCTAACCTCCATCTTTAAATGGAGAAGCACTATAAACTAGCGTCTACACTAAGTCAAGCCACCGTCAACTAACTCTGCACTGGCAAATTTGAGGTACTTTGTCATTTCTTGGTTTTTGTGCAGTGTCCTCGACTCCGAGGAACACTGGATTGACGGAGTTTCACATATCTGTGCCCAAAACGATTCCTCTTTTTCTTTTCTTCATCCATCGGACTGTGCAGACAATAAGGAGCACCAAGGCGGCAAGGACGAACTTAAATTGCATTGGGTCTTGCGTATGAACGCCATGAATCTGGGATTCAGTCGATGCACGGTTGCTCGATGTGACGACAGATCCGTAACGAGAACCCGATGGGATTTGGGCGGTTTCTTGGTCATTCGAGAGGGGTTTCCCGGGTTTCTTTCGAATCAGACCGTAGTCTGGCTCTGCAGACAGTTTGTAGCTGTCGTCCTGCTCTAAGAGCCATTGCTCATAGTCTGTGGTAGGTCTGTCATGCATTTGATGCCAATTGAGAAGCAGGAGATCAGGAATTGGGGAAATACTCCGAAGAAACGGAGTGCACGAGGCGGCATCAGCCCCGTTCTTAGCTTCTCTCCACTGGGGGCCAAAATTCACGGGCGACCCTGGATCTGCGAATTGGTCACCTGTTTGGGCAACCTGTCAATTTGCTGCAGCTTGGTCTTGGACTTAGGCTCTTGGCGTTGGGGTCTGCCCTGAAGACCCTGGCCGTCTGTTTAGATACTCGTCAACAGGTCATATCTGGAACTATCACTTGCATATAATGTTACTTTGAATCAATTTAGAATAGAAAATAACATATATCAAAAAAGAAAACTGCCAAAAATAAAACAAAAAAGAATGCTCACACCCGGGATTGAACCGGGGATCTCATCATTTCATAAGGAGTTACGAGCTGATTTGCGGTTAGTTATGTGATCCGACTTTCTGTGAAGACAGAAATGCTTACTGATGCGCTTTACCACTAAGCCATGCGAGCTGAGTATGTGACAATGTATTCACTATTTTGGCACCATACCCTGATAGACAACCACCTCCATTGAGAAATACTTATGGGCTAATTTCATGATTCATTTTGTGTTTTGCTAAATATTTGACAGTTTCCTTACAAACTTACTAAACCACTTACTAACAATTTACTCTGTTGCACCGATCTAACTTCACACCTCAATCAGACAGCGGTGACCCTGGGGAGCCATGAGGAACGTGGCCGACATCTCCATGTCACTCGTAGACATACCCTCTTTCGTCGACAATCGAGCATCAGGCATCGTTCGGTAGAAGAGAGCAGTGGCGAGACGCAGCTCCATGCGAGCAAGATGAATGCCCAGACAAACTAGAGGGGTGAGTATAATGAAACCATCAGGAAAGATAGAAACTAACTTCGAGAGCCACCACCAAAGGGCAGTGATGCATCTTTCATCTCCCGGGTAGGAGATTCCCACCTCTCGGGGTAGAAGCTAGTGAAGTCAGCACTACAATCCAGGTTCAGTCGGCTTCAACGCACCTTTCAGGGTCCGGGAAGATGTTGGGGTCCCGATGAAGACTGTACGACTGGGTCGCGGCCGTGATGCCGCCAGGCACGAAGAACCCATTGAAGGTGGCGCCTCCTTCTGGGACGAGTCGGGGCAGTCCGGTGGGGACAGCGGAGTACAACCGCAACGTCTCGCTGATCACCTGGCTCAAATAGGGCAGATCGCGAAGGCTCTTATCGCTGACTGGCTCCGGCACACTGGCCACTTCAGCTACAAGCTTCTCTTGCACATGCCGGTTCCGGCAAACTTCGTAAATAAGATATGTCAAGGTGACGGCGGTGGTATCACTTCCTGCAACAATGTAGGCCTGTGCCTCTTGCCGGATGTCGTCGAACAACATTCCACTCTTCTCTGTGTCGAACAGCTTGGTGAAGAGCGTGGGTTTCGCACCCGACGGGTTCTGAGTCAGTGAATCCTGATACTGTCGAACATACTTCGCTGCATACATTCCCAGTCGCTTGCCGGACGCCGCCGATTTTTTGAAAATTGGCAGTGGGAGATAGCTTCCAAGCTTGACCAGGAAAGGGAATGTCACTCGGATGGCTCCAACGGATGACAGGTTCTCCATGTCGAGACTATATTGGTTTTTCTTTGGTCTCCATTAGTCCATGACCTTGCTTCTCATGATTCTGCTTACCTTTCCCGATTCGAGCATTCCAAACGACTCTCCAAAACTGAGCTGCCCGATGATATCGGTGGCCATGAAGAGCCACCACTTGAATACATCTGCCACTCCCCGAGAGTCCATCTCCTCGACCATTCTTCTGATCGTCAGACGAATTCGATCGGCTATCACAGGTTCAAGACGACTGATTGACGAGTCTGAGATCGGGGATGCCAGCAGACGCCGATGATCCGCATGAAACTTTGGATCCACCGTGCTAAAGACGTTGTGCGCCGCCCCTGCCACAAGCTTGCGGTAGAAGTCGGTCTTGAGGAAGCGACTGTTGGTCTTATGGATCTCCTTCACGGCATCCGTGTCGCAGATATCGACATGGTCTGGAGTGATGCGTACAATGGGACCTTTGGATGATCAGCATCATTTGCTTGAGTTGAGTCACCGCTCATACCATATTTTCCATGGAGTGCATGGACATAGTTGGGGATCTTTCCCTTCAAATAATAGTATGTATACACCGCACTGGTCCATTTCGAGATTTCGGGTCCTGGAAGATGCGACAAGGGGCTTGTGAGTCTCGCATAGGCAATGGGCTGGATTTCAGTCAGTTCTGGGTCTTCCGAGGGACATATTGACTCATACTATGAGGACTACCCCAATGAGGCATGCCAGCCAGTGGCTCGCCGCAAATGAAAAGAGTGCTGGGAGGCTCTCCATGTTTGTGTTGGAAGTGGTTGAACACACTTGGGTCGGCTTATATATATTCTTATTTGCCGACGTCCTCGCAGATGAAGACACTACGATGTCGGGCAGCATAGACCCCGACTCCCGGCAGATCGGGGGCTGGTCGCCTTTCCAATTGTCGGTCGGCCATTGGTGAACAGGCGAGGGTGACGATCGACAGCTAGTGTCGGGCTTCGGAGTTTGAACCTATACTACTTAAGTAACTGACGCAGTACTCAAGTAGATGTCTGAATCTAATTATACTTAAGTACTTAAGTAAAAAGTATAAGGACTTTCCTGGATCACTTCTAAAGTTGTTTCAACTGGTTTAATATGCAAGTTTTGCTGCGGGGATTTTGGGGCCAAAAGTAGCCAAATCAACTAAGTGCAATACAACATAATTAAAACTTATAAACAGTCTCAATCCAGGCAGTGTAGGGATATATATACTTTAGTCTATGGGTTCTGGTTAAAGGAATAAACGTGAATTCACTGAAGTGTAAGAGCCCAACGGAGTGGAATTGCACTTATAACCTGAGAACATCAACTTGCTTTATTCTTTGATGATATACTTGAGTACATATGGTAACCTATTTAAAATGTACATAGATTTACGTTTCAACTCTCATATCTGAAGACTCCAGGGCTGTACTTACGGATTACTTGTAGCTTCCGAGTTGACAAGTCGATCTTCTCCAAGGCCAACCCTGCATATTCACCCTTTGGTTTGGTTGTACGACAGAACTTTAGAAGTGAATAAGAATTTAGAGACAATATTAACAATAATATGGGAGAGAGAAACTAGGGTGTCTGACAGTTGGCAAAAAACAGATCTCGGGACTTGCGTTAACTCTACTTCTACATGAACCACTTCCCCTTCCCCTTCTCTTTCCCCTTAATCAGATGGAATATTCCAGGCGACAACATTCTCGAGCAAAGACCGCAACTGCTGTGCCAACCTCTTGGGACCAAGCATCCATGACGTTGGCCATGGCCGAGGCGGTTTCTCTTCCTAGGCCAACAGCTGAATCTGGGCAATCTTGAACGATTCTCGAGAAATGCCTCAAAGTAAAGCATACACAAATTTCTCTGAGCAACCGAGGATGCAAGGATATGCCATACCATAGCATCGAATAGTCTCGTTGGGGACGATCTCCAGTGCACATCATCGGGCAACCGCTGAGTTCTCGGCATCCCCGTGCCCGAAAATACTGGGGGATTGACCCCCTCACCCGACAAGATGATCTCCTTGGCGACTGTGCCTCGGTTTGCCTGAAGTGTGATTCTCCGCCGCTCGGAAGCAAGCCAAGTCCGCCGCGCCCCAGACCTTGGCGGGATCAGGGAGTCTCAGGCGACAATCTGGGAAGTAGATGGCTCAAATCTGGGAGTTGCCAAGGCTTGTCAGAAATGGTGAGGGTGTCGAGAAGGCTATAAAGAGGTGCAAAGGGTTCCTGAGATATGTGGTTCATATCACTTTGGCTCCCAGTCTTCTACAGGACAGGATGTCGGACAACACTTCACCTGAAAAGGCCTTCGAAGGCACCTCTGAGCATTTAAACACCGCCGAATCCGATTCCTCTGTTGCACCTTCTTATCAGGGCTCGAAAGAAGAGCGTATCCAGCATGAACGGCAACAAAATGCTGTCACGGGAAAGTGGGCCATCTTCAGCAAGCTGGGGAATCTACCAGAGTGGAAAGTCAGGGGCTCTCTCCTGCGAGGAAAGGCCCTGAACTGGTCCATTGGCTTTGTGGCCAGTTGTGGCTTCTTGATGTTTGGTTATGATCAGGGTGTACTTAGTGCACTCTTGACCTTGGACTCTTTCCAGGAGAACCAAATCCTCATGACACCTCGGGAACGGGCGAACAATCTATGCTGGCTGGACAATCCTACCAACACGGTCCCGGACCCTAACAACTGCACTGGTGATGCCAACACCCAGGCTGCTGGGGTGGCAATCTATCAGATTGGCTGCTGGATGGGGTCTTTGGTCATTCTCTTCTACGGGGAGATCTGGGGTCGCAAATCCTCGACTTTCTGGGGCTCGTCGATTATGATCGTTGGAACTATCATGCAGGCTGCTTCATTTGAGTATGGTCTTTTTGTTGGCGGTCGTATTGTCAGTGGTGTGGGGAATGGAATGGTCACCGCGAGTATGTATATGGACAGGTTTCTCTCTGAAAAGACCAGACTGACAAGACGGAATTAGCTATTCCAACCTGGCAAAGCGAATGTGCCCGTCCCCATCAGCGAGGTGTGCTCATTATGCTCTCCGGGGCATTGATCTCATGTGGTGTCATGATCGCCTACTGGGTGGACTACGGGTTCTACTTCCTGTCCGGGTCTGTCCGCTGGCGATTCCCTCTCATGTTCCAATCCTTCTTCACTATCATCGTGATGGTGGGATTGCTATTCCTCCCTGATTCCCCTCGCTGGCTCATCATGCAAGGCCGACGCACAGAGGCTCAGGATGTGACTTCTCGCCTGTTGGATAAAGACGAGAACGACCCCATGGTCCGGGAGGAGATGCGAAATATCTCCGAGGCCCTCGAGGTACAGAGTAGTGGCGGGGGTTTCAAGATGAAGGAACTTCTCACCAATGGACCTTCACAAAACCTCCGTCGGTCAGTACTCGCGATGATCTCTCAATTCTTTCAACAGATGTGTGGAATCAACTTGGTCACATACTATGCAACATTCCTATTCGAGAACTCCCTTGGCTTTGCGCCTGACATGGCACGGCTTTTATCTGCTGCCAATGGCACTGAATACTTCCTCGCTTCCCTCATCGCTCTCCCGCTAATTGAGCGCACCGGCCGTCGAAAGCTCATGATGATCGGCGCCTTGGGAATGAGTATCTCCATGGCGATTCTCGCAGGTAGTGTGTCAACAGGAACAGAGGCCGAGAATGGTGCTCCCCAGCTGGAGACCCGGTACGGCGTGACAGCCACCGTCTTCTTGTTCGTCTTCAATTCTTTCTTCGCAATTGGATGGCTGGGTATGACCTGGCTTTATCCTGCGGAGATCACCAACCTTCGGATCCGTATTCAAGCAAACGCTCTGTCCACAAGCTCGAATTGGATGTCCAATTTCCTGATCGTGATGATCACCCCGCCGGCATTCAAGAACCTGGGCTATCAGACCTACATCATGTTCGCGGTCTTCAATGCCGCTCTCATTCCTGCTGTGTATTTCTTCTTTCCGGAGACCAAAGGTCGGACTCTGGAGGAACTTGATATCATGTTTGCCAGTGCCAATGCCAAGGGCATCTCGCCTGTCAAGCATAGTTGGGAAATGCCTCACCTTTCTGGGCCTGAGGTGGACCGGGAGCTGTTGCGGTACTTTGGGCCAACGGCTATTGCTGTGGAGTCCCGGGGATAGAGAGTGAACTTGATGGCTAACATAGTAGACTCGGGGGTTAGACTCGGGGTTGGGACTTGCTTACTGTTGTAGACAAAGGATGATGTATCCTGAGTGAATGGCAGACTGTACATACCACGTCCTACTGCAGAGTATACACTTAGAGATGTGTGAAACTGAACCTGCCTACCGGGCTCATTTTCCAGATGATTGCGATCATGATTCCTCGAGGTTCAGTCTGGTCATAATATGCATAGTCAGTTCAAATCTTCGTTGCCCTACGAAAAACGGATACAAACCAGTAAGTAGGTAGATTACACATCAAGTGAATTTCGATTCCTTCGCAAGCCTGATATCATGACTAAAAACACAAATGCCAGCAAGAGTCAAGACCGAGACCCCATACCCTAGACGCTCCGCTGCGCAAAGGAAAGTGGAGACAATCCACCGACTGAGTCGCCGAACGCCAAAGAAAAAAAAAAAGTAGAAAATAGCCGTTCAGAAACAAAGAAAAGCATCTAGTAACGCCGACGGGTGGGCTCAGGGCTGGGGCTGCGAGTCGCGCTACGAGGATCCCGACCACGCTCCTGCAGCCACTTCTTAGTGCTCAGTTGCAGCTCACGGTCCAGCTCGTCTGATGGATCTTTCCGGTGAATGAAATTGCAGAATCCACCACGTACACATCCCTCGCCACTATTCAGTCGACAACACGCTTCTCGGAAATCCGTGACCGGAGACAGTTCGCAGTATATAGGTCGCGCTGCATACCAGCGAGAGTTTAACGCGTCACATGCTGCCTGTGCATCTTCCTCGTATTTGAATCGGCCGTAGACGTTACCAATGAGATCTGTCGCGAGATGTGTGAGTTTCAGGGTCCCAGGTCCAGAATGTCACAGTCCGCGATCTTCGAGTACTTACGGTCATTGTTGTTGTCACAGATCACCAGTTCTTCCAACTCGCCGTATTTGCACATCTCACACCACACATCCTCGTAGAAGGCGTCGAAGTGGTTTTGCATCTGGCTGGGGTTCATCTTGTTCTTGGGATCATAGGCCGGGTTCTGGTACATGTTGGGCATGAGAATGGTCTGGGAGTACGAGGGCTTGACGTGCTTGCGCGAGCAGCGGTCTCCGTGTCTGCAGGCGCCGATTTTGTAGTAGAAAGAACAGTTGACCTTGTCCTGCTCGGTACCGAAAATGGATGCGAGGTAGTTGGCCATGGTTGCAGATTGACAATGCCTGAGCCGGGTAGGAGTCGAGTCGAAAGGGTCAGGTAAAGAGGCACAGGACGAGAATCAGAGAGAGATGAGAGTTGGAAAGCTGAGCACCGGATGCCTGAAGTTTCTGGAGAGCTCCGAATGGATTAGGTAAGCGCCAAGCCCTGGAGTAAATCGCCTTCCAGGCCTCACGTCCGTTCAATTGGCCACTGCACAGTACATAGTACATACTTCAGTATATCCTCAAGCTTGTGGTCTGTTTGCTTCTCACGAGATATCATTCTAAGTATCTCGGGTTTTACCGCGTTCAATTCATGGGAAAAGTGAAGAAGTCTCGGGTCCAGTCATCGAAACATATTCTTGACCAGTTATATATTGGACTCTGCTCTGCATATTGCTTGGGCTTGGAATACTCTGATTTCAGATTCGGGTTCCTGACTATCCTTCCGGCTCCTCGCAGTGAATTCTAGACTAGACCTTCAATACAACTTCAGAACGGGGCCTCGGATGTTGTTCTTGGAGCGATATATATCCGACGGTAGAGGCATATGGCAGTTATGAATCTTGCAAATACACCAGACACTTCTGAAATCATACATCACACCAGAATGCAAAGTAAATATGCCATTAGATCCTACTTAAGAGGCATAGGACTAAACCAGTAAGCTGTATGGGTCTGATGTCTAGACGGATTATTAAGCCCCGCACTGAATTGGAATTAAGCTCGGTCTGTCACCTTCAACCTTCGACAAACCTGCAGGATATCTAGATTCAGTAAGTCTCCCGGTTCTTGTTGTGCCCGCAGTCTACCTGGGCATGCAATCCCCAGTCATTCCCGGGTTCGACCTGGTTCAACGGTGATATACGAGTACCATCGAACCGCCTTCGATCCGTGGACGGACACTCGATTCATGATCTTGAGCTCTCACTGTTTTCTAAGGTTGACGGGGAGCTCGTTACTGGAATGTCCAGACAGCCGCTGACGTCTCACTAGTACATAATGGCCAAAACAATCATTGTCACCGGAGCCTCCAGAGGTAATATTCCGGCGTCATCGGCAAACAGAACTATACTGACATCCCACATCCAGGTATCGGCCTTGCTGTGGCCAAATACCTCCTCACAGCACCCCAGTCCCACAATGTGGTGGTGGTAGCCCGCAGTGTCGAGCCTCTGCAAAAGCTCAAGGAGCAATACAGCAACCAAGTTGCAGTGCTGAATGGTGATCTGGCAGACTTTTCCATAGCTCAACAGGCTGTCGACAAGGCCATCAGCACCTTTGGACAGCTCGACGGACTGGTCCTCAACCACGGACTGCTCGGCCAGGTTGGAAAAATCTCCGATGCGGACCCCCAGCAATGGAAGGAGGGCTTTGATATCAACTTTATCAGTTTGGTTGCTTTTGTACGAAGATGAAACATCCATTATTGATGCACTACTAATAGGCTACAGGCCAAAGCAGCTCTGCCGGCTCTACGTCAGTCCAAGGGCAAGATTATCTTCACGTCCTCTGGTGCCGCGGTCACCGGCTACCGTGGCTGGGCTCTGTACGCCGCCACCAAGGCCGCGATGAACAACTTCGCGATGAGTCTGGGAGCGGAGGAGCCTGATGTCACCTCCGTGTCCATCCGACCTGGTATGGTGGACACGGAAATGCAGCGTGAGTTGCGCGAGGACCATGCTACCAACTTGGATGCAGAGATGCACTCCAAGTTCACCGGAGTCCACAAGGATGGCAAGCTCCTCCAGCCTGAGCAGCCCGGTCATGTCATGGCCAAGTTGGTCCTCGACGCTCCCAAGGAGCTCAGCGGTCACTTCCACTCGTATGTTCTGTCCCGCAATGATTACGCGAGCCCTACTAATGATGGGCAGATGGAACGACAAGGAACTCGGTGCTTTCCAGGCATAGAATTTTTCATTGGAACTAGTGATATAGATTTTTCTTTATCTTTTTTGAGATCTGTAGGTCTTTATAGCAAGTCAGTACTGATCGCCATAGAACAATGAATGCAAATAAAACAATGATTGTTTATACAAGTCAGTCGAAAGATGAAAAGCAATACATTTTAGAAGCATTAGGTGCAGAACACCTTCATGTTTAGCATGGAATGTAAAGGTATACATCATGTAATTGAAACTGGAATTGACAAAATCTCTGCGCGTACCTTTTAAAATACAGATAATGTGGCAATCCAATCCTCCTGCTTTTCAAGGTTGTTCATATCGAGTGAAACGAGCTGGGTTACAAGCAATCTGTGGTAATCTTCAAATGTCGTTAGCAAAAGCTCCAAAAAATTGAAGTGAGATGCAATGAGGCAGATTTGAAATATATCAGAGAGTCCGTTTGGCTAGGACAGGTAACGTCACCATAGAATGTATGATAGGGGCGACAACAAGGTTCATCATGGTATAAAGGGAAGAAAGCAGAGATTTTGCGAGAACTTACCATCAGTGCAGGGCCTTGGAAAGAGTCGATCTCATTTGAAGGACTCTTTCCAAGGAAGGTTGGAGTGATGAAGAGAAAGAAGATGTTGCAAAAAAAACTCGGACTATAAGTAGCCCAAAGCGGTGAAGAGTAATTTTTCTGCCGGCAAGAAAGTGTACTTAACTCCGTCGCGCGCCTGCAAGTGGCCTTGGATCCCTTTGAGCCCCACGCAAAAAGACCTTACCTTTCTCTCGAGCTTTTTTTTTCTTACACTACCTACTCAGTGTCTCTTGTCTTGCATAAATACCATGTCAGACCGCGAGTTCAACTGTAAGTGAGGTTAATCTTGGCGCATGTATCTTGCTGACCTTCTTTTGTTAGCAAACGATGACCTGTCACTTCCCAAAGGTATGCTTGGATAACCTGTGGATTGTGGGCGGGCGTGGGTGTAGCTCTTTGTGTGCACTGGCAGCTCTTCACATCCCACACGCACATTTGGGGGCTTACTAACAGGTTGACAGCGACGGTCCAGAAAATCATCACGGAGATCCTCCCTCCCAGCTCTGGTCAAACATTCTCCAAGGATGCGCGTGACCTGCTGATGGAATGCTGTGTCGAATTCATTACCTTGATTTCCTCGGAAGCCAACGATATCAGCGAGAAAGAAGCCAAGAAGACCATCGCCTGCGAACATGTGGAGAAGGCCCTGCGGGATCTCGGATTCAGTGATTATATTGCCGATGTACTTGCCGTTGCTGAAGAACACAAGCAGCAATTGAAGGTATGATAGGCCTGCCATCCACTTCACATAGAGAGAGAGAGAGAGAGAGAGAGAGAGTGGTTTACTAACCGGGACTACAGTCACGAGAGAAGAAGCAGAGCAAGATGGAACAGAGTGGTCTCACAGAAGAGGAGCTTCTTCGGCAACAGCAGGAGCTCTTCCGATCTGCAACCGACAAATATAATTCCGTGCCGGAATAGACATACCGAAGACTCATGCTGGTCATAGAGCGAAAAGGATGGGCGTTTTCTGTGTTCCCCTGGTTATCGGGGTCTGGAGTTCAATGGTTTCATACTTCAAGAGAGTTTCAAGAGTGGGCTGGGGGTATATCCTTATGGCGCGAAAGCACAATGCATTAGTGAATCTTGAATTGCACAATATTGAATGACTTCAGGACCTTCAGACAAGTATGGAGTATGTATGTCTCCAAGTGCTTAGGTGGTATTCTTATTCAAAGTGTGCTATTGACTGCCTTTGACAATACCATCCGTGGACTCCATTGAAGTCTCATTTTATAGATCTATTGATCACTTGCCCTATCAATAACCCGTAATTCTTATGGCACCAACAGCACAATATGTAGCGATACATAGCGATACATAGCAATGTAGCAATGAATCAATTGTCACCAGCATTCAAGACCAGCTATATATCTAGATTCAAGCATATAAAATAACGAGAGAATCTGAGATCTTTCGTTTTCCTCCGTACTCGTACTTCATCGAACATCGAACTTCATAGGTACATACTTCGTTTTCGTTGCACCCGCACCGCCACATCTGCACCGCCACAACAGCACGTGATACACTAAACCACAATGGGACGAAAGCGCAACTCTCGTAAATCGAGTGAACGCGTTCGTACTCCTCGCAAGACAGCTCCGCAAACCCCGCAACTTCCCTCCCGAGGAACCACCATGCCTCCCTTCAAGGATGAGCATATCCTTGTATGTGCCATTGATGTGTTCTTCAGATCACAACTGACCCATTCCAGCTCATTGCGCCGGGTTCGCAAATGACCCTGGCGCAGCTCGGCCTCCCCGAAACGTTCACGCCCGCGCAATTCCGGTTCCCAACCCGCATGTTCCCTGCTGAGAAGAAGGGGGAATTTGAGCCATACCGTGTCAATGAGAAACGTCATGAGGTCAAGATCAGCAGTGGCCCAACCGCCCCCAAGGCCGACGTGGAGATGAAGGACGCTGAAGCCTCAGCTACTGAAGCTGCTGTCAAGCCTGAAGGCGAGACCGAAACCACTGAACCCACTGAGCAGACGACCAAGACAGTCGAGGAGATCGTGTATGAGGAGGATGTGGCTTCAGACGAAGGCGCAATCTACCCAATTCAAAATGGGCGCATCGTCGACTGGCCTTGCTTCTTTGCCCTGCTCACTCACGTATACAACACTCTGAGCCCACCTTTCCACACCCCCGTCATGCTCATTGGACAGCCTGTCTGGTCCTCGCGCGATCGTGAAGCAATTGCGCAATTCGTCTTTGAGAAGTTCAAGGCACCCGCATTTAGTCTGATGGACTCTGCACTCGCGGCTTGCTACGGCTACGGTACATCGACCGCCACCGTTGTGGATGTTGGAAAGGGCAAGGTGGATGTGACTGCTGTGACCGATTTCGCAGTCAACGAACACGGCCGTGGGATCGCCCTGGAGGGTTGTGGTGGAGACGCCATGACCGATCGCCTTGTTGAGCTTCTCGGCCACAAGGGCTTCACCCGGGAGATGTGTGAACAGTTGAAACGAAGCAACATTGTCGAGATTCTGCCTCCAGGCACGCCACTGCCTGGAGCTGCTGCCACCGCGCGACAGGGTGCTAACCCTGCGGCTGCAGCTTCGACCGGTGGGCCAGATGCAAACGACTCTGCTCCTCGTGGTCCTGGTGATGGCACCCAAACCGGAACTGAGTCAAATAATGATGAGGAGGAGGAAGGTGTTCTTGACGTAGCTGCTATTGTCAGCGGCAACACCACTGAATACCTGGCCAATATTGAAAAGGAGAAGAGCACTAATAAGAAAGGAGCCGTTGATCCCAAGGCAGCACGTCTGCCCAACTCCAAGAAAGAAAAGGCTTCCTTCCAATATGAGGGCTTCGTGCAGCTCGAGGATGAGAAGGCAACCGTTAGCGGTCCCCGCCAGTACGTGCGCCACACGCGGGACATTGAAGTTAGCGTTGAGCGTTTCCTTCTGACTTCACCTCGTTCCAACACTGGAGACCGTTTGACCGGTGGAATCCTTGAAGATATTGCTACTCAAATCCACCACACCATTCTTGCCGTCCCAGATGCCACAAAACGCAGCGAGCTCTGGGACTCATTAATCATCGTCGGATGTGGCAGCAAGGTCAAGGGTATGATTTCCCCCCCTCCAGCATTGGGCAATCAGTTGACTGACATCGTAATCAAACAGGTTTCACTCAAGCTTTGCTAGGTGTAATTACCCAAAAGTTCATTCTTTCCCCTTCCGGCACCATCTTTACATCTGAAATTCCATCCACCTTCACCACGCCTCTCCCCACTGGTGGCACTAATACCCCGGCACCCATGGGCCAACCCGGGCCAATGTACCACCCCGCTGCCCATGGGGTAAACCCTCTCCTGGTGGCTGCCACACACAACAACCCCGGCATGCCTGGAATGCCCGGCGCCATGCCCGGCACTCCAGGCATGGATCCCAACATGGCATCCCACTACCGGTCCACGGGTCACTCCCAGACTCCAACCTCAACGAAAACCCTCAAGCTCCCTGAATACTTCCCAGACTTCAAGGACCAGGGTAACAGCAACGCCCCTGGTGCCAGTGCAGGCAATGCTGGGGCTACTCCGGGAGCTTCCCAGAGTGGCCACGGCTCGGAAGAGGCCGTCTTCCTCGGTGCCCAGATGGCTGCCAAGGTTTTCTTCGTCGTGGACCAAGGTCTTAGCAAAGGATACATGAGCCGGGTTGACTACAATGAGAGTGGACCCTCCGCGATCCATGAGTACATTCTGTGATACCAGCGTTATATTATTTACGGGTTTTCCGACTTATCAATGTTTTTTCCGGCGGCGTTGGCTGTCCGATGTCATGTATGCTACCTTGAAAAGCCCAGGATTACAGGCGTAGGATAGGAGTTTGGCTTTTCTCATTTTCATACAGTTCATTTTGCTCCAATTATGGCACAGTCATGTGACCCCGTAATCGCAATCTTATCTTTTATCTCCAACTTCCGCCTCTTCACTGTCACTTTTCGCAACTCTCTCTTTTTGACTCCCTACAATCCAGCATCATGCCACGCGCCGAGGCAGGTAGCACCAAGGCTATCGGAAATAAGATCAAGTCCAAAGGACTCGGAAGATTGCGATGGTACTGCCAGGCTTGCGAGAGGTAAGTTCACCTAATCCTATTGCGCAGAGGCAAAGCTGACTCGCCTTGTATAGACAGATGAGAGATGAGAATGGTGAGTCTTTCAACGGGACAATGCTCTCTTCAGAGGCTTAGACTCGTGGCTCAGCTTGGCCTGTGATAGCAACACTCGGCTCTCGTAACTAACGTACCCCAGGCTTCAAATGTCATACCCAAACGGAAGCGCACGTTCGCCAGATGATGCTTATCGGCGAAGACCCGCGCAAGCACATAGCAAACTACAGCCGAGACTTCGAGAAAACCTTCATAGGTACGGCCCTCTTTCCCAAACCTCCACGCGCGCAAGACTAACGGCTGGCGCAATGCCTACAGAACTTCTTCGGACCACACATGGTACCAAGTCAATCAACGCGAATCACTTTTACCAACAAATTGTCTCCGATAAGGAACATATTCACATGAACAGTACGCAATGGAAGAGTTTATCGCAATTCGTGGCACATCTTGGAAGAGAAGGAAAATGCCGAGTGGAAGATACAGAGAAAGGTCTATTCATTGCATGGATCGATAATAGTCCGGAGACACTGCGTCGTCGGGAAGCGGTCTTGAAAAAAGAACGACAAGAAAAGGGTGACGAAGAACGAGAACAACGTCAGATTAAAGATCAGATCAAAAGGGCTGCTGCATTGGCTAAGCCAGAAGAAGAAAATCCCGAGGAAAAGCTGCTGCAAAGGAAGGAAGGCGAGAAGATCAAGTTGGATCTTGGATTTGGCGTGAAGAAGACTGAGCCAAAGCCTGATGAGGCTACTACTACAACCACAACGCCCGCGACCCAAAACACCAAATCTCCTGAATCAACAGATGTCCCAGCTGAAACTGTTGACTCGCCTGCAACATCTGCCCCGGCGCCTGCCAAGATTTCCATGTCGCTTGGGGCCCAGAAACCGAAGAATGTGTTTGCTGCGGCTAAGAAGAATCCATTAGCAGGGAAGAAGGGCAATGTGTTTGCGCCTCCGAAGAAAATGACTGAACAGGAACGCATTATGAAAGCCGAAATGGAGGCGATGGATCGGAAGCGGTCTCGTCCGGATTCTGGGTTCATGAACAAGCGTCCAAAGATGGCTTGAGACATTTCAATTGCCTCTCAAGGTTGTCCCCAATGTATGTAATAGCTCAGAGTGTCATGGGCATCAGTATCTCTGCCAGTCATTCTACCAGATTTTCCACAGGTGAAAGCACTACTTGTAAGCCTAATTGAGTGAACAGACTCGGTTTTGTACAGATCGAATGTTTATACATTAAATATTATTCTACGTCTATATTCGTTATGTGCCATCACAACCAATCTCCAATGATGGGCACTTGGCTATACATCTCATTCCAGCCCTTGGCTTCCCAACCAGCACCCTCGCCAGCACGCCCAACAATGCCCAGAGCACCCGCCAACCAGAAAGCAGCTCCAGCAGCTGCAACACCATTCACCACCCACCACATCTTGCGCTGTCTCTTAGATCGGGTGGTGCTGTCCGCAAACCCAAGCAAGCCATCCAAAGAGGGCTTCTGCCCTCGTTCTTTGCGCACCGTAGTGACTCGCCATCCCATCCAAGTTGCCCATCCACCCACAAAATGCCACACGCTCGCAGTCACAAAGAAAAAGTAAAATGCGTTCCAGAATATGGGACTTCGGGCAATGCCATGCGCAACATACGCTAGCCCCACCCCTGAACTACCGCCATCCACGGCTAAGGGCGTAGCTCGGTTGACGAGTACATGGAGACCAATCAGAGGTACGACGAAGTATCCCGAGCGAGCTTGCAGGGACACACGCGGCCAGAAGTAGAGCGTATTCCGTTGAGCGCGAGTCTCAGCGCCGTACATTTTGGCGCGACGTGCTCCGCGGATATTGCGCAGAGCCACGCCGGAGATGATGTGGGCTAGTACCGGGAGGGTGAGGACGAGGTGTTCCAACCCTGGGGCTTGGTAGATAGGACGTGTGAGCAGTAGGTAGGACTCGCTTGAGGGCACGGAGCGAGTGACCAGTGGGATCAGTGAGGTATTGGTGAAATGCAAGATGGTGAAGACTGTCGGTGGGTAGGTTGAGTATTTTTGTATGCGGGTTACTGGCTCTTGTCAGAGGTTGTTTGGTTTTCTGTTGGCATTGGACGTACACCATTTGTCCCATCGATGGCCGCTGAGGCCAAGCTGTGAATAACCACCATTTGAAGGAGGCTCGGGGAAGTATTCGCCTTGTACAGGATCTTCCACGGGCGAGGGATCTAGTTCTTGCATCGAGATGATCGACTTGGTGTCGATTTCCTCCAATTTAGGAGGCTGGGGAGAAGCCATTGGAACGAGATTGTCAACGGATCATGAATCGTGAATTGACCAAGTCTTGAAAGTGTCGAAGTGTCAAAATGTCGAAATGTCAAAATGTCAAGTCGAATGACGAAGTTGCTGAGTTTCGAGAAACAGGGCGGCTGTGATAGGCGCACCCTCCGCACCTCCGCAACTTCACTATGGCGCCGGTATGTTGGACGTTGGACGACTTTGACTTGGTTTTGCTTCGATACTAATATTCTACTAGCGAGGATTGACAAACCCTGCCCCCAAAGTATCCTTCTACCCACTCACACTACAAACTCAAGCTTACTTCCCCAGACCGAGTCCGCCCGCTCTGCGCTGAGCGCTTTCACCTGCACACTGTGCAACAAGTCTTACTCGCGACACCCAGAATATGAAGCTCACATCGGTTCCTATGACCATCAGCATAGAAAACGTCTTCAAGACCTGAAACAGCTCTCGCGGGACCCAAATGCGGCAGAGAAAGCACGTCGCGCAGAACGCAAAGCCGACGCGGAGGCCGGGTTGAAGGTGATTGAGACCCCCGGGGACAATGGGGCCCCAGCCACCAGCACAGTGAAGAGTGGAGGGTTCAAGAAAGGAGGGTTCAAGAGCTCTTTTGCTGCCGTCAAGGGTTCAGCTACCCCCGCTGCTCCGGTGCGGAAGAACGTTCTTGGTGATGATGACGATGCCCAGCCGAAAGTTGAGTCGCTACCAGTGGCCAAGTCCCAGCAGACTGAGAACTCAGGCGAGATGGAGAGTGAAGATGAAGGCTATGGTCAGGGCCAGGCGGCTTATTACGACCCTCGTCGACCAACTGATTGTTTCGCCGGTTGTACCGCTTCAAACATCCCAGCAACTGCATGATGGTCCTCAGGAAATTTGGAACAGGCGATTGGAGTATGGGAGTATTGGTCATGTGAATTTTGTTGGCACTGCTTCGTCAAACGTTTTTACTTCGATTTCGACTGCCCGTCAAGATGCATCATCACATATTGGCAATGGAAATGAACTATGATTGCAAGGCACAAATTCTTTTTTTACGCTGGCCGGAATCTGGATGTAATGTAATGATACATGCTTTCCAAAAAATCTGTCTAAAAGCGTTGGATGACAAAAGCAGGGTAAAACAGAGACATGAAATGGAACAGATGAAAGGGGGGTACTAGGCACAGGGCTATATTATTAGGAGCTCAAGCTTACACGCGCAGCAGCTTGGCGGCCTGGCTGACAATGGTGTCCTCCTGGGGGAAGGCCATGGTCTCGAGGCCGGCAGCGTAAGGAGTGGGAACCTCAGCACCGGTGACACGGACACCGGGGGCGGTCAGGTAGTCGAAGCCGTACTCCATGGAGAGGGCAAGGATCTCGGAGGCGACACCGAACATGGGGTAACCGGACTCGACAACCATGATGCGGCCGGTCTTCTTAAGGGAAGCAATGATGGTCTCAACATCGAGGGGCTTGACGGAGCGCAGGTTGATAACCTCGGCGTCAACACCGTACTTCTGCTTGAGCTCGGCGGCGGCGGTCATGGACTGGCCGACACAGCGGGAGAGGGAGACAATTGTCAGGTCCTTTCCGGGACGCTCAATCTTGGCCTTGCCGAGAGGGAGGACGAAGTCGTTCTTCTGAGCGGCCTCGCTCATGGGGAAGGCCTGGCCGTACATAAGCCTATTCTGGTTAGTGATCCACCCGATCTTCAACGGTTCGGGGAAAATACTCACTCGTTCTCGAGGAAGACAACGGGGTTGGGGTCACGGATAGCGGCCTTGAGCAGACCCTTGGCATCCTCGGAGCTCCAGGGAGAGACAACCTTGAGACCGGGAATGCTGCCGTACCAGGCAGAGTAATCCTGGGAGTGCTGAGCAGCGACACCGGCGGCGAATCCGTTGGGGCCACGGAAGGTGATGTTGCAAGGCTGGATACCACCGGACATGTAGTGGGTCTTGGCGGCGGAGTTGATGATATGATCGATAGACTGCATGGCGAAGTTGAAGGTCATGAACTCGCACTGGGATGAATGGTTAGCGGGTGCGCTGCGGGGATCATTTTCCAATGCATGTGGCAACTCACAATGGGGTGCAGACCAGCAAGAGCAGCACCAACGGCGAGACCAGTGAAACCGGCCTCTGTGATGGGGGTATCGATAACCCGCTTGGGGCCGAAACGGTCCAAAAGACCCTTGGTCACCTTGTAACTGGGGGAAAGTCAACAGCCGTTCTCTTTGCGACTTAATGCCATCTCTCTGTCTTTCTCTGTCTCCCGCGCAAGACTTACGCTCCGTTGTACTGTGCGACCTCCTCACCGAGAAGGAAGGTCTTTTGGTTGAGTTCCAATTCCTCGGCCAGGGCCTCGTTCAAGGCATCACGGACGGTGACCTCCTTGGTGCCATTCTCAGTGGCGTATCCGCGACGCAGGGCCGGGGCGCAAGTAGAGCGCAGGTTGGAGCGCAGAGTGGTAGAAGCAAGGCGCGAAGAAAACAGACGGGCTGTTGGGCGGAAAAGTCGGGGAGCGGCCATTGTGAAAATGTGATCGATTTAATCGATTGAGAGGAAAGAGGATAAACAAAGACACAAGAATGGCAGACCGGAACGGACCGCACAAGCAATTGAAGTGAAGGTGAGTGATTCGGGAAAACTGCTTCGCCGTAACAATCTTCGTTGCAGCCAAAGATGTTGGGCCGCACGTGATCTCAAGTATCGCAACTCACCGGTATTGGTATTACCACCTTAATGCCCTGATTGGTATTGTGTATGGTACAGCATTACCCGGAGCTCTTATCCTCTTATCAACACTGTTGCTCTCTGCTCTCTCTCTCTCTACTGTACTCGTTACTAACTAGACTCCGGGAGTACTAGTACCGTCTCCCAGGGTCCTCTCTCATCTCAACTATTTAGCCTAGAAGGCTACAGTTTCACTCCATACGGTCAAAGAATATGATGCTCTCTCTCCTTTGGCTGCTTCCGTCGGCGCTCGCCGCTCAGCCCTCCGCACCCGACCCTATCTCCGCTCCGCTACGCTCTCTAGACTTCGGGCAACTAAATTTCCTCCATACTACTGATACACATGGCTGGCTGGCGGGTCATCTGCAGGAGTATGCTAAACCCTGCTCAGCAATGAGCTTCACACTAACGTGAACAGGCCCTCCTACTCCGCAGACTGGGGAGACTATATATCGTTTGCGACCCGGATGCGAGAAAAGGCAGAGGCACAGGGACAAGATTTGTTGGTCATAGATACCGGGGACCGAGTCGAAGGAAATGGCCTCTATGACTCGTCCGAGCCGAAGGGGGTCTACCTCTCAGACATCTTACGGCACCAACACATCGACTTGTTAACGTCGGGAAACCATGAACTATATAAGCAAAATACCTCCGAGGCGGAGCTTTTCACCACCGTGCCGAATTTCCGGGGGAACTATCTTGCATCAAACATTGATATATTCCACCCTACGACCAAAGAGCTTGTGCCTCTTGCTCCGCGGTACAAGAAGTTTACTACCAAGAAACAGGGCATCCGGATAATCGCGTTTGGTTTCCTGTTTGATTTCACCGGAAATTGGAACAATACAGTCGTCCAAAAAGTGTCTTCCACTATTAAAGAGGACTGGTTCCAGGAGGCTATTCGAGATAAGGAGGTGGACTTGTTTCTAGTAATCGGTCATGTGCCGGTCCATTCGCCTGAGTACCAGGCTATCTTCAGGGAGATTCGAGGCACCCGCTGGGATACCCCCATCCAGTTCTTCGGTGGTCATCAACACATCCGCGATTATGCTCGGTACGACTCCAAGGCATTTGGACTGGCAAGTGGTCGATTTATGGAGACGGTTGGATTCGCGTCCATCGACGGTCTCAATACACCCGAGAGCAAGCATTTGTCGAGTGCAGTCACCACCCCTATTTTCAAGCGAAGATACATTGACCAGAACTTGTTTTCCTACTATCACCACACTGGACTGGATGAACAGTCATTCCCCACAGAAAAGGGTCAGAATGTTTCCCGACTGATCGCCAAAGCACGGACCGATCTTCACTTAGATCAGGTCCATGGATGTGCTCCACAGGAACTGTGGATGTCTCGCGTCAAGTACCCGAGTCCTAACAGCTTGTACACCTGGCTTGAGACCCAGGTGCTGGCTGATTCACTCAAAGATGAGAATCGGGTTAATATCCCCACCCTGGCTGTGGTAAATACCGGTGCCATGAGATTTGATATTTTCCGGGGGCCTTTCACACAGGACTCGACCTTTATTGTGTCACCTTTCACCAGTGGCTTCCGATATGTGAAGGATGTGCCTTATGACAAGGCCCAGCTTATCGTGGAGGTTTTGAACAAGCAACCTCAGGTGTTGCAGGCTTCGCAGGAAGACGATTCTCCCACAACACTGGCCCCGCCTGAACAATTGGCGTATTCCGAAGATGTTGTGGCCAGTAATTGGCCGGTTTCATCTGACCAAATCCCCTTGTCCCGCAGTGACAAGCTCGCACCTGGGTACACCACCGAAGACGATGCAGGCAAAGACGGTGATGATACTGTCCACGAGCCCATCTCTTTTTACCGTGTGCCCAATTGTCTTCAGGTGCTTTTGAACAATGCAACGGAGACCCCAGAGACTGTAGATTTGGTGTACATCGACTTCATCGAGAAATATGTGGTCCTGGCCGCCAAGTTTGCCGGCCTTGGTATCGATATCGCCAAGGAAAGCGATGTGTATATGCCCCATATGTCACTGACGAACCTGATCTTGAATTGGGTCAAGAAGAACTGGAAGTGTTGATAGTCCAGACCTATTTTAGCCATGACAAATATTTCACAAGCATTTTCGCTATATACGCAAACTCATATGGGGGTTAGATGTTCAATTCTTTCGTATAGTACAGACTTCACTCATCACCGCCAGTGAAAGTGAAAACACCTTTGCCACTGCGGTATCCGCCCAAAGTACCCTGCACACTCTCGGAGAGCGCGGGACCTTCAGTGTTCCAGTTCCATTCGACATTGTCGACGGGGATATCGTGGAATTTGCCGGCACGAGTCAACTGGAGCACATCCTTGATCGTGTTCTCCTTCAGGGCTGGGTTCTTGTCACCCCACTTGCTGACCCAGAATCCATCAAATGAAAGATTCTTGAAGATCAGAAGTCCCGATGGCAGGGCTACAGGCTGCTTCGACATGGCTCCGTAGGTCACCATGTGCGAGTCAGGAGCAAGGGTCTTTGCCAGGGCAGTAGCGTTCTTTCCTCCCACACAGTTCAGCGCGAGACGAATGGGTTCCCGACCCTGGCGTGTGTACTCATGCACCATATCCCGGAAGTTGCCGGTCATCATTTCCTCCTCAGTGATGACCACAGTCGCACCGAGATCCTTCAGCTCCTTTTTCAACGCCTCGGTCTCCTCGGGCGTCTTCCGCTGTCGGACAACATTCAGCGTCTTGATCCCCCACTCGCGGCCAAATTGGATCGCCGCCCGGCCGACTCCGCTGTTGGCGCCGTTCTGAATCATCCATTCCTCGCCCGCGCGCATCCAGTCCCATTCACAGAAATCTCGCATCATCCGGTATGCCGTGACCGGGTTGACGCTGATCGTGCCCACCTGCAGTGGCGTGAGGCCGTCCTTGTTTTCGATCTTAATGAGCTGGGACTCGTCCAGCTGTGCGTGGGTTCGCCAGGTTCCCTGGCCGGTTTGCTTCATGATGACCCAATCGCCTTTGCTGAGGTTCTTCACGCCCGCGCCGGTCGACAGAACCTCGAAAGCGCCTTCGTTTCCACCCACGGCGGCGGGCTCGGCATTGCCCAGGGCGCTTTGGAATGGTGGTTTGCTGGGGTAGACACCTTGGATCTGGTTCACGTCGGCTGGGTTCATTGGCGCGGCCAACATCCGTAGGTTCACTTGTGTCGCATGTGGTGCGGAAATTGAGTGCTTGTGTAGGCTGGTTGGTATTAGCATGGCATTGGTTTTGTCGGGGAGAGTCATTACCGTAGGACATCCTTGGGCTCGCCATATTTGGAGTAAATGAGGGCCTTTGCTTGTGTGTAGCCGTAGACTGAGATGTATCTCCGGGCCAATGGAGCTTGAGGGAGCTTTGCAGCTTGAGGGCGAAGAGCGCCTAAGACTGTGTGTGAAAACATGTTGTGATGGGAGTAAAGAGAAGAGAGAGGAGCAAAGAGAAAAAGCCGGATGACGTCTCGGACCGAAGGAAGTCTGAGGTCATCGGTAAATAGTATATAGTACATAGTATGTAGCATATAATATTTGTATATAGTATATAGTATTTAGTATATAGAGTACATTCATTTATTAATTGTATATATTCTTTATGTTTCAATGGTTTTCTAGTTTAAACATTCATAGTGAGTAACTATATGTCTTACGAGTATACGGAGAGTACGGAGTATCACTGTCCCGGCCCGCAACCTCTTCACCTCTCCAAATGTCCTTGCTGCGCGAAGCTGAGAGATGCGTCGCGAATCAATATGCACACAATTTCAACGCCTTCATAACCCCATTGGCGCGCGCAGGCCAATGGCTAGACCGCGTAAAGGAAGCCGATGAGCGCAAGGAACAAGGTACCGTGGTCGCTGCGCTGCGCGTTCCCTAGCTAATGCACCCAGGAACCCCCAAATCCGCCATAGATGGCCGTCTCATATCCATCAAAGACAATATCTGCACACGCGACCTCCCCACCACCTGCGCGTCCGGCATCTTGGATAAATACACGAGTCCGTTCAATGCCACCGTCGTCGATCAATTGGAGGCTGCCGGCGCCATCGTGGCGGGGAAGACAAACCTGGATGAGTTTGGGATGGGTTCAAACTCGATTAACTCCCGGTTTGGTCCGGTGAAAAACCCCCGACGGGATGCTAGTGGCGAATTTTTGTCTGCAGGTGGAAGCTCTGGTGGAAGTGCCGCTTCGGTGGCTGCGGATCAATGCTATGCGTGAGTTGGAAATCGCCCGCTGGACAACATTGGCTGATCGGTATAGCTCGCTGGGAACAGATACGGGAGGCTCGGTTAGACTGCCAGCTGCATATACGGGTACTGTGGGCTTCAAGCCTTCGTACGGGTTGATCTCACGATGGGGCGTGGTGGCATATGCGAACTCGCTGGACACGGTGGGTATCTTGGCAAAGACAACTGCCAACGTACGAGATATCTTTGGTAAGGTTGCCCTGATTCATTTGAGAAGCAGAGGAGCTAATATGCGCAGACCTCCTGAATAAGCATGACCACCGCGATCCAACTAGTCTCTCGATAGCCTCTCGTGAACGGATACAGCATTCACTACATAATCCCCAGCTCACCTCCCGGCTGAAATCTACTCCTCTTCGAATTGGTGTGCCCGTTGAATATAATGTATCGGAGCTGACATCGTCAGTGCGGCGCGCCTGGGCGCACTCTCTGGCACACCTGAAGAAACAGGGTCATACTATTCACTCGATTTCTTTGCCGGATACAAAGCATGCATTGTCAACATACTATGTCCTGGGGCCGGCCGAGGCATCCTCGAACCTGGCGAAATACGATGGGGTGCGGTACGGCACTCGGGCTGAAGGTCCAGATGGAGATGGAAAGCCTGATGGGTATCTTTATGCCAATACTCGTGGGCAAGGGTTTGGGCAAGAAGTCAAGAGGCGAATCACTCTGGGCACATTCAGTCTGAGTGCCAATGCCATCGACAACTACTTCATCCAAGCTCAGCGCGTGCGTCGTCTTGTCCAGAAGGATTTCGATGCGGTCTTCACAGCCAAGCACCCGCTCGCTGCGCACGGCACGGGGATCACCATGGAAAATGATGTAGATGTCATCATCTGTCCTACCGCTCCTTCATCACCACCGCGTCTGTCTGATCTGATGGACAAGTCGAAGCCCAAATCACCGCTGGAAGGCTATGTCACCGATGTTTACACTGTTCCAGCGAGCCTGGCGGGTTTGCCTGCAATCTCAGTTCCGGTCACTGTGTCTGGGGAACAAGAGGCAGAATTGGCGGGAATTCAGGTCATCGGCCAATACGGAGATGACCAGCTCGTGATGAAAGTGGGTGAGATGCTCGAGGGGCAGCATTTGGACTAGTTCGACTGTACAATTATGTAGTATATTTTTAAAAGAGATTTAGAAAGAGGTTCATAAAAGGAAACCCCAGGGATCTCAAGAATATTGGTATCAGTATCAGTGCTATATGGACCCCAAACGCCTATCACAAACGCCCAGCCACCTTGACTTTTGAAAACTCCGTGTGTGTCAAGTCATTTCCACATCGCCATCACCATCGCCTTGCACTTCGATGTTGGGAGTACCAGCCGTGCCAACACTCAGAGCCTCAGGAACCGGTTGGCTTCCGACTTCGCCTGCAGCCGGAGTCGCACGGTTGCTATTAGCTGCTGAATCAGAGGCCCCAGCGGTGCCGGGGGTATTGGCGGCGAGTGCATAGTCAAGCGCTGCTCCAACACCACCCTTGAGGACTTCCGGTCCGCCTACAACGCTGGCCTCCAACTCGGTACCATTGTTAATGACGTTCCCGTCAATGCCACCCCAGGTGAACATGGCTTCGACCTCGTCCACCATATCAGCTACCACGTCTTCCACGATCTGATCGTTGAACCGCTCGCCCATCGGTCGAATGGGCTCTCCAGTCTCGGTGTGCTCAGGTGGACCAACCCACCACGGTCCCTCGAAGCGACATTCGACGGCGCCACCGCCATAGCAACTGACAGCGGGGTAATATCCGATCATGCCGTCGTCGGCATTTTCTCGCTCGCCGATTCCCAGGTTATTGGTGCCATTGGCTAGACGGCTGGCGGGTGGTAGGAAGGCGTAAAGCTCTTTGAAGGGAGTGCCCATAGGTACACCGTTTTTCAGAATGGTGATACTGGAGCCAGGGAGGGTGCGAAGTGTGGCATCTTCACTATTGAGGGGAGACGGCGGACCAAAAGTTGGTGTTTCTTTCAAATTAAAGGCGTAGTCGCGGAGGTGTTTAGTCGAGAAAACGTTGGATTGCTGCCAACAAAAGTCCGACTTGTAATGGAAAGGGATCCGATCACGAATGATATTCGTTGCCATGGGAGGCTGATTTGAGCCATCTCCATCCGTGACCGGGTCGTAAGTCCCTTCGACGATCTTTTTGTGGAGTGATAGAGGCGGAAGAGTGATGAGCATTCCAATGACATCGCCTTCATTGATGGCTTCACCCTTGGGGAAGAAGAATTCGCATCGCATGCGGTTGACCACTTCCCCGTTGACGTCCCGAATTCCATACCCGTAGCAGTCAACGCCAACATTCGCGTCCAAGTCAGCTTCTCGCCGGGCGAACCCAATTCGGACATGGCCGCGAGGCGAAGTAGTCGGCCTGCCATTTTGAGGGGCCTGGGGATCTTTGACAACTCCACTGATCACCCGAGCCTCGTAGTAATAGGTGCCTTCCCGAGCACATACATTGGCGCGAGCTGTGTGCCACGCATCATTGGTGGTCACCGCCCTGGCATTTTCCGAGAAAGAAATGGCCGCTGGTGAGTCCTCAAAGCTAAACCGAGCATTGTATGGGCGCACATCTGTCTGGCGATATTTGATATGAGGGAACCCCGGGTCTGAAATGGCATAACTGTAGCGAAATCCATTCTTGTTGGTAAGCTTGTCCACGACCTCATAGAAATCCCAGCTCTGGCCCAGGACTTCTGAGGACTTTCTCGTCACTCGGTTCAGCTGCCGAGGTTGTGGGGGGAATCGGTCAGAGTCATGTGGTTCTGCAAGGAGCAGAGGGCGCAAAATGCGCAACTTGGAACTTGGAAGAGCTGTGTTTGTGGCTGTTGTGGCGCGTTTCTTCGGTGGTGGTGCACTTTCAGTATCTAAGCCTTTGGCTTCCCGCTTTTTGCGACTATCTCTCTTATTGCGCTTCGCACGGCCATCACCTTGGGCGGAGGGAGCGGGAGAGGCTCGGGTGTTCAAATCGGTAAATTGCGCATTGAGTAGGGGTCCACCATTGGGGGGGAGGATCGGGGAGTTGATGTTGGAGGATGGTGCAGATGACCCAGGAGCCTGAGATGCCATGTTTGCAGCTGGCTGTCAATGGCTATACATGTCTGTGAGTAAGATCGCATAGCCAGCTTGTGGGTTTTCCTTACATCCAGTAAAAGTGCTGCCAGAAGTGACCTCCTGTGTGTAAACTGTGCAATTCCCTGTAGGTCCCCAGTCAGATAAGCAAAAGACCTTGATCTAATACCTCAAATACCTCAACAGCCCTGATACTCAATGGTCAATGGAACCAGCTTCCTCTTGTCGGATATGTTTAGGCGGTCAAAAGATTAGGGGCAGAAAATAGTAGGCTTTGGGCGGTGTGAGGTGAAGGCGGTAGGAAGATGGGGGGCACCGCCAGGCAGAAAAAAAAAATAATTACCACACATTTTGATTGCCGTGGACATCGATAAGCCTCAGGTGGGAACGGATTTTCTATATAACGGTTTTTGACAACAACTTCTCAATATGCCCAAGGCTTCAAGCTCCCGTGCTGCCGCCATGGCACGCAGACACAACCCTCTCGCCGAAGATATTAGCTCCGCGGGGCACCTTCGAACCCAGAGCAGCAAGAAAGGCAAAGGCAAGGCCGATGAGGAGGAGGGTGAGAATGGACAGCGCTTCGTCGATGCGAAGATGTCTCGCAACATTCTCCAGCTCGGTCAGGAATTGGCCGACGAAGATGCCGCAGAGCAGGCCAAGGGTGCCGCAAAGCCCCAATCAAACGGCGCATTCGAATTTGATACCCGATTTGGGGAGGAGGAAGCTTTCTCAGACGACGAAGAGAAGTTTGGGGCCGACGACTGGGTTGATGACGAAGTCGAGCAAGTGGTACGATCAACCAATCTCGAAATATTGAAATACATCTAACATCTGTGTAGGAGGTCGACCCCAATGATCTAGATATGTTCAACAAATTTATGCCCCACGAGGAAGATCCTATATTCCACCCCAAAGACCCCAGCTCTGCGGGGCCCACCAATCTCGCCGATCTGATCCTCGAGAAGATCGCCGAGCACGAAGCTAAGCAGTCCGGGGACGGCACCTATGCCCCATACGTCCAAGGTGGTGGAATCCCCGAGGATGCTGTCCAGATTCCCGCCAAGGCCGTGGAAGTATACGAGAAGTAAGTCCCATTCTCCAGCTCGCGAGAGCATCTTGCTGATCGGTTCTAGGGTTGGCATGATTCTTTCGCGCTACAAGTCAGGCCCGCTGCCCAAGCCCGTCAAGATTCTCCCCTCGGTCCCCAACTGGCAGACCCTCCTCGACATCACACGCCCCGAGTCATGGACCGGTAACGCTGTCTACGCTGTCACCCGTATCTTCATTTCCTCCAAGCCCCACGTTGCCCAGGAGTTCATCAACATTGTGCTTCTGGACCGCGTGCGCGAGGAGATCCACGAGACCAAGAAGCTGAACGTCCACACCTACAATGCCCTGCGTAAGGCTCTCTACAAGCCAGCCTGCTTCTTCAAGGGACTGCTGTTCCCCCTCGTCTCCACCGGCACCTGTACCCTGCGCGAAGCTCACATCGTCTCCTCCGTCGTTGCTCGAGTCTCCGTCCCCGTGCTGCACTCCGCCGCGGCCCTGCTCCGCATGTGCGATCTGTCCGCGGAGCAGTCCGTGACCGACGTGGAGAGCACCGGTGCCGTGAACATGTTCATTCGAGTCTTCCTGGAGAAGAAGTACGCCCTGCCCTTCAAGGTAGTGGACGCCCTGGTCTTCCACTTCCTGCGATTCCGCGTCGTCAACCCCGAGGACCAGATGAACGATGGCCCTGGACTCGGATCCAAGAACTACAAGCTGCCCGTTCTCTGGCACCAGTCGCTCCTGGTCTTTGCCCAGCGTTACCGCAACGATATCACTGAAGATCAGCGTGAGGCTCTGCTGGATCTGCTGTTGGTCCGTGGCCACAAGGACATTGGCCCTGAGGTTCGTCGTGAATTGCTCGCTGGCCGAGGACGTGGTGTTGTTGTGCCTGACCCCGAGGCCCAAAATGCCATGGATGCCGGCGACGACACCATGGATGTTACCATGTAGAATTCCGTCGCATCTCGCTTACGATCTGGTCATGAGCACGTTTTGGTCGGCGTTTTTTCCTTTCTTTTTCGAAATATCTTCCGGTCTGCATATAATTCCCGGTGTCAGGTTTAAAAAATGGGACTAGTTTTGACATAAAAGTATAGTCCGTTACAGATCTAGAAATAGGAGTGACTCCTATTTGATGTTTCAGCCGTGTATTCGTCCGTCCTCCGGAGAACTTTAGACTCCTTCGGCGTCGTTCCAAGTGCTTCGGCAGGCGGAGGTCCACCAATCTGAGGGGGATCTGTTGATCCACTGATGAGCCGAGGTGACATTGTCGTTCTCAGGGGGCCGGAGAATTACGAGTCCACTGAATGTCGACATTGCGTGCCCTGTGCGCAATTTCAAGTTGATTGGACTCAAATTCAGGGGAGTCCAAAATTCGCCATCAATTCGATCCACTATGGTCGAGACATCTGATGTGATAGACTCCACGTCTTTGAGTACGAGTACACTACGAGTAGTCATACGAGTAGAGAGCCCTGGAAGATCGTACGAGTACAATAGCCCCCAGTGTGGGAGTACGACAGCCCTGGAGCAAACATAAGCTGAGGTACTTCAGAGGTACTCCGCTGTCCCATACTAATCCCAGCCCACTGCACAGTACCTAGCGAGTCACACACCAGAATAGAAACATGTGGGAGGCCTAGAGTCGGGGCTGAGCAGCCAATCAAAGGCCAAGGACCCAGCTGAACCACGGTATGCAGGGGCGCAGGGGGAGAGGGGGGCGGAAATGAATGTAATTTACAGGTCTCATACCAGAGTACAGCCCCTTTACTTGCTTGGCCATACATTACACTAAGGCCCCCAAGGTATCAGGGTGGTCCCCTCCTTTATGTGTGTCCGTATCCCTTTCAGACCACGCTGGCCTCTACTTAAACCGGCCATTTTCCCACCGAACAACTGGCCTTTCCACATCTCTACGCTGACTCATAATCTCTTGCCGGTCTGGTCTCCGGTGCCGATCGTGATGATAACGTGGTTTCCATCGTGATCACTTCCATCATTTACACATCTTGTTTCACGTCCGGCACCGGTTATCCATTTGACCTTGTCGACAATGGCGGATACTATCAACCCCTTGGATACTCTTCCAGCCTCCCCTGATCGGGATCTATACTCCGTCTCCCCCGCAGAGACATCACTGGACTCACCCGAGCCAGAAGATGACATCAAGGAGGAAGATGATGAGAGAAAGCCCACTAAGAAGAGAAAGTCGTGGGGACAAGAACTCCCTACACCCAAAACAAACCTCCCCCCTCGGTATGTGCACAGCGTGGAAACTATGTCGAATCGGAGCCTGGTCGCTAATACAGAGAACAGCAAACGCGCCAAAACAGATGATGAGAAGGAACAGCGGAGGATAGAACGGGTTCTCCGGAATCGCGCGGCGGCTCAAACATCACGAGAGCGCAAGCGCCTGGAGATGGAGAAGTTGGAGACCGAGAAGATTCGCATGGAGCAACAGAACCAGTTCCTCATCCAGCGTCTCTCCCAAATGGAGACGGAGAACAACCGTCTGAGCCAACAAGTGGCCCAGCTCTCCGCCGAGGTCCGTGGGTCTCGCAGTGCGACTCCCAAAGCCAGCTCCCCCGCCATCGAATCCCCAACTCTCACCCCCACTCTCTTCAAACAAGAAGGCGATGAACTCCCCATGGAGCGGATTCCCTTCCCCACTCCTTCCGTTACCGACTACTCCCCCACCTTGAAGCCCTCCACTCTGGCTGAGGCCTCCGACGTGACACAACATCCTGCCGCGGTGTTGTGCGACCTGCAGTGTCCGTCGCTGGCCTCGAAGGAGCAGGCGCTCTTCCCCTCTTCGACCTCTCCGAGCCTCAACCTCCCAATGACGTTGCAGCTCCTCTTTCTGACGATGACTTCCGTCGCCTGTTCCACGGTGATTCACCCGCTGAGCCAAATCCTTCTTTCCCTGAAGACGGGTTTGCCTTTGACGTTCTCGACGGAGGAGATCTATCGGCATTTCCCTTTGATTCTATGGTTGATTTCGACCCCGAGTCTGTCGTCCTCGAAGGCGTCACCGGTCTTTCGGATGAGACTTCTCACCAGACTGTTAGCTTGCAGCCCAGCCATGGCGCGTCCACTTCGCGATGCGACGGGCAGAGCATTGCAGCAAGCGGTTAGTGAGACGTTCTCTTCGAGACGGTCGGCTGGTGCCCCGGAGGCACGACCGAGTTGGGAGTTGTTATTAACCATGGCCTGGGCCCTCGATAGTCTCAGCCAACGACACCAGCGGAACAAATCTGGACGGCAACGCAGTAATGGAAAGATGCATCGTATACGGAGTTTCCGGAGTTCCAGCGTGAGCACCCTTGTGAGGAAGCACCGCTGAGGGTTCTATTTTGTACTATTAGCTTTTTTTTTTAGCAAAATTGACTGGCTCATCTTGCACTTGATTGTAAATGTAAACGTAAAATCATGACATTTTGAGAGAACCTCATATAGTAGAGTACTAGTGTGTCCGGACTATGAGTATGTAAATCCATCCGAATTAGGCCTACCGTCCATAAATAGCCTCCGAACACATTCGGCTAACGCCAAGTGACGTTGCCACCTCACTTCCTCTCCGCATCCTTTGGACATTTGACATTCTTCTTTGATACACATCATGGTTCGCAAAGACCCCATCTTCGAAGCTCGCACAAATGTCAAGGTGAGTGTTTATTGTTCTTGTTGGGTTCCCTCGCCCCCGCACCTCTCTCCCCGCCATGGGACCAACTAGCTCACTCCAACCCAGCTACATTCCAATCGCCTGAAGAAAGAAGCCGTGCGCGCCGAGGCCACCTTCAAATCAGAAAAGGCCAAGGCCGACAAGGCGATGAAGAACCATGAGTTCCAAATCGCCCGGATCCACGCCGCCTCCGCTGTTCGCGAGAAGCGCCGCCAGGTCACTTTGAAATCAGAGGCCGCTCGCGCCGACGTCATCATCAACGAACTCAAAGCCGCCCAGAGCACCCGCGACACCTCCCGCACCCTCGCCATGGCCTCGCGCGGGCTCGACGCCGCCTCCCGCAGCGTGAACTTGGAACATCTCGTCTCCCACGCCAACAACTTCCTGGCCCGCTCGGAGGACTTCAAGATCGCCAGTTCGGCGATCGAAGATGTCGCGCAGGGTGTGTCGATGCAGGAGTATGGTGCGGAGGGAGAGACAGAGGTGGATCGGCTGATGGAGCAGTTGGCTGATGATGCTGGTGTGGACATGCGCAAGAATTTGGAGGCAGATGCGGCACCCCGGGAGGAGGTCAAACAGCCTCAGCAGGACGCCGAGGTGGAGGATGGACTCGGGGCTCGACTCCGGGCGCTGCGGGCTGCTAATTAGGGTGCTTACTGTGCTACGAAGTTACGGTTGATTTTGCGTGTTATTCAATCCATTGGCGTATATGGCTTTCCACTGCATTTTCTTCTTTTCTTTCTCTCTCTCTTTCTATTTTGGTCTGGTCATTTGGGTTTGGACCATTTTCTCTTTGAATCTTTTCAGTGGCGTTTATCAGGCTAGTGCTAATTAGGTCCGGAACACTGGATGTTTCCTTTTCCTCTCTCTTTCTCTCTCCCTCCCTCTCTCTCTCTCGATCCTATGTTCTCTCTATGTCTATTATACATCTCTTGCTCGTCTTTTCTCCCTTCTCACATACTCATATCAGTGCCAAGTACTCGCAGAATGCAAAAAGAGAAGTATGCCTCGCTTGAGGCGAAAGGACTAGCGTGCGGCTAGATCGCAAACAGACAATGCCCTCCACTTAGTGCTGAAAATCCAGAAACACCACCAATCAAGCCCTCGCATCGGCCTACTCTAATACTGGCAATTTCCACCGATGAACTTGGGTACTATTTCGCCCCCAAAAGCCGCAAAAACCAGGGTCTGGAGGCGCTATTGCTTATTGCTATTAAAACCATGGCCAGCGCCTCGTTTTTTTTTTGCAAGCAATTTTCTAGGGGCTCAATATGGCACCCATTCATTCGTTCATCTGCTTCCTGACTCTCGCTTTCAATTTCGTGCACGCGGCACCGTGGATCGCAACCGATATCTACGAACAAGATGTCTATACCCGGGCCTACCTCTCCGAGGCAGTAACTAATATCGCTCGAATTACCCCGACGGCCACACTCCCTGCAGAGGCCTTGTCCACTATCACTTCCACGGACACTCTTTACAGCTATACTATCATTGAGAAACTTTATCCTACTGGCTATGGAGTGGAGCGCTATAATGATTATGGTTATTACTCCCTCGACAAAGCGGGTAACTACCACACTACTGTCTATAAGGTCAACATGACCTACTCAGCCCCAACTGGCTGCTCTACTCAATGGACTACTACCTCTGCTGTCGCTGTTATTCCCCCGACAGAGATCGCCAATCTCCTTCCCAGGGAAACCGTCGCAAGCTCTACCTCCATCGACAATTCGCAACCCTTCCAACCAACCACCTATCTCTACGACGTCGTCTACGTCGACCCAACCCAAGTCCCCAGCTCGGAACTCAGCTCCTTGAGCTATTACAATAAACCAACGGCCAGCTACAATGGCGCTGGATGTCAGTACACTGGCAGCGATGGCTATTCCAGCGGCTACTACGGTGGCTACTATGGCTACGGATATTACGATGACGGCGACTGGTTCACCAGTAAATGGGGAATGGGCATCGGCATCTCAGGTCTCGCCCTGATCCTAATCTGCATCCTCGGCTGGGCCGGTCTTTTCTTCTTCCTGGGCATGATCGAGGCCTGGGTCCGATTCCGTCGCCTCATGACCGGCTGGCAAACCCGTCGCGGATTCCCGCTCTTCTGGGCTTTCTCATGCTTCCCCATTTCCCTCTTCTTCCTGTTCTGTTTCAGGAAGGGCTTCCGTGCGCGTAGTCGTGAAGATGCAGAGATCTTGAAGAAGAGATGGGATGAGATGGGCTTTGGTACTAAGTTGCGTCTTTACTTTGTGTGGGGTTTCCGCTTCAAGTATCCCACTGTTCTTGGTCCTGCTCCTGCCCGAGTCCAGGGTAGTAAGAGGCCTAATGAGTCGGGTCCACGCTTGCTGGAGACACCCCCTGGTACTACAGCTCCTTCAAGGGATGGGTCAGAAAGGGCCCCTGAAATGACACAACCAGGTGTGCAGGCCACTGGTGGGTTGGCAGAAAATAGAGATGCAGAGATTGGGCAGGCTCGCTGATGTTTGTCTTGTCTTTGTGTTCTTGGTGCATGTGGTTTATCATATAGAGCATGGGACATGTATAACGCTGTATGTAAATTTTAATCTTTAATTGATATCACTCATTTATCTACTTTCTTTAATTCATTTTACTGTATTCATTCCATGGATATATCATAATTTATATATCCTGTGCATTCACCTGCATATCACCCCTTGTATGATACACAGCTCACATAAATCTAGGCCATACTTAATTTCAAATAATGCCAACCTTAAACAACAATCAATAAATAAATACATTATTTTCCCATGCCAAAAAGAACTTGATTAAGACATTCAAGATGAAAAAAACAAAAAAGAAATCTTAAAGACCATGTTGGTATTTTAGGAAGAGCCGAACGCGGGGGTCGAACCCGCAGCCTTAAGATTAAGAGTCTTACGCTCTACCGATTGAGCTAGCCCGGCGAAAGGCTGTTAAAGGATACTCGAGAAATAGTGCTACATAAGGGGAACAGCTTCCTGTGGTACTTCCCCCCATTCTTTCCCCATGTCCGTCACCCAGCCACCACACTCATGGAGGTCGAGTCGGGCCCAGTCTCCAGCCATGGGAAACAAGCAGCCTGTCTGAACTGTCGTCGGAGTAAGATTCGCTGCAATCGTCTGGCGGGCGAATCCCAGTGCGAGAAATGTAAGCAATCCAACACGGAGTGCATAGTACCCAGCCATCACCTCGGCAGACAAAAGGGTGTCAAAAAGTGAGTGGTTTGGAATATCAAATACCAGAAAAACGATTAACCGGTATGCAGCAAGCGGAAGGGTCTGGAAAAGGCAATTCATCAGATCGAACAGGCCATTAAACGGCCCAAGGTTGACCCATCTGACAGCGAGGATGCCCAGAAGGCCATTTCCGGTCTGCAAGACCTACTCAGTCAGGTACAAGGGCAGTTGATGCAGAGCGAAGATGGGGCGTCTGAGGCAGAGCAACCGCAGAATTTGCCCTCTCCTCGTGCAGCCCACGACGAGAGCTTGACTCTGGACGATGCAGAGAATCCTTTGCAGTTGCTGGCGAGGGCGTCGGATCTCCAGCTTTCCCCGACAGGGGTGCGGCATATGCCGAAGTCCCCGATGCCTATGCTTCCTCCGACGTTATTTCAGAGCAATGCGCCTTCAGAACCGAGTGCCAAGTCATTCTTTGTCCCCGCACGGGCGAATCTGGATGTCGGCCCTGAGGTGGATCCTGTTGATCTGGGGTTGGTCACATTTGACGAGTCAGAGTCATTGTTTGCATAGTAAGTAGGGTGTCTGTGGAGTATACATTGGGATGAAAATTGACCAACAGCTTCTATCAAAATTTGGCACATACACGATGGGGACTCGATCCTTTGATTCATGTTCCGTCTTTTGTGCGGGCCCAATCGGCTTTTTTGTTTACTTCTGTCATGGCGAGCGCCGCTCTATTTCTTCCTTCGGCTGCCGCCTTGTCGACGAGATTATCGAGGCATTGCAAGTGGCTTGCAAAGCGAATCATTACCAACCGTCACAAGTCTGTTGAGATCGTTCTGGCCTTCATGGTCAATGTACCCTGGATGTCTCCCGGTGAGAGTCTGGGAGACGACGATACTTGTTCATACATTGCGATGGCTCTCACGGTTGCTCTGGATCTATCCTTGAACAAAATCGTCTCCCCATCTTCGAGCTTCGACCAAGGACTTTTGAACCGCCTGGCTCGAGCAGATTGCATAGATGCCAAGAGAGCTTTGCATATGGATGGATTTCACGATGTTGATCCTTCGTCGGAATGGGGCCTCCGTTTGCTGCGAAGACGCGAAAGAGCATGGATTGCTTTATATGTGGTTGAAAGAGGGTAATTTATCTAGTTTCCGATCCACATCGAAATCAACTAATTTCTTATAGTGTATGTCTTGCACGCGGTCGAAGCTATACGGTCCCACCTACAATGCTTATTGAGAACTGTGATCGCTGGCATTTATCCAACGTGGCAGATTTGCGTGACGGTCCTATGAATTCAATGGCAGTTCTTCGAAGAGACCTGGTAAGTTGTCTTGCTCTATTTCACATGGCAAGAACTATGGATTGATCGTATCAGGATGGACTCTTCCGAAGAGTCAGACTTATTTGTGATAACCACCGGATTGTGGACACTGGATCGGAGGTCGCTCAATCGTATGTTCGTTTCCTCGTTGGTATACGCCCCCCACTAATCCACGCAGAATCAAAAAGACCATCGAAACATTCTACGAGGGGTGGTATGCTTCATGGGCCCCGGCAATTGGCGAGAGAGGATGTGAGTGTGTCATCGAACACTAAACTGAGTATATGATATTAATCTTATAGCTCGCTCCATGCCACCTTATGTCGAGATTTTGGTCACACACACTCAACTTTCTACCTACGGCGGTGTGATCAACCATCCAACAGCCCCGGTTGAAGTAAAGCGATTCTTCCGGGCAGCTGGTCTGTCGTCTGCCTTGAATGTCCTTCGAGCAGCTACCCAGGGAGAGTCCCGACTGAAGTCCATGCCCAACAATACCGTGATCATGATTTCCTTCGCTGCATGCTCTGCTCTTAGCCTCAGCGTAACGCCTGGTGACAGCAGATCCAGCCTGGCACCCAGTGTCCGCAATCTGATCGAAGAAACAGCCGGCGTCCTCGAAAGGATTGGCTCAACCCCCAGCCACCGAAGTGGTGCCTCGGTACTTTATGGAAGATTCCTTCGTGAACTGATCAGGCGTGCACCGGCTTTACCTTCTCAGCCCAGGACACATCTTCGAGCCGATCTGCCCGAACTTGCGCTTCCCGTAGATCACACCCCACGGCTGCCTGAGGATCTTTGGTCGGAGCCCATGCACTTCTCAGCAATGTCTGACAATCAGATTGTCGACGCAGTGAATCGTGCCGGTACGGCATTTGGTGCTTCGATCCCTGACGTTCCATTGGATGATATGCTCGACTGGGATTGGCTTGATTTCGCGAATACGGACTTCAATTTCTGAGGACCTGTTCCTGTTGAGACCTGGCTTTCGCCATATGACCCTAAGCTTTCATGAAAGTCACTTCACCTGAGGTCCTAGACCATTACAGATATAATTGAGCCTCAACCCTCCGACACGTGATGTCATTTGACCCCTCACGTCTCCGCACTTGATACACTCTCTTCTCTGAACCTCATCTATACCATGTCGATCACCCACATCGTTCTCTTCCAATTCAAGGCCGATTTGGCCCCTACAGTCATTCAAGATGTGAGATGTTGAGCCACCATCCGCTCTTACAAATACTAACCAATATAGGCCTGCACTCGCATGCTGTCTCTTCGAGACACCTGCCTCCACCCGGCATCTCAGAAGCCTTATATCAAAACATCGTCGGGTGGACTAGACAACTCTCCCGAAGGAGCTCAGGTGCGTTGACCAGACGCAGTATAGAGTCTTCTCTAACATGAAACAGCACGGAATCACACACGCATTTGTCGTCGAGTTTAGCAGCGCTGCAGACAGAGATTATTATGTCAGCGAAGACCCGGTGCATCAGGAGTTTGTTCGAAGCCTTAGCGGTCTGATTGAGAAGGCTCAGGTGCTGGATTTCACCAACGGCGTCTTCTAAGATTATTCTCAAGTATACAATATTCTAGGCACAGCTCCAAATCTGAGAATCGACTTCAAATTACACTCTTTTATAGTATAAAAATCCATAGTTACCTAAATATCATTAAATATAAAGCATACCCACAGGGGGCCAAAAAGCCTGATGTGCATCAACAATTACTCTATGGAGCAACAAGGCAGCGACATATTGGCCAATGTCATAACTACTCTCGACTCTTGTTCTTTTCTTCTTTCAACCCGTTCTTTCTAAAGTTCCTCATAGTGAACAGCAAATTGTCATGTCCCTGGGATCTTTACCTCAATGTTCATCGGCCCTTTTCGGCGTCTTATGGGGTGTGGACAAGGCGTTGAAGGTCACAGAGATCCCGACGATAGTCACTGCCACCGCATTCATCTGTCTCGTTATATTCTTACAGGTAAGATGAAAGAAGCCTTTGATAGACCTGGAACTGATTCATGCAGTTCGAATATACCAAGGGAATGAGCGCTTTGCTTGTCATCCTGGATGCCCCAGCCCACCGTGAAACCAACGCAGAGAAGAATGCCCTTCAGCGTGACAGTGTTGAAGACAGCAGAGCAAAGTATCTGAAAGAACGAGCCCTGGAATGGACAAAGGGATTTGTGATCTGCAACCTGTTCAACTTCATCATATCCGAGCTGTTGTGGCGTGGTGGATTCTTCGAGAAATCATCCCTCAGCCCTGGGGGGATTCTGGCTGCTTTCATCATGTCTATTTCTTTCGTCGCTAAACCACCCAAGTCCAGCGGTGTTCCTGGGCAGGATTTGGCTCAACCTTTACACAGCCACGGACACATTCTGACGGGCCTCGCCCTGTTCATACCGTATCTGATGGTATTCCAGGCTCTGGCTCTAGGCATATCTTTTTTCATCGAATTCAGTCTCCCTATTTACATGGGTTCCAAGTTGGTGATAGGGCTTCTCTTAACAAATATGCATACTGCCTGGGTTCAGACAATCGCTTCCAACCCCACAAATAAATCTATTTGGCAGAGAATGCCCGGTGGAAGACAGTGGCTTGCAATCCTGCCCATCGCCTGTCTGGACATCTTGCTACCGGACGTGGTTTACCATTTGACCAAGGCTACCGTGGCATTCTTCCAGGCCAGCGATTTTCTCGGTCTCACCAACACACCCGGGGACTTCGGTGTCATAGTGGCTCCTATACTGCTGAGCTGGCTCACAGCATTGTTGACCCGCGCCATCTATACCAAGGTAGCCATGTCGATGTTAGCTATTGGTCAAGATGATCAGGAAGAACCAAAGGCGTGCCTGAGTATTCTAGACGCCATCAGCAGCACCACAGCCCAGAACTGGCATCGTTATCTGGCAAGGATGTGGGAAGTGGCCGTATATGAGTACCTATGGGCCAGTTTCTCCTGCATTGCTATCCTCGCCGAGCTTTATTACTTGGCGCCGTGCGCCGTCACAGATGGGTTGGTTTGGTTGACCCAGGACCGGTGAGTGCAGATCTCTGCAGTCCAAATACGCCAAGTCAAGAATCAATGGAGATATGAAGGCCTGCTCTCCGACTCACATCAACTCGCCACTTGACGATCTGGGGCCAAATCGCAGTGTGGGAGCCATTTTGATGTACCAGCATATAAAGATTGATGATATTAGCCTGGATACTAGAGAACATTTCAAACAGCTACATCCAGAGATATACTTAAGTATCAAGCCTTTCAATAGAGCCAGCCCCTATGGGAACATTCTGATGTGCCCTTCAGAGCATTTCCAATCGCATGTAATTGGGATAGTAGAATAGTCCCCGTCACGGGAAACCCGAGTAAAATGGCAGCCTGAGGCACTATTCGGCATTCAGAAGTAGCTCCGAGAGGCCGATGGCAGACACTTTAATAGAATGATCTCATCTCCGCAACTTGTCTGGTTTTCTGTGTTTTCACTTGCAACATGGCCGCCCTTCGAATTTCCACTGCGATAATGTCGCGCAATGCCCTCGCTACCTGTCGATCTCCCTTCTTAAGGGCTCGCTATAGCGTACGCCTATCCCAGCCATTCAGCACCACCACAAGCAGCAAGTATGCCGGCACGGCACCACTTCTGTCCCTAGCCCCCAAGATCGAGCGTGGGGGCTCCAAAGTATTCAAAGATGCCGATGCCGCGGTGACAGACATCAAGAGCGGATCGACCATCCTCAGCTCAGGCTTCGGCCTGTGCGGAGTAGCAGGTGGGTAGAATGAGAGAGCGACGGAGGAGCCAGAACCAACGCTAACAGAGACCAGAAACATTGATCAATGCAATGCACCGCCGAGGCGTCGATCAATTGCACTCCCTCACGGCCGTGTCGAACAATGCCGGCGCGGCAGGCAAAGGCGGCCTCTCAACGCTCTCGCAAAATGGTCAAATTGACCGTCTGATCCTTTCCTACCTCGGCAATAACAAAGCACTGGAGAAGAAATATCTGACGGGAAATATCGCTATTGAGCTGTGCCCGCAAGGGACCTTGGCCGAGCGTCTTCGCGCGGGTGGTGCTGGAATCCCCGCATTCTTTACCCCGACAGGAGCCCGTATGTATCGATCTTGCATTGACCCAGGTACTTTGGCTAAATGAAATAGATACTTTCATCCAAGAAGGAAAGATTCCCGTTCGCATGGATGAATCTGGGAAGGTCTTGGAGTCTGGAAAGCCGCGTGAGACACGCGAGTTCAACGGAAAGACCTATCTTATGGAGGAGGCGTTGACAGGTGATGTGGCCATCCTGCGGGCTTGGAAGGCCGATGAGGCTGGCAACTGTGTTTTCCGGTGAGTGCAATCTTCTCGATGTTGTCATTGTCGTGCTGATGGGTGTAGATACACCACGAAAGCCTTTGGTCCCATCATGGCCAAGGCCGCCACTCTCACCATCGTGGAAGCCGAGAACATCGTTCCAGTAGGATCGATTGATCCCAATGATGTGGATTTGCCAGGAATCTTCGTTGATCGCATTGTTCCTGCGACAGATGACAAGCACATTGAGAATAAGAAGCTGCGGTCTAACGAGACTGCTGGTTCGACCGACGCTGGTCAAACCCAAAGAGAACTGATCGGTCGTCGAGCTGCAAAGGAATTGAAGCCTGGATACTATGTCAATCTGGGCGTTGGAATCCCTACCCTGGCGCCGTCTTTCCTGCCCAAGGATGTCAAGGTGTGGATTCAGTCGGAGAACGGAATTCTGGGAATGGTGAGTTGGAATCTGGTGTTTGATGCCTTGGAATATTCTAACATTCATTTTCAGGGTGACTATCCCACAGAGAAAGAGCTTGATGCGTATGTTCCTCCCCTCGACTTCGACTCTTGACTTAATACTGACCTCAACAGGGATATCATCAATGCCGGCAAAGAGACTGTCACTCTCGTTCCTGGAGCTGCCACATTCGACAGCACCGAGTCCTTTGGAATGATCCGCGGCGGTCACGTTGATGTGTCCATCCTCGGTGCCTTGCAGGTGAGCGCCAACGGTGATCTGGCCAACTACATGATCCCTGGCAAGGTCTTCAAGGGCATGGGAGGTGCCATGGACCTGATCTCCAACCCCGAAAAGACCAAGATCGTCGTGGCTACCAGTCATGTCGCCAAGGATGGATCACCCAAGATTGTACAGAAGTGCAGTCTTCCTCTGACGGGTGCCAATGTCGTTAGCACCATTATCACAGACCTGGTAAGTCGAGATCGTCTCTTAGTCGAGCGCCAACTGACCCAGATTGCAGTGTGTATTCCAGGTAGACCGGAAGACCGGAGAGCTCACGCTGACGGAGCTTGCGCCGGGCGTTGAAGTGGAGGAAGTTCGCAGCAAGACCGATGCCAAGTTCACGATCGCGAAGACTTTGGAAATCATGGAATAGATATAGTAAGCATAGTCCAGATTGTATATATACAGAACATGAATTTCTATAAATTTAGAATTCTACAATCCTATAATTTCGCCCGTCCAGGGGCAAAGTTCGATCCCTGACCTTGTCCAATGGCTTCCACAATGGAGTCAACACTCTCCAAAATCCACGTATTTCCCTCATCACTCGCCAACCAACGAGCCCCCTGCTCCCCCTCGACATCACCAGCCCAAGACCCATCCTCAAGCGCCTTCCGCAGTCCAAACAGATGCGATGTGACCTGAGGTCCCACGCCAGACTGAGACCTCAGACACGCCACAGCCACGATGGAGGTCAAAATGCGACCAGCCGACGCGCCCGTACTCCGCTCCGGATCAGAGAGCAATGCGCCGTAATTCGCATGCAGAATGTGCACGGGCAAATCGGGATGAGACTCCGCGAGCTTATTAAATAGCTTCTTCTCGAAGGGTCGGTAGATGGAGTCCCAGAGTGCATGGCCCCGCTCCCTGATGCCCGAGATGTTCTCCGGCGTGGGTGCACGGGTGGGCGTGCGCGAGAGCTGAGCATCCACTGCCTGGGGCAGGTTGGATTTGAAAGCGCCGAGACAGTTGATGGTGCGGGGGATGCCATTGAAACTGATACATTTGAGTCCCACCTCACGAATCAGCTCGGCGGTTTCAACTGGCTTGTCTGTGCCGGCTAGCTCGAACAGGGCCGTCAGTGACTCCGGGGAGTTCATGGTCATCGTGGCTGCTGTCTACCTCGATGTTAGTCCTTTTCTCTAGGCCTGGAAGTGCGAAACAGACCGATAGTGCGACCCATGATGGCTGCGACACCTGCTTGGCTTTCGCTGTTTGTTGGATCTTCTGGTAGACCGAGGTTATGTTTGCTGGGGCAGGCACCGTGAATGGACGGGCTGTTGGGGCATTGACCAACGCCTTGAGGCTGCTTGATAGTTTCGACATGGTTTGAGGATTCTCTGAGGGAGGAAGTCGGGCCATTAAGAAATGTCCGGGAATGACGGACGCAAGTGTCGGAGGTCAAAAGTGCACGCCGAGGCCCCGATGACAATACCTCAACACTGTACCAATACGGTATCATTACCACGTCAGAATCCGGGGAAATTCGTCTTTTCTTTTCTTTTTTTGCGGGGAAAAAAAGTAGCCTCAAGCCCCTTGGCTTTTTGATTGGCTTTAGATGTTGGGCCATTGGTCAAAGAAACACAAAAAGGGAATCTCGGGCCTAGAATTGGTGTCCGGGCTGCTTGTGTTCTTTGCTTATTTACTCTGACTTTCCCCCCAGGTCTGCAGTTTCTTGTGATACTCTCTTACTCCGCGCCCAGAACACCAAGAGCAGTCCTGCATCGCCAAGCCACTATGGAGCCGCACAAATCAAGCATTGAGCAGCTGGAAAAAGTAATGGCATCTCCCCTTGATCGACATGGGGATTATGCCCATCAGCAGAAATTGACGAGGAGGATCATGTTGAAGTTGGATACAAGGTGGGTTCAGAACAGCCCCGAAGGATGACAATTCTGACAATTCTGATTCCGGTTTAGAATCCTCCCCATGCTCGCACTACTCTTTCTTTGCTCGTTCCTCGATCGGACGAATGTCGGAAATGCAAAGATCATTGGCTTAGAAGAGGATCTGGCGATTACCGACCATCAGTATGACGTTGGATTGGCAGTCTTCTATCTCACTTATATTTGCAGGTATGTATTGTCTCCAAATATTGCCATTCCAATTCTAATGGTTCTAGCGAACTACCGAGCAATTTGGTTATGAAAAAGGCATCTCCTAAGCTATGGTTGCCATTTTTAACGGCCGTTTGGGGAATCATTACAATGTGTCTGGGATTCGTTCAGAACTATGCTGGATTTGTCGCTGTGCGAGCTTTGCTAGGCATTGCAGAGGGTGGTCTGCTTCCTGGAATGGTACGTTCCTGGCCTCGAGGTGGAATTCTTACTCACCAGTCAGGTCTTGTATCTGTCTGCCTTCTATAGACGAGGCGATTTGGCTCTGCGGATTGGTCTTTTCTACACGGCGGCTTCCCTGTCAGGTGCATTTGGAGGTATGCATCCTAGCAATCTGCTGTGTGATATATACTAACTTGCTCAGGCCTGCTTGCTCGAGGATTGGCGGAAATAGGACCTCGGGGCGGCATTGAGGGCTGGCGCTGGATTTTGATCGTTGAAGGCCTCTTGGTAAGTCGAATGAATTCCACATAGTGTTGATCTGACCTTCGATAGACCTTCGTCTGTGGAGTCTTGAGCTTCTTTGTTCTTCCAAATAGCCTGGAGACGGCGTCCTTCTTGACTGCCGAGGAAAAGGACTTTGGCCGGGAACGACTGATGCTGGATAATCCCGGGTCAGCAGAAGGGTAAATCTGCTTCCATCTGAACTCTGAACTCTGAATTCACTGACATTCAATAGTGCCTTGGCCTCCGAAGCTGAATCGTTCAAATGGTCAGAAGTACGCCGAGGAGTTTTGGATGTTCAAGTGTGGCTCTCTGCCTCGGCGTACTTTGCCATTCTCTCAGGACTCTATTCCTTTGGATTGTTTGTATGATATGTGGCCCCCTTGCTCTGAATGATTCTAACGAGAGAACAGCTTCCAACAATCATCAAAAACCTGGGATTTGCCAAAGATGCCAACGAGGTTCAGCTGTGGTCCGTTATACCATACGCTGTTGCAGCCGTGATTACAGGTTTGTGTTGTAATTCCATCCCTCTCACACTGTCCTCTGACCTGTATACCAGTGATCGTGGCTATTGTCTCTGATCGTCTCCGCCTGCGAGGTGTGGTGATGCTTTTCACTCTCCCAATCGCCATTATTGGCTATGCTGCGATTGCCAACATCAATTCCCCGCGTGTCCAGTACGGGATGACCTTCCTCATGGCCACTGGACAATATGCCAGTGTGCCGTGTATCTTGGTGTGGCTGTCAAATAATTCAGCAGGCCACTATAAGCGTGCTACTACCTCGGCGATGCAATTGGCAATTGCCAATGCCGGAGGCTTTGTAGCAAGTATGTTCATCCCTCTCCTTCTGTATGCAACTCTGACCAAATAATATAGCCTTCAATTATCCCTCCCGAGATGGACCTTTGTTCCATCGCGGACACACCATCATCCTGGGATTGTTGGTATTCGCCTGGTTTATGTAAGTGTACTTCTTCACCTGAGCACGGCTTTGTGGTTTGACTGACTGACCTAGGATTCTGCTCAATGTGCTGTACTGTGTGAAGATCAATCGGGACAAGAAGAATGGGAAATACGATCAGTATGCAGGGTATGCTGATGACCGTAACCCAGAGTTCATGATGGTTCTGTAGACATTGGAACTTACGTTATGAAGAAATCTGAAATTCTAGACACTTTGATCTCTGCATTCATACCCTAATAACTCTAGAGAAAAGATTACCCAAAGGAGTATTTCAAAGAGTGTGCCGCACTGGTCGGATTCAAAATTGCTGATTCTAGTCAAACTGCATGAAGAAACGTACATTCCTAGAGGATCGGGAACCTCGATATAAGCCAATCATCCCCTTCTAACTGGTCTCCTCATCCTCTTGCGAGTTCTGCTTGCGACGAGCAGCCTCCTTACCGGCAAAGCTGAACAGCATACCGAGATCATAGACCACCTTCAAGCAACCAGCAATGATAAAGGAGACACCGAAGTGGCCATTGCGTGACAAGATTCCAGTCAACAAAGGTCCCATGCTCTGCGAGGTGGTCTTAACCACATTGACTGCCCCCATAATGGCAGTGCGCTTGTCAGCCGGTAGAGCAGCGGCGAGGAAGGCCGAGCGCGGGGCCACATCCATGTTCTGAGAGCAAGCACGCAAGACCAAGAAGGTCAGAGCCAAGGGAAGGGTGGAGGGGACGGAGATCAGAGCCAGGCAAATGGCCGACGGCATATGGGTGAACACCATTGTCTATCCCGGGTATCAGCAATGTTGAGCAGAGGAGGGGAGGGGGTTGAAAGAGTTTAAACGTACCTTGACGTTGCCGATGCGCTTGGCTAGAGACGAGGCGACCAACATGGATGCCGCGGAGATCAGGTTTGTGGTGAAGAAGATCGTGCCGAGTTGGCCCTCCGGCAATTTGAATTTACCCTTGAAGAAGTAGGTCATCCAGGACCTAAAAGAAAAAAAAAAAAAAAACATTAGTGGCTGTCAGTCAAGCTAGGGAATGAAACTTACAAAGAGGCCAGCCCGGAGGCAAAGGAGTCCACACCAAACAAGATGAAGAGACGAATCACCAGCGACCACAGATCCTTTTCGATCGAGGGGAACAGGCTCTTCTTTGGTGCCGGTGCCGTCTCCTCTTCTGTGGGCTCTGCCAGCAGAGGACGAGTCTCCGGGTTCTGCTCCGGCTCCTGTTCCTGAACCTCAACTTTACTGCTCAGACCCAAAGTGAAGATCAACTTGACGATGCCGACTCCGGCATAGACGAAGAAAATGATGTGACAGGCCGGGATAAAGGCCCACCCATGGATGGACTCAAGAGAGTTAATAATCCAACCGCATACCAGCATTCCCAGGGCGGAGCCAGCTGTTCCAATTAAAGAGTACCAGGCAAAGACATCACTCAATTTCTCATGCACGGTGAGATGGGCGAGGGTGGATTCTTCCACGGCGCGGAACGGACCAATCTCATTTCCACTTTGAGAAAAGATCAGATAAGATCAACCCGAGATCACTGGAATATGAACATACCTGGGACTGATGACACCAAAGACAGCTGCTGCCAATAAAATCCAATAATTTCCAAAGAGCGCAAATACCACACCACTGGCTGCCATGAGGATCGACCCGAGCGATAATACGGCCTTGCGACCCATGCGGTCCGCAAAGAGGGTCAGGAAGAAGCTGATGACCACATCTCCGACCAGCGTCAGAGTCATAAATAATCCGATCCGATCATCAGATATCCCAATGGCCGAGAGGTAGGATGCCAGGATCAGTGTTGAACCACCGTATGCGAACAGGCGGACGAAACGCTGGGCGCAGAGCAGCTTCACGTCGAGGGAGGAATGCCACATGGTGGTCAACCCCAGCTCTTCGAGAGCATGAGCAATGTACCGAGCAGGTCTCGATTGAGCCATGATTCCAAGGCAGAGTAGACAGTGAAGGAGTAGGAAGAAGTCAAAAGTGCAAAGAGCCAAAGTCTCGCCAAGACACGGCCCAAACATCCCGGAGCTAAGCTTTCTTGGGAACTTCTCGTAGGGCTGAACTCTTCTTCTCTTCTCTTCGACTATTTACTTCTGACTCTTTTGTATGATCTTCTGTCTCTTTTGAATTATCTTCTATTATACACCAATCTATTCTAGACACTCTCCGACTTGGGAGGCCACTTCACACGCCTTTCCGCCCGCACATACAAATTAGTCGGCCGAATCAACTGGAACATGGGATCATAATCCACTGGCCCGTCATTCTCCTTGGTGAATTTGTAACGGAAGAGCAACTTCGGAAGGAAGACCTTGACTTCCTGCAAGGCGAAGTTGAACCCAATGCACATGCGGGGACCCGCAGCGAAGGGCATGTACGCATTCTTATGACGGTCCTTGACCTCTTGGGTATCCCAACGATCTGGGTCGAATCGGACCGGATTGCTCCAAAGCGCAGGATTATTATGAACGTGGTGAAGGGCAGGGATGACAATGGAATCGGCTGGCAGTTTGTAGCCGCCGGGGAGGACCATGGAGACCTTGGCTGTGCGGGCGGGCTGATACGAGGGATTGTGTCGGCGCTGGGTTTCCTTGATAAATTTGTCGAGGAAGGTGAGGCGTTCGGTGAGATCGGCAGTGATGGGAGTGTCTGCCGTAATGTCGTTGTCGATGAGTTCTTGGAGGAGTCGCTCTTGCATGCCGGGGTAATTGACCATGGAATACAGAAGCCAGGAGAGCAGGGAGCTGGTGGTTGTGAATCCAGCTCCAGTAGCAACCACCAGCGCTTGCATCAGACTGGTTTTGGGCAGCTTCTCGCCCTTGTTGTCAGTGGCACGAATGATATAATCTGGGCAGTATACGGTTAGCTGAGAGCGATGAAGAGAAAGATGATGGACTAACCAATCATGTTGGAGGCCTGCAATGCAGCATCCTGCAGGGGAAGATCCTCCACACCACCCCGAGAGGCATTATCAATGGACTCATTGACCATCTCAATAATACGGTAGCGAGCATCTCGCAACCGCTTGGGGTCACCAAAGGGCAGCTTGGCATACCAGTCTCCACGAGCAGTGACCTTCTTGTTCAGCTCCAGTGACTCCGCGATCCGGTACACAAGCTCATGGGGTGGTGCATCGACGGCTGAGAAATGCTTGAAGTCCATTCCCAAGACCAGCTTCCCCACCGCCTGTGAACCCAGCTTCAGCATGTACTGGTAGACATTCCAGGCCTCTCCGCGCTCATCCAACTCGTCAAAGACACTGAAGGCGTCCTCGACGGTCTCTTGCATCGTGGGGGCATAGTGGCGCACGGCTTTAGGTCCAAAGGCTGGGGGAAGGAATTTGTGTGCGGCCCGCCATTCGGGGGTATCAGTATCTCCCAAGAACACACCGGCTTCTTGATTCTTGATGGGGTGCAGCGGGTGACCCTCGCTGATCCGCTTCGTGAAGAAATCTGACTCGGAGAACACGATAGCCGACAGCTCGGGGTCATTGGTGTGATAGACGGTGCGTCCCATGTTGGTGGTCTGAATGATGGGACCATATTGTTCGAACAGACGTTGATGGTTCCCCAGATGGTCTGGGTAAACCTCGAAGAAGTTTCCCACAAAGGGCAAACCCTTGGGACCGGGGATTTCCTTCACTGCCTTGCCATCTATTGAGATTGCAATGGGCTCTTCGTTGGCGAGAATGTCTGTGGGGTGGGACAATGTGGTCTCCTCGGATTGGAAGCCAATGCCTACTAACATGTCAATGATTGTTCTCAGGTATTGCAGCGATCTTCTTACCATTTGGTTCGACAATGGCGAATTGACCTGCGACCAGCAATTGAAGGTCTTGATAACTGATGGTCGATTCAATATCAATTGCTTGCGCTGAGGTGACAGCTTCACCCAGCAAGTAGAATTGTTTCGCCACCATTTTGAAAATTTGAATGATTTTTCCACCAAAATCTCCCTTCGAAGGATGTGATTATATTTATAAAAACACAATGGTATGAGCCAATTTGAAATTGCATATCTCCACTTATGCATCGTTCTCTACAGTCAAGACGAGACAGCCTCGGTACTTTCCACTGTCTCTGAGGCTCCACTTCTAACAAATCTCAATTGGGAGCTGATCGTCGCGTTCGGTGCCAAATTTCCTCTGCACTAAAACTTCCAGACCAAAGGCCGACACGGGACAGGCCTTGATCGGGTTCGCCGTGAGTGTTTTTCTCGGCTCCAGGATGCCGATGTCTCGACGGCCCCACGGCTGCGTCGGTGTTTTAGTGCGTTTGAGGTTTAGCTTCTTCTAAAGAGCTTCGATGCCGAGGTACAAATAAAATTGTGTCGATTAGGAATTCTGGTCCTCTACAGTGGGTTTGATTTATGTACATTTATACTTGTCGATCCACCGGGATGAGGGCAATTCCCATATAATCTCCCTAAGGCGTGAGATTGTGGGAATTATACCTTTGTTTTCTTCTTTCTTTTCCAGGTTCTTAACAATCTCTATCATGTCTGAAACAAAAGAGCTCCAGACGGAGTGGAAGACCGAGACGGTCTTGCCTGAATACACCTTGAAGGATGTTGCAGCACATAATACCAAGGGAGACACCTGGATGGTGATCCATGGACAAGGTGCGAATGCCGGGCAAGATGTCGATGCAATACTAACAGTTCAACAGTCTTCGATCTCACAGAGTACATGCAGGATCATCCAGGAGGCGCAGAGGTGCTAGTCGACGTAGCTGGTACTGATGCCACCGCAGACTATGAGGACGTGGGTCACTCAGAGGATGCACGCGAAATCATGCAACCTTTCTTGGTGGGCACATTAAAAGATGCCCAGCAGTACGTGCGACCCAAGGCAGTCCGCGTTGTCTCCCAAAAAACAGCAGAGGTGGAAGCCTCTTCCTCACCCCTCAAGGCCATTGCGTGGGCTCTCGGTTTAATACCGGCCTGCTACATTGTCAGCCGCTCTAACCTCACAAATGGCATTGATGCCATCTCCCACTTGATCCCCCATCAACTGAAGAGCGTACGGCTGCCTCATGGAGGCTTCATCAATGGTTTTTTGGCTGCTTCGGCCATCTCTGCCGTCATTGGTGTCATGGCAGCCCGCCAAGCTGGCAAGTTCACCAAGATCGACTCTGGCTTTATGCGCTATCCTCCCCATATGAAGGCCAAGAAGGTCATTCGGGTAGACCCCCATCTGACCCGAGGCTTCCTGGAGCCGCAGCAATATCAACGTCTCCCACTAGTGGAGAAGACTGAACTGGCTACGAATGTTTTCCGATTCGTCTTCGCCTTGCCCACCGCTTCAGGGGTGTTGGGTCTCCCCATCGGCCAACACGTCGCCATCCGAGCTGAGATTGAAGGAACCATGGTCACTCGCTCGTATACACCAACCTCCAACAACACTGACCGCGGCCGCATCGAACTGGTCATTAAGTGTTACCCCGATGGTTTGCTGAGTGGCAAGTACCTGGCAGGTCTGACAATTGGCGACGAAGTTGAGTTCCGTGGACCCAAGGGTTCCATGCGCTACAGCAAGGGTCTCTGCCGCAAGATTGGCATGGTGGCTGGTGGCACTGGTATCACCCCTATGTACCAGTTGATCCGCGCGATTTGCGAGAACGATACCGATACCACTGAAGTTAGTCTCATCTACGCAAACCGAAGTGAGTCGGATATTCTCCTTCGCGAAGAATTGGAGCGATTCGCACGCCAGTACCCTAAGAACTTCAAGTTGTGGTACATGCTTGACTCTGCACCAGAAGGATGGACATACGGCACGGGATATGTGGATCAAGCCGTTTTGACAGCGCAACTTCCTGCAGCATCACCGGAGACAAAGGTGATGCTATGTGGGCCACCGGGTATGGTCAATGCCACTAAGAAGAATCTGCTGGCAATGGGCTTTGCAAAGCCAGGGGTGGTGTCTAAGATGACAGACGAAATCTTTTGTTTCTAGACCCGATTTAGTAAATACCGAGGTCTGTTTCTTTTTTTTTGTTGGGATGTCGGACCGAGACCGAGAACGGGAGAAGAAAAAAAAAAGGAGTCAAATCAGGTTTGACATCCCGAAGCCCTAACTGGTGGACCTTAATATTCTAGAACAATTCTAATATAAACAGCATTGTATGTGCGTCCATTATATTAAAATATATGTATACCCTGTACACTGATCATTAACTCTTGGCTTTCTCCAACGGTCGGATGATATATGGCATTGGGTTCCCTCGTTTGCTCTCCCGAATATCAATGGTGGTCTTCGAACTCATGTCGGTAGTGAATTTCACCACAGGCGAGAAGCTGGGTCGACCCGGCTTAGGGTCAGAGCCGTCTTTGGGAGGTTCCGGCGCTATAGTCACAGTCTTCTTCTTCTTGGAGGGCGCAGAAGGATCCACAGCGGGGTCCCGAGGAGGATCTGGAAGAGGGACTCTAACGAAACGGCGTTGACTTCGCGATGCAGACCGGGAGCGTTTTGGACGTTTACACCAGCAATAGAGCAGGAGTAAAAGAAACGCAGTCCCCAAGATTGAGCCTGCGATGGCGCCCTTGGCTCCGGTGGAGAGGCCGCCGTTAGATTCAGCGGAATAAGTCCATGTCGGAGTAGCAGCGGTTTGAACCACGGCCGTCAACGGAGGGCTATCAGGCCATGTGAGGGTCACAAAGGTGTTGGTGGGCCAGGAATGCGTCTCCCGTCTCACAATGGTCACGTCAGTAGGGTACAGCCCGGGAGTCGTTTGGGTAACCTCGCGTGAAGCAGGTGCCATTGTCCGACAACCCGAAATAACATGCTGGGTCTGGAGTCAGTAAGTTTGAACAGGAATTGCGCGACGCCGGGGTTTTCATATGTTGCTCGGTCCCGGGAGGGGGTAACAGGAGATGCATGAACCACGTCAAGCAAATGGACTTGGAAATGGCACCTTCTGACTTGATCATGCAGCTTATGCTGCAGAGTCACCTCGGAGGTACCCTCGCCTTGAGAAAATCAAGCTCAGGATTGGTGGAGGATGTCGCCCATAGTATCTTGGCGGACGTGTTGGCATCCCCGCAGGGTCAGTTCGGAATCAAAACGGCCGTATAGCTCTGCGTTCCGATAGATCCCTGCCCAATGGCAATCACATTGGGCGAAAATTTGAGATGTCTTCTAGAAACTGTGATAGAAAGGTATTGGCAAAGGAAATGCGATTCAAAATGCAATAAAATCTGCATTTGGGGCACTGTCTAGTTAGCCTTGTATATACTCCCAAGTCTCGTTCTCGACTTGGGGATTGGCATTCAGCCAGATTGGGCTTGGGCGGCTTGGACGTTCCGTTCCAGGTGGTTAGAAAGTCCAATCCCTCATAGCGAGTCGTCGAGTCGTGATTGCTGCGGTCTGGGCCTGATGAATGGGAATGCAAGAGGACTGCAAGACATACTCCATACATTTGAAACAGCATATTCTTCCACGTCAAGCTTCCAGAAAGCTTAGCTTGTAGGCCTGAGGTTTCCAGTGAAATCGAAGTTGAAAGTTGCAAGTTGCAAGTTGCAAGTCGCCTGGCATTTGACACCAAAATTACCAAAATTACCAGATTACCTAAAGACCAAAGATACGGTCACACGATACCATGGCCCGTGCGTCGTCTCTTTTTCTTCCGCGACGTCCTTCGCGATTCAGCGCTCACCGGCTGTGTCCATGAACTCATTGTCGCGAGTTGGTTTGCCTAGACGATGCGCCCAGCTCACACCTATATACACCCTCGTTCAAACCCTCTGTCCTCGCTCGATACAGCATTTGCGATTCAATTCAACCATGGCGAATACCTCCGACACCCCACCCAGCCTGGTGGAATTTAAGGGGACCCAATACCAAGCGGTGAAAGAAGGACTGGCTACTATTCTAAACCCTCCTACACAAGCGGCTGCCTCGAAAGGCACCAAGAAAAACCTGAAAGAAGACGACCAAGTCCAATCCGTGTTTTACAACCCAATTCAACAATTCAATCGCGACCTGAGCGTTCTGGCCATTCGCGCATATGGCGAACATCTGCTGGACTACAAGAAACAGAAAGCGGACCTTAAATTGAAGAGACAGGCTGGCAACGGGGAAAAGAAGCGGAAGCGCGAGGACGATCAAACCGAAAACCCGAGACCTGCCCCAAAGGCAGATGACAACGCTTCTTCGGAATCAAACCAGACACAGCTTCTCCCAGAGCAGCCTCTCTCTGCAGAGAAATCGGCTGCCCCCGTTCCACCACCCGCCCCTCAATTCGCTATTCTAGACGCCCTCTCCGCAACGGGATTGCGCGCACTCCGCTATGCCTCCGAAATCCCATTTGCTACCAAGGTGGTGGGCAACGACTTGTCCGAGTCTGCAATCAAGTCAATGAAGAACAACATCGAATACAACGATCTTCAAACCATTCAGCCCAACTTGGGAGATGCGAGAGTCTACATGTATGAGAACGCAAGCAAATTCGACGTAATTGATTTGGATCCCTACGGTACAGCGTCTCCTTTCCTGGATGCTGCCATCCAGGCTGCTAAAGACGGTGGCTTGCTGTGTGTCACCTGTACCGATGCAGGCGTCTGGGCCTCCACCGGCTACTCAGAGAAGGCCTTCTCGTTATATGGCGGCATTCCTCTCAAGGGAAACCACTCCCACGAGAGTGGATTGAGATTGATTCTGAACTCTCTTGCGATGTCTGCATCCAAATATGGAATTGCTATTGAGCCCTTGCTGTCGCTTTCAATCGACTTCTACGCCCGTGTCTTTGTTCGAGTCCATAGGTCCCCTGCACAGGTCAAGTTCAATGCTGGCAATACTATGCTTGTTTACAGCTGCGACGCTGGCTGCGGCGCCTGGACAACCCAGTACATTGGCTCTACTAAGAGCAAGACCGATAAGAATGGAAGGCCTATCTACCACCACGGCATCAACAAGGGTCCCTCGTCTGGTCCTCAGTGTGAGCACTGCGGCACCAAGACTCACATCGCAGGGCCTATGTGGGGTGGCCCACTGCACAACCCTCACTTCGTACAGAAAATCTTGGCTATGCTCCCCGGAGCTGATCAGGAAACATATCAGACGTGTCCCCGCATCGAGGGCATGCTGACTACCGCCCTAGAGGAAGATCTAGATCTGACATCTAAAGCGGACGCATCCAAGCCAACAGATGCCACAGAGAAGGAGACCCAGACAGAGACAAAGAACCAACAAAACCCTGACTATCCCGCGATCGTCCCTCGAATGGACGTTGCCCTTCGAGAACCATACCCCTTCTATTTCTCACTCAGTGCGGCTGCCAAGGTTCTTCACACCACCACCATTCCCATTGATGAGTTCCGTGGAGCCCTCAGCAATCTCGGATATCGTTCCACTCGCTCTCACACGAAACCAAACTCCGTTCGCACCGATGCTCCCTGGGAAGTAATTTGGGAGGTGATGCGCGAATGGGTGCGACAAAAATCGCCCATCAAGGAGTCTTCCTTGAAACCCGGAACTCCTGGCGCCGTGATTATGGCCAAGAGCCGTGACAACTTGCGCAAATTGGACGACCAAGATCAATGGCTCTCCCTCTTGAAGCAGGATTTGCTCTCTGCTGTCGACGGTGGTAGAGATGTGACTGACTTGGTCACCAAGGTTGAGGCAGCCCTTTACCGCTCTGGGTCGCGCAACTCACAGCGTGCGACTTCGACTTCCCAGCGCGAAGAAACTGCGCAGCCTTCGGCTGAACAATCTGCTGCCCCAGCCAAGCGAACTCACCCCAGTGCCCTGGAGGTGGTCTTTGATGCCGAGCTTGGCCGTGCGGTCTCTGCCACGCATACGACAAAGCGTCTCATGCGCTACCAGCTTAACCCCCGTCCTAATTGGGGCCCCCTCAACCGCGCGGGTCGTTCCTGATGGGAAATTGTACATGATAAAAGTACTATAAAAATGCATTGGAGTTGGGGTAGTGTAGCATTTACAAATTTTGATCACAATTTAAAACTTAGCTTTCACCATTTTACAATGTGTTTGAAACATCCAAAATGACTTGCGAAATAAGTTGAAAACAATAAATGAAATGTCATTACTCCCATTATAAACACAACGAGCCAGGAGACGAAGCCGGCTCGGAATTCTAAAAAACATAAATCACAATCATTACGTCTCAATCCAATACAACCGGATTTCTATGCTAACAGTGGGAACACAACACGCTTAGAACTGCGACACAGCAACAGCAACGGCTTGGGAGTCGCTGTGGCTAATGCTGACGCTGACCTGCTTGACACCGGCTTGCTTGGCGGCAGCGGCGGCGGCACCGTGGAGCTGGAGATATGTTAGCATGAATGTTCATTCAAAGTGTCAGGATTTTCAGGGAACTTACGTTCACGGTGGGAGCACCGTTGGCATCAACTCCGATCTCAATATCCTTGAGAGCGGCACCGGCACCCTTGCTGCTGACACCAAGGGACTTGAAGACAGCCTCCTTGGCACTCCAGCGGCCTGCAAATGAGGACTGGGGAGAGGCAGCCTTGCGGCAGTAGTCCTGCTCACCCTGGGTAAAGTTGCGCTCAACAAAGGTCTCGTTATCAATGTTGACGGAATCAATGTGCTCGACATCAACGCCGATCTTGGAGTTCTCGGCGGCATTGGCCTTGGCAAGGGACTCAACAGTCTGGCGAGTGGCCTCGGACTGTTTAGCCTCCGGGGAAGCAGAGGAGTACTTGAGCTCAGAGGTCTTCTTGTCAAGCGACACACGGTAATCGGGGTTCAAGAAGATCTTGCTCTGGAGGTCATCCTCGTAAGGAGCCTTGTTCTTAGCAACAAAGATGGTGTTGTTGATCAGACCGTTGTGGAAGTAGCGGTAAGCTCTCTTCTGGCGAGCCTCAACCTTGGTCTTGTAGGCATCGTATTGGGCCTTCTCGAGAGTGGCATACAAGTACTTGGGGTGGATACCAATGACCTGAGCACCCTTCTGACCGAAACCGAAGGAGGTGACGGAGAAAGCCTTGATACCATCCGTTTGGATGCTGCGGCTGGGGTAGACGATGTAGTCGAACTTCTCCATGACCTTGTCGACGTTATCGGCGTTGCGGTTACCGGGGACAAGACCGCTATCCAAGACCTGCAAACAACCGTTGAACATCCAAGCACCGGCAGCACCCTTAGGGTGACCAGTGAGGTACTTCTGGAAGATACCCATCAAGGCATTACCCTTAGTACGGCCAAGGTGCTTCATCTGCTGACAAAGAACATCGGACTCGTTCTTGTCGTTGGCAACAGTGGAAGTACCGTGGAAAGAGGCAACGTGGATGTCATCAACAGTCAGACCCCAGGTGGCCATAGCGCCACGGAGAGGAGCGATGCGGGAGTCTTGCTTCCAGAAGTTGTTACCCAGGCTGTACTGAGCATCCTTCTCCTGGCGAATAGCTTCGCGCTCAATGTGCTGAGCGCGCTCTTGCAAGTACTCAGTCTCGTTGAAGGTCTCGTCGCTCTGAGCCTTCATGGCCTCAGCCTCCTCCTGGAGGTAGAGAAGCTCGGACTCTTGCCATTCGTTGATCTGCTTCTTGCGGAGATCCATTTGACGGCGGCGGTACTTGAGATCCAGAAGAGGAGATGGGAACTTGCCGGGGTTCTCACGAGCGGTGGTCAGGACACCCTGGCCAGGAGCGGGAACGGAACGTCCGATCTTGTCAGTGGCGGTGGTGGTCAGAGCAATGATACCGTGGATGGGCACACCCATATCGAGGGCAAGCTGAGCAGTCATGATCAGTTGCATACCACAACCCTGGGACTCCATGAATCCAGCACGGGTGGTGGTGGTGGGACGAGACATCTCCTGAGGAGTACGGCCGTGGGCGAATTCGGTCTCGGCGTTACTAGTGGCCTTCATGTTGGCGAACTCGTAAGATCCCTCCTCCTGGAAGTCATCGAAACCACCAACGAAGCAGACACGGGCCTTGCCCTCGACAATGGTCTCGTAACCAATGTCGACGGACTCGACGGCGGTGGCACAAGCACCGACGGGGGTCTTGATGGGACCGGTAGAGGACAGGAGCAACATGTTGACCCAAGCGCTCATGGTGTTGATGAAAGACTCCTGCAGGATATCCTTCTGCTTGGGCTTGTCCAAGAAGCGGTCCTTGTACATGCCACGCAGAGCGTGGGTACCACCAATACCGGAACCAATACAGTTACCAACCTCAGAAAGGTGGACGTACTTGTAGAACTCATAGGGATCGGTGATACCAGAAGACAGCATAGCTTCAGCAGTGCAGACCAAGACATACAGAGTAACAGGATCCACCTGCTCAATGATGTCGTCGGGAATACCGTAGCGGCTAGCATCCCAGCCAGTAGGAACCTGACCAGCGACAAGACGATCGAACTGAAGCGCCTTGGGGATGAGCATGGTGGCACCCTTGCGGAGGCGGACGGTGTACTCGCCCGACTCGGGGATCTCGAAGATCTCGGCCTTGTCTCCGTGCTCACGCTTGAACTCCTCGGCGGTCTCCTTGGAAGACTCGAAGGGCTCGAGGTCTTCCTGGATGACGATCTCCTGAAGAAGCTGCTTCTTCTTGGGGTCATAACCCTTGAAGAGCTCAGGTTCGATGAGACGGATACCTGTGTGCTCCAGGATGTGCTTCTCGTACTTGGGCTTGATGTCCTTGTCATCAACTGGGTCACCGGTCTTGGCGTCGACCCAGCCGGAGTAGGCCTTACCCTTGAGGGGACCGTTGTGGTGCTTAATCAGACCCATGATCCAGGCCATCTCGACACAGCCCTCAAGAGAGAACTTGCCCTTGGACTCCATCTCCCAACGGGTACGAGAGTTACCCCAAGGACCGACTTCAGAGAAACCGGTGACAACGACAACCTTGTCCAGGTTGACCATACCCTTGAGACCCTCGTTGAGAGGCTTAACCTCTTCCTCCCAATCGGGCAGATTAGGGAATTCGAACTTGATGTTGGCACGAGGCTCTGCAACAACCTTCTTGTACAGAACTCCGCTGTCCTCGCCGTTGACGACCTTGTGCTCGATAGCGGTCTCCTTGATGACAGCCTGGCGAACATCGCTGGTCTCCATGATATCGGTACGGAGTTTGGTCATCAAGCCCTTGAGATCGGGAATGAATTGAAGACCACCGTTGAGATCAGCGAAGACGGGGTCAAGCTGGCAGAGGTTGACGATGGCGGGGGCCATCAGACCGAGAAGGTTGAATGCCATTTCCTGCTGGGAGAAGGTGCGGACACCCAACTTTTCAACACCTTCAGCAACCATGTTGTTGCCACCCATCAAACCGGTGCCACGGGTCCAGCCAATGACGGCACCACAGATGGTAAGGTAGTGGCTCCAGTTCTCGGAGTACCAGCGGTTGAAGAGAGTCTCCAGAGCAAGCTTGGACTCGGAGTACAGACCGTCGTTACCGAAGGTACCGTGGTTGGGAGACAAGGGGAGGATGACCTGGGCAGGGCGAGTCTCAAAGCCATTGGCCTGCTTCTGGGTCTTGATAGAACCCAAAAGACGAAGGAGGTTGGTCAGCATGATACGATGAGCCAGCTCGGACTTGGAGTCGATAGAGTCGATCTCACGGCCGTTCTCGGGAATGGCGGCGAAGGGAACAACAAAGTCCAAGTCCCAGCCGAGACCCTTCTTGGCATCGTAGATGTACTCGATCAAAGCCTCAACATCCTGCTTGCTACCCTGGTTGAAGGGGACAACAACCAGCTGAGAGCCGCGAGCACCGAAACGGGCATACATGCCCTGGTAGTACTCAGTGACCTCGCGCGAGAAGCGACTGGTGGTGACAACAACCTTGGCACCACCGCTGATCAGACCCTGCAAGACCTCGGCACCAATGGAACCGGCACCAGCACCGGTCATGAGAACGTTCTTACCGTGGAAGCTCAGACCGTCCTTGGCAGCCGACTCCATGACATTGAGGTAGATGCCAGTGAGCTTCTTGTTGTAGTCCCAGCCGTGGTCGGTCTTCTTCTTCAGGTGCAAGAAGGGAATGGTCTCAACCTTGCCGGGGCGGCTGAGGGTGCGCTTGGAGCCACCCTTCTTAGCGTGTCCGTTCTCCTGAGGAATAATCTGGCTCTCGTTCATACCAAGGGCGTGAACGACATCCTTGTACAAGGTATCGAATTGAATCTGCGAGGACTTGGAGAGACGATGTTGCTTGCGAATGAGCTTGTAGACATTCTTGAGATCGTTCTGAACCTTGGTTCGGTTGCTGTACTCAGAGATAGGACCTCCATCGGCCATGTGCTTGACGTAGTGCTCGAGCTTGCGAGCGCTAGTACGGGGGACCTCCTTGTAGCCGATGTTTCCACGAGCATCAATGGTGGTTTGGGGACCGGTGGGGACACCAACGTCCTTGTAGACAGGGGAAACCTCGAGAACCTCGCGACAGTTCTCGATGAGCTGTTGACCGAGCTCCTTGGCCAACTGGTAGGTCTCACCACGGTCGGTAGGGCAGTTGTCAATGTGGTATTGCATGAAGTCGAGAAGGAGGGGGTTGGAGCGGTTCATGATACGAATGCACTGGCTGACAATTTCGCGGTCGACGACTTGCAGACGACCAAAGATAATGTCGTAGTACATGCTCAAGGCATCCTGACGAGCCCAGTTCCATGAAGAGTCATAAACACGGGCCTTGAGCTGATCAAATGAGGGCTCAATACCAGAGGCATAGAAGTCACCGTGCTCCACCTGCCACAAGTCGAGCTGTGCCTGCAGCGCCTTTTGGCTCTCCTGGGAGATGACATGGGCCTTCTCGCCTTCGCGGAGGTCCATCTTGAGGTAGCGCGCAATGATCTCGAGCTGCTGCTTGAACAAAGCCCGTTGATCCTTGGTCAAGGCATCAATGGCGGCAGGGTCCATGACCATACCACCGCCGCCACCGCCGCCGTCACCACCGGCCACGGGGGCCGAGAGGCTCACGCCTGCGCTGGCAGCGTACTTGTTGGCGACATCGTCCAAGTAGGCCTTGGCATCGGCTTCGGATCCCAGACGAGCGGCTGGCTCCATGGTGAGGGCGAGGAGGAGCACACCGTCTTGGCGACCAGATCCCAGACCCCAACGGGTCTCCAGGTATTTCCTCACAGCAGTAATGTTGAAGCCACCAGGCATCTTGGAAGAGACCATTCTGGCAATAAGAGAAGAAGACTGCTTGCCCAATTGGCCGTTGAAAGTGGCCTGCATGGAGGCACCGAGCTCATCGAGAGGGACATCCTCGGGCTTCTCTGGTGTGGAACCGAACTCTTTACCCAGGTCACCCAGGATTTCGTTTTGTAATGTGGACTTGCCTGTGTAAGGTTAGCATCAATCACAGTTCAAAAGGGGCCAAAGAAAGAAAAAAAAAAGAAACGAAAAAAAAGTCTGGCTTACCTCCGACAAGATCCTTAATGGCTTTTGACAATGGCACATCTGCGAGACTCTTCTTTAACTTTTGAGCAACGAGTGTGCGCAGTACATCGACTGCTGTGACAGGGGCATCTTCGACTGCGGCCGCAGGGCCAGCACTGGGGGGAGGGGGAGGAGCTCCCGCCGCAGGAGCGGCGGCCGCGGGCGCCGGGCCTGAGGGTGCGGCCTCTGGGGTGGGCTCGGGCTCCTCCTCTACGGGGTCGACATCGTAGTAGATCTCCTTGGCGTCCTTATTATAGCAAAGAATCTGGCGCTGGACGGAGGTCGCCGCATCGTAAGCCTCGTACTTGGAGGCTAGGGTTCGTCGTGCCATGCCTCCCAAAGTATCTGCAGGACCAATTTCGACAATGCGCTCGGTGCGCTGCTCGGCGAGCACGACATCTTGGGTTTCAATCCATCGAACGGGAGAGGCGAATTGGTAGGCCAACAGCTCAACCAGGAGGGTGTGGGCGAGCTCTTGCTCAACTTCCGGACGCATGGTGGAAGTTATGGGTATCGATTAAACAGAAAGACGGAATTAAAGGACGCAACGTCCGGTTGACGAATGCGAAAGTGGCCCGAAGGATAGGAATAGGCAGAAGAGAGAAGGAAAAGGAGGTGTGAAGAGACAATGATTAAGAGAGAGTCCTAAGGGTATCTCTGTTTAGAGAAGGACAGACAGGGAGAAAAAAAGGTGGGAAGTGTAGTTTGGGTAATGATACCGGTAATTTTCCCACAGCTTTTTTTGGTACCACTCCAATACAGAAGATGGGGTGACTTGAGAAGATGGGGAAGAATGGAAGACTAGAGGAATATAAGACTTCCAATGCAATGGATACAATTCGAAATAGTAAAGTGGTGAGAGCTCTGTTGGGCGTGAGGTTGGAGATCGATGGCTACTTGTATGCACCACTATACTTATGGGGAAATGCGGTGCTCGGATATAGATCCCAACGAGGGCAGGGTATTGTCGAGGGTATAGTAGTGGTGTGATGTGGCAGTGAGTATAGTATACTTTGTAGTATCATTCTATAGTATAGTAGTAGTTACTAATAGTAGATATAGTGTAGAGTGTAGAGAGTAGAGTCGAAGTATAAATAAAATACGGTATTGCCTGTGTAATCTCAACGGGTTCAACACCGTCACAACCCATTGGGGCGGGTCTCCTCCTGCGCTAAACCCTTTTGAGCTACTTGCAGTTCAACAGCGGATCGTTTTTTTTCTGCGGCAGCTCTCTCATATCTGTTTGTTGCGGACTTCCTCTCTATCTCCCTTACTCTCTCCTATTCTCTCTATTCCCCTTCTCTTCGTTCTGTTTAATAAACCTGTTTGGACCCTCAGGATACTTGTACACAGAGGTCTATAGAGGAACAGTAAGTGCCCCTCTCCCCCGAATGCCACGTTCTCTTCAATTGACCCTCCTCTCAGGTCAATCCAATCCCTCCCTCTTCATTAATTTAGGGTCCTGGTCGTTCCTTTTGCTTGCTCTTCATATACCTTGCATTTAAAAAAAAGGAGCCCAGCATGTACGGCACATCAACCGGTCCCCAGACCGGGATCAACACCCCTCGATCCTCGCAATCTCTCCGCCCTCTCATCCTCTCGCATGGCTCGCTCGAGTTCTCCTTCCTCGTTCCCACTTCGCTTCATTTCCATGCATCTCAATTGAAAGACAGCTTCACAGCCTCTTTACCCGAGCCCACAGACGAATTGGCCTTAGATGAGGAACCCTCATCAGTCACCGAGTTGGTGGCCCGCTACATTGGCCATGTGGCCCACGAACTCGATGAGGAGGAGGATGCCCAGGGGAACTACCTGGACGTCTTGAAGCTCGTGATGAATGAATTCGAGCGGGCCTTCATGCGCGGCAACGACGTGCACGCCGTGGCAGCCGCGCTTCCCGGTATTGTGGACAAGAAGAACCAAGTGGTTGAGGCATACTACGCGGGACGAGCGGCGGCGGGCCGGCCCACCAAGCCCTACGACTCGGCACTGTTCCGCGCCGCATCGGACGAGGCTGCAGGCATCTACTCCGTGTTCGGCGGTCAGGGAAACATTGAAGAGTACTTTGATGAGCTGCGTCACATCTACACCACCTACCCCTCCTTTGTGGAGGAGTTGATCACCTCTTCCGCAGAGCTGCTGCAATCGCTCTCTCACGAGCCCGAGGCCAACAAACTCTACCCCAAGGGTTTGGATATCATGCAGTGGTTGCAAGATCGGGACGCACAGCCAGACATCGATTATCTGGTCTCAGCACCAGTCAGTCTGCCCTTGATCGGCCTGGTGCAGCTGGCCCACTACACAGTCACCTGCAGAGTCCTGGGTCGCCAGCCTGGCGATATCCTGGAGCGTTTCCTCGGTACAACCGGTCACTCGCAGGGCGTGGTGACCGCAGCCGCTATTGCGACGGCCACTACCTGGGAGTCGTTCGCCAAGGCGGCCCGCAATGCCTTGACCATGCTGTTCTGGATTGGATTGCGCAGTCAACAGGCCTATCCCCGCACCTCAATTGCGCCCTCAGTGCTGCAGGATTCCGTCGAGAACGGCGAGGGAACTCCCACTCCCATGCTGTCCATCCGCGATCTCTCTCTGGCCGCGGTGCAGGAGCACATTGATGCCACCAACCAACATTTGCCCGAGGACCGACACATTTCCATCTCTCTGGTGAACAGTGCCCGTAACTTCGTTGTGACGGGTCCTCCCATCTCCCTCTACGGTCTCAACCTGCGTCTGCGCAAGGTGAAGGCCCCTACTGGACTCGACCAGAACCGTGTGCCCTTCACCCAGCGCAAGGTTCGCTTTGTCAACCGCTTCCTCCCCATCACCGCTCCTTTCCACAGCCAGTACCTCTCCTCGGCCTACGATCGCATTTTGGAGGACCTCGAGGATGTGGTGGACATCCCCGCTAAGTCTCTGGTCATCCCCGTCTTCCACACCAAGACTGGAGAGGATCTCCGTCAACTCGGTGACAAGAGTGTTGTTCCTTCCCTGGTTCGCATGATCACCCACGATGCCGTGAACTGGGAGCAGGCTACCGTCTTCCCTCATGCCACCCACATTCTGGACTTCGGACCTGGTGGTATCTCCGGTCTGGGTGTCTTGACCAACCGTAACAAGGATGGTACCGGTGTCCGTGTCATTCTCGCCGGTGAAATGGATGGCACCAATGCCGAGGTGGGATACAAGCCCGAGTTGTTTGACCGTGATGAGCATTCCGTCAAGTTCGCTGTCGATTGGGTCAAGGAACACGGTCCTCGCCTCACACAAACCTCGACTGGTCAAACCTTCGTCGACACTAAGATGAGTCGTCTGTTGGGTATCCCTCCTGTCATGGTTGCCGGTATGACCCCAACCACCGTCGCCTGGGACTTTGTGGCTGCTACTATGAACGCTGGTTACCACATTGAGCTGGCTGGCGGTGGTTACTACAATGCCAAGACCATGACCGAAGCTATCACAAAGATTGAGAAGGTCATCCCCCCTGGACGTGGTATCACTATCAACTTGATTTACGTCAACCCCCGCGCCATGGCCTGGCAGATCCCTCTCATCGGTCGCTTGCGCGCCGAGGGTGTCCCCATTGAGGGTCTGACCATCGGTGCCGGTGTGCCCTCCATTGAGGTCGCCAACGAGTACATCGAGACCCTGGGTATCAAGCACATTGCCTTCAAGCCCGGTTCCGTCGACGCTATCCAGCAGGTCATTAACGTTGCTAAGGCCAACCCCAAGTTCCCCATCATTCTTCAGTGGACCGGTGGCCGTGGTGGTGGTCACCACTCCTTTGAGGACTTCCACCAGCCCGTGCTCCAGATGTACAGCCGTATTCGCAAGCAGGACAACATTGTCCTCGTCGCTGGCAGTGGTTTCGGTGGCTCCGAGGACACTTACCCCTACCTCTCTGGTAACTGGTCTGCCAAGTTCGGCTACCCTCCCATGCCCTTCGACGGTTGTCTGTTCGGTAGTCGCATGATGATCGCCAAGGAGGCACACACTTCTTACAACGCTAAGAAGGCGATCGCCGAGGCCCCTGGTGTTGGTGATGAGGAATGGGAGAAGACCTACCAAAAGTCCACCGGTGGTGTTATCACCGTTCTGTCCGAAATGGGCGAGCCCATTCACAAGCTCGCTACTCGTGGTGTTCTCTTCTGGCAGGAGATGGACCAGAAGATCTTCAAGCTCGACAAGGCCAAGCGTGTCCCTGAGCTCAAGAAGCAGCGCAACTACATCATTAAGAAGCTGAACGATGACTTCCACAAGGTCTGGTTTGGCCGCAACGCTGCTGGCGAGACCGTTGACTTGGAAGATATGACTTACACCGAGGTTGTTCACCGTATGGTGGACCTCATGTACATCAAGCACGAGTCTCGCTGGATCGATCCCTCCCTGAAGCGACTGGCTGGTGACTTCCTTCGCCGTGTCGAGGAGCGCTTCACCACTGCTGAGGGCCAAGCCTCCCTGCTTCAGAGCTACTCTGACCTGGATACCCCTTACCCTGCCGTTGACAACATTCTTGCTGCTTACCCTGCTGCTGCCGATCAGCTGATCAATGCGCAGGATGTCCAGCACTTCCTGCTCCTTTGCCAGCGTCGCGGTCAGAAGCCCGTGCCTTTCGTTCCCGTTCTGGACGAAACCTTTGAGTTCTTCTTCAAGAAGGATTCTCTGTGGCAGAGTGAGGATCTTGAGGCTGTTGTTGACCAAGATGTCGGCCGTACCTGTATTCTTCAGGGCCCTATGGCCGCTCACTATTCCAACATCATCGACGAGCCTGTCAAGGATATTCTTGACGGCGTTCACCAGGGCCACATCGCAGGCCTTCTGCGTGATGTCTACGGCGGTGACAAGTCCAAGATCCCCACCATCGAGTACTTCGGTGGTCAGCTCCTGAACACCGATACTGAGCCAGAAATTGACGGTCTGACCATCTCTGAGGAGGCGAACAAGATCAACTTCCGCCTGTCTTCTTCTACCTCTGCGGTCCTCCCCGACCTTGACAGCTGGTTGAGCCTGCTGGCCGGCAGTTCCTACTCGTGGCGACACGCTCTGTTCCTTGCCGATGTCTACGTTCAGGGCCACCGCTTCCAGACTAACCCCATGAAGCGCATCGTGGCCCCTACTGCAGGCATGCACGTGGAGGTTGCCAACCCTAACGATCCCTCCAAGATGGTTATCAGCGTACGCGAGCCCTACCAGTCTGGCAAGCTTGTGAAGACTGTTGAAGCCAAGGTCACCGAGAACGGGCAGATCAGCCTCACTCTGTTTGAGGGTCGCACTGCCGAGAACGGAGTTGTTCCTTTGAACTTCCTCTTCACCTACCACCCCGAGACTGGATATGCTCCTATCCGCGAGGTTATGGGTGATCGTAACGACCGTATCAAGGAGTTCTACTACCGTATCTGGTTTGGCAACAAGGATGTGCCCTTCGACACTCCCACCACTGCCACCTTCAGCGGAGGTCGTGAGACCATCACCTCGCAGGCTGTTGCCGACTTCGTTCACGCCGTCGGTAACACCGGCGAGGCCTTCGTTGACCGTCCTGGCAAAGAGGTGTTTGCCCCCATGGACTTTGCCATTGTTGCAGGCTGGAAGGCCATCACTAAGCCTATCTTCCCTCGTACTATCGACGGAGATCTGCTGAAGTTGGTCCACTTGTCCAACGGCTTCAAGATGGTTCCCGGTGCCCAGCCCCTCAAGGTTGGAGACGTTCTGGATACCACTGCTCAAATCAATGCCGTCATCAACCAGGAGTCTGGCAAGATGGTCGAAGTTTGTGGTACCATCAAGCGTGAGGGCAAGGCCATCATGCATGTGACCAGTCAGTTCTTGTACCGTGGTGCCTACACCGACTTCGAGAACACCTTCCAGCGCAAGGATGAGGTTCCCATGCAGGTCCACCTCGCGACTAGCCGCGATGTTGCCATCCTCCGCTCCAAGGAGTGGTTCCGCATGGATGACTCTGACACCGAGCTTCTCGGTCAGACTCTCACTTTCCGTCTGCAGAGCTTGATCCGTTTCAAGAACAACACCGTCTTCAGCAATGTCCAGACCATTGGTCAGGCTCTCCTCGAGCTGCCAACCAAGGAGGTCATCCAAGTCGCGTCCGTTGAATACGAAGCTGGTGACTCCCACGGTAACCCTGTCATTGACTACCTCCAGCGCAACGGTACCTCCATTGAGCAGCCGGTCTACTTTGAGAACCCTATCCCTCTCAGTGGAAAGACTGCCCTGGAGTTGCGTGCCCCTGCCTCTAACGAGACCTATGCTCGCGTTTCTGGAGATTACAATCCCATCCACGTTTCGCGTGTCTTCTCTAGCTACGCCAACCTGCCTGGCACCATCACCCACGGCATGTACAGCAGTGCCGCTGTTCGTAGTCTCGTCGAGACCTGGGCCGCCGAGAACAACATCGGTCGTGTCCGTGGCTTCCAGGTTTCCCTCGTTGGCATGGTTCTGCCCAATGACATGATCACTGTCAAGCTTCAGCATGTCGGTATGATTGCCGGTCGCAAGATCATCAAGGTCGAGGCCAGCAACAAGGAAACCGAGGACAAGGTTCTTCAGGGTGAGGCCGAGGTTGAACAGCCTGTCACCTCCTATGTCTTCACTGGTCAAGGTTCTCAGGAACAGGGTATGGGTATGGAGCTTTACGGCAGCAGCCCCGTCGCCCAGGAGGTTTGGGACCGTGCCGATCGCCACTTCATGGAGAACTACGGTCTGTCCATCATTGACATTGTCAAGAACAACCCCAAGGAGCTCACTGTCTACTTCGGTGGTCCTCGTGGTAAGGCTATTCGCCAGAACTACATGGCCATGACCTTCGAGTCTGTGAACGCGGACGGTTCCATCAAGTCGGAGAAGATCTTCAAGGAGGTTGATGAGAACACCGCTTCCTACACCTACCGCTCCCCTACCGGTCTCCTTTCCGCTACCCAGTTCACTCAGCCCGCCCTGACTCTGATGGAGAAGGCCAGCTTCGAGGACATGCGCTCTAAGGGCTTGGTCCAGCGCGACAGCAGCTTTGCTGGTCACTCTCTCGGTGAATACTCTGCTTTGGCCGCTCTGGCCGATGTCATGCCCATCGAGAGTCTGGTTTCCGTGGTGTTCTACCGTGGACTGACCATGCAGGTTGCCGTCGAGCGTGATGCCCAGGGTCGCTCCAACTACTCCATGTGTGCGGTCAACCCCAGCCGTATCTCCAAGACCTTCAACGAGCAGGCTCTGCAGTACGTTGTGGAAGTCATCGCCGAGACCACTGGCTGGTTGCTTGAGATTGTCAACTACAACGTTGCCAACATGCAATACGTTACTGCTGGTGACCTGCGTGCTCTCGACTGTCTCACCAACCTTCTCAACTTCCTGAAGGCGCAGAACATTGACATCCCGGCCCTCATGGAGAGCATGTCTCTGGAGGACGTCAAGGAGCACTTGGTCAGCATCATCCAGGAATGTGTTAAGCAAACCGAGGCCAAGCCCCGTCCCATCCAGTTGGAGCGTGGATTTGCCACCATCCCCCTCAAGGGTATCGATGTGCCCTTCCACAGTACCTTCCTGCGCTCTGGTGTGAAGCCTTTCCGCTCCTTCTTGCTGAAGAAGATCAACAAGACCACGATCGACCCCAGCAAGCTCGTCGGAAAGTACATTCCCAACGTCACGGCCCGTCCCTTCGAGATCACCAAGGAGTACTTCGAAGATGTCTACAAGCTCACCAACTCTCCCCGTATTGCCTCTATTCTGGCCAACTGGGAGAAGTACGAGGAGGGTAACACCAATGTTGAAAAATGATCGTCGATCACCTTCTATAATCTGTTTGATAGACCTCTGTTTTAATTTGGGTCATGATGTGATATGTCCTCAGAGCCTTGGAGTTTTTATGTGCATGTAAATGATTTTTCAATTTTATTCCCGTTTCAATATTACATTTTTTGATAATATTCAAGGTGTCCTTTATATATACTTTCATTTATTAGTCTCTCTTTAATTCTCTCTTTAATTCTCTCTTCGTAAACATGGTGCGTTATACTTCCAAGATTCCCTACCTGTCTATCCTGGACCTCTCTAAGTCTATATATATTATACAGTCTACAGAAAAATAACTATTTGAGTGATAGAAAAATACTTAAGATTGGGCATTGTCTCCTGAAGTCCTACATTGATCTGTTCGTGGGATTAAAAGTGATCGTAGTATCAATGATGTACATGCTGAGATATCGAAATTTGCCCTGTCTTGGACACTCGTAGATACAACTAAAACTAAAGGGGCTCAAGTACCTGCGACTTAGTTGCCTTTCCAATTACCAGGGCGTAACATGCGATCTTCCTTCCCGTAAACACCGACATCCCGGACGATGGCAATGAATCTGCGGTGGTTCTCCTTGGAGCCACCAATGCGGGGGCGGAAGATCCTCAGCAAGTCAGTACTAAGGATACCGGCAGCCGGGATGGCGGCGTGGATTTCAGCAGCGGTAGGGAACGGCTGATTGCCAGACACAGGGGTCGATACACGAGCTTGGCGTTTCATGCCCTCCGGACTGCTGGCACGACTTCCAGGAGGTCGACCCGCCATGGGACTACCAGCCCGGGAGCCTTGTGGGGTGCCACTACGGGAACCAGTCGGAGGGTTGAGCTTGAGCTTCTTGAGCTTCCCATTTTCAGTCATTTCCGCTCCAGACCCGACACCAGTGTCAACATCGCTGCCAGATCCTGCGCCACCGGGGGCGTTAGGTCGCACACGTTTCTTGCCAGTCTAGAAATGGTTAGTGCATGAGGATGACACCCATAGTGTATCAAACATACCGGTAGCGCCGAGGGGGAAATTGGACGCGATGGTGGCTGAGAGGATAGATTGTGCATGTTCTTGACCTTCTTCCGGGAAGTGTCAGTGCCGCTGGCATCGGAGGCATTGGGTGATCCAAGTCTCTTCCGGGATCCAGCTGCTTTCTTTAAGGCGTCGGTGTGTTTGGGTCGACCAGAGGGTGTATTGTTGCCCTTGGAGGAGGCCGCCGAGTCCTTCTGGTTCTTTTCTTCTTCTGCCTTTTTGCGCTCTTCTTCCTTGGCACGCTCGGTTTCACTGTCGTCGGAACTCTATACAACGATTAGATCGGGCTGGAGGGATTGAATACAAGAATTTCACATACCTCCTCGTCTGAGTATGGGTTGGCATCCGAGCCGCTGCTGTAGTCGTAGTTTCGTTCTCTCTTCTTCAATGCCTTGCGAACACCCTTACCCAATACACGACGAGCCTCCCGCTCCCGCTTCTCTCGAATTTCTTCTGCGTCGTATTCCTTTTCATCCTTGAGATTGAAGACGTTTGCCTTGAGCTGGTCTTCTTTGATTCTTTTCTCGGCATCTTTGGCGTCTTCGTCTTCATTAAAGAGGTCATCATGCTCCTCGTCATCGGCGAACCGATCCTCTTCAAAGTCCATTTCGCCACCCTCCAGTCCCTCGCCCTTGCCCGCCTGTGCGCCTTGCTTTCCAGCGTAGACTTTGCGCTGTTTGGCATATGTTGCTAGTTCTTTCTCCTCTGCCATTTGTTGCTGTTTTTCCATGAACCATCGCGGATCTTTGATTCTCTTGGCCATGAATTTCTCGGCTTCATCGATCGTCAAAGCCTTGAAATTACTCTTCGCATTGAACTTGTACCACTTCTCAGCTGGCACCATTCGCATCTTGCCGTTTTCCATAATGAACACTGCGTGGGTTTCAGATAACGCTGCCTCGTAGTTTCCGACCCAAGTGTGCTGGTTATCAAAGTCCTCCAAGTGCCAGGGCAAGGCCTCCTCATACTTGATGCGCGCTCTGGCGATCTCCTCTGGTGTCATGTCTGACTTGAAAACTTGCTGTGTCTTCTGTTTGGGGGCGTTTGGGCGCTTCGAGGTGGAACCCAGGGCAGGGGCGATTTGCGCTAGGTTCTGAGCGCGCTCCTTCTCGCGGGCGTCCTTCCGGGCATCATAGGCCTCCCGCTCCGCTGCATCCATCGGCTCCCCATCCACCTCGGTCCTCCCTGCGTTTGGATCCTGTGTGCGCGAGCGCGGGTCCCGCCGGTGAAGTCGAACGGGTCGTGTAAATTGAGATTCATCGCGTGGGTCGACGCTTTTCTTGGAGGCGAATCGCGCCACATGGTGCTTCAGTCCCTCCATCAAGGCTCGCTTTGTGGTCACTACGGGATAATCGCAGTATTTGTCGCTGAGAAGAGGTCCACTGAATCCGTTGGATGCCATCTCATTGTTTGAAAGCTCGATCATAGGTCTATCCGATTGAAACACCGAGGCAGAGTCCGATGGGCGCGAAGGAAGCGATTTGGCAGCTGACCTGTAGCCACCTACTGCAGCCGTAGCTGGTTTGGGCAACGGTCGACGCTTTGGTCGGACCAAAGGATCTGCGGCTTTCGGGCGACGCATTCTCGGGGGTCCGCCATTTGGTCCGGTTGGGGTACGGGCAGTCGATGGATTCGTCGGGGTTGACATGATGCTCAGATTCTCAGATTAACGAAGAGTCAAGAGAATTAGCAAAAAGGACGGAAGCTCTCGACAAGGAGAGGTTGGAAGAAAGAGGAGAGAGAGAGAGAGGAGAGAGAGTGAGAGGAGAGAGAGAGAGAGGAGAGAGAGATGGACATCGGGGAACATTGCGCGGATTACGTCAGCATAAATATCATTTGATTGACTCTTTCACTGTTTTACTTTTTACTTTGTCCATATGTTGTGTATTGTGTTACTGACTGCTATTGAAACTGCTATTGAAACTGCTATTGAAACTGCTATTGAAACATCGATATTCATTGTTGGGCCTGGGGCTTTACTATTGGCCTTGAATCTCATCATGTCTGGGAACAAAAGAGTAGATACTAGACTATAATGATTCATCTATATATAAACTGTGAAGATAGGTAGGCGAGGCTTTAAGGAAGTCCGAATGAAGCGCTCTAAATTCAGCCTGACTGTGGTCAATTCTCTAGTAGTAAACTTATGCGTTTGGACCATATTGGAAGTTGCGTGTTCGAGTTTGAGTTTAACTATGATGGTGTGAAGCAATTTTCAACATTCTTGGCCCAGTGGTCTAGTGGTAGAATACATCGTTCGGAGGAAATCCCCATTCCCAAAGGGTGGTTCCCAAAAGGGGGCCATCTGCAAAAGGATGGAGTCTCGATGTGACCCGCGTTCGATTCGCGGCTGGGCCCTTTTTTTTCAATTAAAAAATTAGGTCACGTGACCTTGCATGACCCAGAGGTCAGGTGACTATCTTCTGTATCTCCCTACATCTCTCTTCCCGTTTTTTTTTTCTTCTTCTTCCTTCCTTCCCTCTTCATGCATTCACAGATTCTGTTCTGTGATTGTAGCGAGTGCACAGGGTCAGGAGTACAGGATCAGGCGTACGACCTGTCAACCCGGCAGGAGATTCAGGAAGTAACCCCTATGGATTCGTAGGTGATTCGAATGTCGTTCAGTAGTATATAGGGCTCCAGAATTATAGGTTTTGAAGTCAGAGATCTTGGGATACACACGTTGTATTCAACAGACTGATTCTTGCAGAAGGGAAGAGGGATGGGGGATCCTCTCTTCTTCTTTGCAAGAATGATGCCAGTATGATCAGCTAACTCGCGGGTTTTATTTAGTACGTGTACAACAACTAGCGTACAGTTTTGCCAAGAATTCGGGATTTCTCGGGTAAAATCACATGACTTTCAACGACGTCTCACCAATGGATACTACATAGCCCTACATTGCTAGTCCCCCAGGCCGGAGACTCCCCCGCCGGTGACCCCAATGGTGCCCCCAATGGTGCCCCCGCCGGTGATGCCCCCAGAAGACCCCTACAGGTTGAGCTTCCCCTCCTAGAGAGCACCACCAAAGTGCTCCCGGTGTGGCTCATATGACCATAAGGCGCCCCAATGTCCTACAAAGGCAAGCAAATTGGGGTAAGGTCTGGTGTACTACGGTGGTGTCGGTGGTGGGGGCAGGTATGGGGGTCGACCAGGGGGAGATCTGTCAAATGGCACCATCTTCGCAGATCAGCCTCTATTTCCTATTTGGGAATGGTCACGGGGTCTGGTTTATGGCGTACTACGGTGGTGCCAGTGGTGTATGGGGGCAATGATGATATATGAGCTGAGTTCAATTTGATATCATGTGATTAGGTCATGTGATTTTACCCGAGAAATCCCGAACTCTTGGCAAAAATCGTACACCAGTGTTGTACACGTACTAAGACCCCTAACTCGCTATGACTTGTGAGCTAACTTCCCAGAACGGAGTCGGAGAAGTATGAGCAGTTATGTCAGACATTCTGTCGGTTTTAGTATGTCAGACGGATCCCGTAATCCCCAATGTGCCCTGAACCCTGTATGATTCGTATTACCCTTGTCTGAAGATGGAACTTTTTACAGTTTGGTTTGCTTCCTTTCTCATCTTTATTGCGGAGCGTAGCGGAGCAATTATTTCATAGTTCCCCCTGATCACGTGACTTGGGTATGTATTGGGTCCCATCTTACAGGAAAAACAGCTTTTGAAAAGTACTACATAGTTCCCCAGGTGTACTTGTTGTGTCGGCCCTGCCGCCAACTGGTGAGAATGTGAGAATTGCGGAGAGATTAGTCATCGAGTGATAAGGAATCGATAAGGGAAAAAAAAAAACCTTGGGAACCTCACCACTTCACAACCTCATCACTTTCCTGATCTACTATCATTATGGGAGTCCAGAAAAAGACTCGCAAGTTTGCGCTGGCCAAGAGAGCCATCTCGATGCGGGATAATCGGCTGTAAGTGGCCTCCGTCGCACGCTTCATCACTTCCTAACCTGTGTGTTAGGAAACAAAACCAGGAAAAGACCGAGAAGGCCAAACAGGCGAAGGATGATCTGGTGAAGGAGGCGTGAGTAGACAGGCCACACCAACGTACCCAGGGTATTGCTCACCTTTTCTCTCTTTAGTCCACAGGCACCTTCCTCCATGTTCTTCCAATACAACACTGCCCTTGCGCCACCCTACTCAGTTTTGGTTGACACCAATTTCATCTCCCACACCATCCAACACAAACTCGAGGTGATCCCAACAATGATGGATTGTCTTTATGCCAAATGTATCCCTATCGTGACCGATTGTGTTCTGGCAGAACTCGAAAAGCTCGGCCCGAAATACCGACTCGCACTGCGGGTAGCCAAAGACCCTCGATTCGAGAGAGTCAAATGTGACCACAAGGGAACATATGCCGATGACTGCTTGGTAGATCGTCTCATCAAGCACCGTGTTTATATTGTGGCCACCAACGATCGTGATTTGAAGAGACGAATTCGGTACGTTACTCACTCTTGCACCGTTACACGCTTCTAATACTTCCCCCTAGCAAGATCCCCGGTGCACCAATAATGAGTGTGGCGCGTGGAAAATATGTGATTGAACGACTTCCTGACGCCCCCGAGAAATGAGCGATGCTTTTGTTGCGAATCTGATATAATACCCGCCAGTTATGCCAATGTGAAGGATACGAAAACAGGCACATCAATCTATTTGTTTTGTTCATAGCTCAAGCGTGCGCTACCCCGGTGGATTTACTGCTCACGGTCAACCGCAGCGTATATTTCCAAACGATGCCTGGATAGGCATGGCAAGCATTCACTGGGGAAGAGCCCATGGCCATGCCTTTTGAAATGTAGGGTTGGCTCCTCGACACTAAGATCTGGAGCACTGCGTAGCTTATGGTACGATTTCCTGCTCGATGAGTCTCGGTCAAACAGAGTCTCCCATCTGCAACGCTCGATTACCCTTGACCTTGGCGACTTTCACCAAAGGTGCCCGACTACTCCTACTATCATGTGTCACGTATCATATGCAGTCAACAGCCGGGAAATCACATCCTGAACCGCCTTCTTATTGCCAAAAGTCTGCATCAATCTCTGGCGCGACATCATGATGTGGAGTGGAGGTAGCTTGACCAAGGGCGGCAAGTCAAACTCTTTTGAAGCCGCGATATCGCGGAGCTGTTGGAGCATCCTCAGAGAGTATAGAACGGCCTGCACCTGAGCAAGCAGATGAATATCTGCCCAACCAGTACTCCCTTCCATATACCCATGAGTAAGAAAACTTTCCAATTGTTGACCACTGGGTACTGTGTTGGATGTATCATATATCTCAGAAAGGGCGAACAAGAACCAAAAGCTCTCTGCGCTATGATCGAAGGTCTTCCGTGCTAGGTCAAGGCGCTGGCGTAGCAGGTGCATATCGGAGACCAGGGTTGCCTCGTCTAGGGCGATTTGGTCAGCAACAATTCTTCCACCCCTGCGAACAAATTCATGTATCGCCGTGAATTGGCTTCCACGGGAGGCGTTCAAAGCAGCGTAACCGAGACGTCGATATAGCCGGCCTTGTCCCCAAGCACACTGTCTACCAGGGTCTTCATTCAGGATACCCAGGTAAACATGCAGACTTTCATCAGAGCAATAAATTTCGGGGAGTGCATACTGCCAGTACAACTCGGACACTCTCGGATCCATTGATTGTCGCTGTTGAGCCCTACTGACCGACTCTCGATCGGTGGAGTGGTGATATTCTCGGAGGAAGTCATGATAATCCGGCGAGAGCTCAGTCCCCTCGACCTTGGATTTACGTATGGCGTCGGCAAATCGTAAATGGGGGTCTTTGGTCAATTCAAATCCAAACCGCTGGATATCTGTGATGCCCAATCGCTGTGAGAGCGCAACGGGGCAGATTCTCAGCCCTTGAATTTGGGGTTCGACCGGGTCCCAGACGCGTGTGGGTGACTGTACTGAGTCCAGGAACATTACCGACCCAGAGGACCCGAGGTCGTGCAGCAGAAGGTCAGAATCGTCGGTTAATACCGCACAGCCGGTCAGCTTTGACACGCGAGCACACTCAACATCTGCTTCCCCAGGAACCATCACCGTGATCGCTGCCCAGGGATACTCAAACTCTCCAAGACAGGTGGTATCAGGATGAATTTCGCTCTGAATCGCATCCTTACTCCACCGGTGCAACAGATCTTCGTAGACCACCGAGACCATGAAAGGATTCTCTAGCAGACCTTTCCGTCCACGGGGCAAGCCTCGGCAGCACCAAACCTGTCCCGGTTCAGTTGCCAGGACATCGCGACACTTTGATGCAGTCGGAAGTGATAGATTCCGACGAGCCACAGTCAGTCGGTGCCGTGATTTCTCTATACGAGACAGACGTGTCGATCGCTTGGCCAGAGGCAAGGCTCCATCAAAGCAGATATTATGTCTGGCGAGACTGTCAGCGCCGAAGTAACACCAGATAGCCTCCAACTTGCATTTTCACACCCAGCCTGGTGAGCTCTAGAAGAAAACTCCCTACTCCACGACTGATCTCATCGCAAGAGGGTTGGTAGTCCAAAATATCACAATTGGGGTCCATCCAACCCATCATTCGTCGATGGACATGATATACTAGACTGGGCCCATCGATGACTACTTCATGCTCGCTGCCCAGGAACACGGTCTCGGCATATGGAAGTAGATGCTTGGTGAGGTATGGAATGCCCATAATAAGAAGTTATAATTTTTCCAACTTGGAGAGGTTGAGGTTGTTTTTGTCAAGTTTTTTCCCAGGTGGATTAGTCATCCAGTTTCAGAGCCCTGGAGCCCTGAAGTCTTGAAGCCCTCGAGGATTTGGACTATACACCCTTCACCTTTGATACTCCTAAGTATACAGAATATCGAGTTGACTTCATGTGCCCCAAGGCGTAGTATGTTCTGTATGTCTACCTAAATATTTCCCTACTGGCCGAACTTTTGACCTGGCTCAAGAGGTTTATAGGGGCAAGCAACCCAATCGCATCCCTAACACACAATTAGTATATAGTCTGGGAGAGAAAAAGGCAGACAGAAGAGCGAAGACATATCTTACCTGTTTGTAGATCTCCGTTCCCCACCACTTGAATCCATCCACCCAACCCGGGTAGACGAAGGCAAAGAAAACGACCACAACCGCAAAGGCCAGCCCAGAGTCTAATGCCGCGGAAAGAGTCATGGCGTACTTTTCCCACCACGCAGTTCTCCGTCTTCGGATCAGATAATTGAACACGAAACAGACCAGCGCCCAAATGGAGAAATTGAGCCCCGTGGCAGGCGGAATCCAACTCAGACTGCCAAATAAGATGGGAAAGTTGACGAGACGCCAGAAACTCTTCTTGCTATGTCGCCCCAAGAGCCAAGCACCTAGGGGGGCCACAGCACCCACGAGGAATGCCCACACGAGAGGTCGATACAGGCCCCCTGGCCCAAAGAAGCGCTGGGGCCCTACCACTCCCCATAGTATGCTGCCGTTGAAATGCACGCGAGCGATAGGGCAATTGAATCCGTTGATAGCCTCGGGTGTACACAGTCCTGGGATATAGCTGAACATCCAGTTCAACACCCCGATCTGGGTGAGACTAGACGCCAAAGTCGCCATCATCTGCACACCAAAAAGAATCCGTGGTGGGATCTTCATATAATGCCCGAGTTTGAGATCAGATGAGAATTTGATCCCTTGTGCAGAACTGATATACGAGTACGTCACGAAGATCATGTTTGCCACAGGTCTACCCGGGAATACAATTCCACAGAGAAGTTGACAGATCAGATAGAGGCTGCTGTGCTGGTTCGTGACAGCCATGATGATTCCCACGGGGATGAAAAACACGCTGGTAATCATGAGAGCCAAAAGAAGCCCGTACCAAGGTAGGTGCGTGGGATAACTGTTTAATAAGTATTAGCGTGAGTGTCATAAACATGGCCAACGCAGAGAGGACGTACTATTCCACGGTGAAAGTGGCAATTGCCAACATAGACACAAGAACAACCAGATACCATGTCAAGGGTGCGTCCTTATAGCGCCTCATCAAGCGGCAATGAACGTCTTCTCCCCCCAGTGGTACTTCCCGACTAGGATCATGTGATTCATGCCTCGAGATGTCAAAGCTCTGTCGGCCCGAAGCATCCTCTCCTCGGAGGGGCTGGTAAGTCTCCATGTCGGGGACATCACGTCTTTCTTCAAAAGCCTTTCTGGTTTGGTGCCAAATGTCCTTCCCGTACCAGCAGACTGTGTGGCTGACAAGAGAGGTCAAAGCAGCAAACTGGACTCCGTACGATAACACATAAGTGATTGGAAGGTAGACCGGAGAGTAGTCTTCATAGGCCTTTTGATCGAACAAAAATTCTGTAGTCAGGATCCGGCTCACGTTGTATGGTCGTCCAGTGTTGTCAAAAACTGCCGTGGAAAGAATGGGCATATAGGCGGAGAAGAGGACATTTTTGTAGTAGAGTATTGGAGCGGCAGCCCAAATGACCACCACTAGTCCCGTCACGATGTTGGCTGCAGCCCACCAAGGTGTGAGGAGAGGGGAGCCAATATACGCAATTTGTGCCCAATCAAAGGTCACGGGAAACATTCCAAGTCCCGAGGCAACGCCAAACAAGTTTGAAATCACAACGTTCTTGGGTGCCAGCCAGGTGATCACATTGAAGTAGCTTAGCGCAGGCATCAACAGGCCGGGAACAAAATACCAGAGAAAGGCACCCGCCCAAACAATGACGAAGAATCTGTATCGAGAGATGGTCCAGCCATTGGCTTTTTTGTTCACTGATTTATGCATCGTGGAGAACATAGCTGTAGACATCAGTGTCCCTGGCCAAATCATAGCCGATGGTCGCACAAGAAACCTTCTTGTAAGTCCCGCAAATGCATACCCCAGGACTTGAGTGGATATAATCAGTAACAGCTGGTAAATGATGGGAACATCCTGTTTGTAGAATTTGTGCTGCTCAACAATGACCTAATATTCAATTAGATTTGAGGCATGGGAGAAACTCAACTGAGACAAGACACTTACATCGGTAGCAAAGGCAAATCCGAAGGAAACGTTGCTGCTTATGTAGACACAAGCATGCTCTTTTTCATTCCAACGACCTTGGCCAAACCACAATCTGACTCGAGACAGCAGTGGGATTGGGGGAGCCTCGATCTCCCCGGAACGTGGCTCTCGATGATGAAGGGAGCCATTCTCGAAGACCTCAAAAGGATCGCTGGTTTGTTTGAAGACTACATCCCAACACTTGCCCAGCGGATGAACTAGGACGAGAGCGATAATTGGGGTGATTGCAACACTGGGATATCGCAGAGAAAAGAACAGGTTGGCAGCTGATCCAGTCAGGGAAAATAAAAGCGACAGAAGCCACATCCGAGGTGCTAACCACAATTAGATACGATAGCAATGCTAGAGGGAAAAACCTACTGTTGATCGAAAGAGAGACATTATCTGTTGCCGGGACCGAGGCTCGCACCTGAGCATAGGGCGAATTATCCGGAGGATCCTCGTCGAGATTTTTGGGATCTTCATCGTCGATGTCGAGGACGTCGTCGTCGTCACTGGTCATATAGGGCGAAGACAATGGGGTTTCTTGCATCACCGGGTTACCCGGTACCGCCAGTCCAGTGGCGAAGGAGTATTTGGAATCGGCACCCATTCCAACGTCGGATGTGGCCGATGACGGCCGACGTTTATGTCTTTCTGCGTACATGCTATTCCGTCGCCTGCCAAAGGAAGCTGACCGTCGTGGACCGTGGCTTCGTGTGTTCGAGGAGCTTCCGCCATTTTCGAAACTTGCGCGTTGTAATCGAGCTTCCTGGGCATGGTTGTGCGTCGTCTCTCTCGTATCCTCCGAGTCCGAATCTTGTAACGCTCCATATGACGAACCCGCGGGCGACGAGCGGAGAAGAGGGGCTTGCGACATAAAGACCCAAGGATTTGGACCGGTCCCTTCATTCACCGAAAGATTATCGTCTGAATCACAGGGTCCATTGTCGCTCCAATCATCCAGGTGAGAGTCAGTGTTTTCAGCGGGAAGCCACTCGCGCCTCGGAGAGGGGCAAGACAGCTTCCGCGTTCGCAGTGGAATATTGGTCGTCGTGGTGGGGGGTATGACGAAATACCGGTAGTATTTCTCTTTGTAATTGTAGCTCCTGAAGTCAGGGTGGGCAGGGAATCAGCGAGGAGGAAATGAGAGAGCTAGTGAAGAAGCGGATTAGAGGAGTTGGGAGACCCGCATGTATATTACATACAGCATGTAATTTACATACACACATCTATATCATAGCTACCTAGGTATACTACTTCTTCTATTATCTTTAATTTTCTCTATCTTCTCTACTCCGTAATAACGTTACATCTGGTATATGTCCATAGTATATATATCCTTATTTACCCGTCTATTCTTCATCTCGTCATCAAAAAGGGTATCAAAACAGTTCCACAACCTTGTCATCCTCGTCTGCGGCTGGGGTGGGCTCGGCCGGTGGCTCGGCATCTTGCCCTTCACCCTCCTCGTCTCGCATCAGCACTTGAACCAGCCGATCGCACGCCTCCTGCACATTTTCATCCTCGACGCGCAGATGGGTCTCGCGGATCAATGGATACACCTTAACCGCGCGCATCAGGTCTCGACCCTCGCGAGTGGTGGTGAGCAGACACAGTGTCTCAAGATGCGTCATGATAATGGTGGGGTCACTGTCCCGCTGCTTGTCGGGGGGCAGCAATTGCAGATCAGGGAGCATATCCGCGGTATCCTCATCCGACAATTCCTCCGGGCCGGCGAGCGGGAGCAGCAAGTAGGGGAGGAGGTTGGCCCCATCTTCGGCGAAGAGCATGGGATGGGAGTCGACCTCGAAGGCAACATTCTTGAGAGTGGAGGCGACACCCTTCCTCCGGATGTCGCTACTATGCTCTGTGAATACCGTCAACTTGGTGATGGGAACCACCCCGTCGTAGTCCTGGCGCTCTAGGAAATAAGCTCGGCCCTTCTCGGTCTGGGACAAGTCGGCGAAGAGGTAGGACAGGTAATCATAGTTGGCATGCTTGTTGAGGGCCCCCTCGGCGCCCTTGACGAAACAGTCCATGATCTGATCAATCGCGTTCTCTGATGTCGACACCGACTTGGGGGCTTGCCGCTTGACGGTGAACAGTCGCTGGAGGTTTTCGGACTTGATCAGATTGGCCAATAGCATTGCCACTTCATCGGCATTGGGCTCCTTATCATTCTGTGTGCGACCTTTTTATCAGCTCTTGTATGGGTGTTGCAGCACGAACTAACCCACCGTCAATTTCACCAGCAAATCCTCCAGGAATTTATCATCGTCGGACAGAAGTTTGAGCACCTCCTCGTCACTGGACAGGTTCACCAGCATAATCAACGCATTCTTTGCGATGGCCTATACCCCGACGTATCAGCTCAGCACTACCATTCATGAGACCACCACATACCGTATAATCGCGGACCAACAGCTTCAGATCGCGGACGGGGAGCAATTGGTGACGCTTGAACAGGTCCGGCTGTGCGGTCGAGAAGCCGACGAGATTCTCGGCAGCTATTCAGGTCAGATCAAATTCGCGATAGGTGGGGGTGTATATGTACCGATTTGACGAATTTGGGTGTTGCCATGGTGGAGGAATTCCACGAGCTTTTTTTTCGTTAGTATTGGAGTCACCAATGGATGCAGTAACCTACCTCTTCCAGTTCGGAGGGCATTTTGAGAGTAGTTTGGAGAGTGAAGTTCACAGTGAGGTTTTTTTTTGTTTTTTTTTAGTGGGGGGAAGTTCTCGACGTCACTGGAAACGCGGAGATTTGTCAGATACAATACTATCCATGGATGCACTATACACTATACTACTGACTAGAACTATATCAGACTATATAAGACAATACTGTACTATGGACTATAATTATGACTAGGACTAGGACTATATAGGACTATAGCTATATAATATAATATAGTCTATACCATAGACTATACAACATACAGAACATTACATACTATCCAATAGTCATCCCGTCCCGACTCCGCACTCTTGACCCTGCATAGTACTCTACCTCACCATGGAACCCAACTTGAATGAAATCCATGACTTCTTGGTGTCATTGGCATTCCGCGCTGGCGACATCATCAACAATGCGCTCCCAGAAACCAATGACACCGGCTCCAAAAAGAATAGTGCGTAAGGAGACAGAAGGTCGAGGGGACACGCTGACCATAATAGGTGCGGACCTGGTGACGGAATATGACCGGGCGGTTGAGAATATGATCTCAAGCTCCCTGAAGGAGAAGTACCCGCATTACGAGTGCGTAGAAAACGGCCCATCTGATGCATCCGCTGACGCTGGCTTCCAGATTCCACGGCGAGGAAACGTATGACCCAGCACGCCCATTGACAGATGCCCCAACGTTCATCGTGGACCCGATTGATGGGACAATCAACTTTGTGCATGCCTTCCCCTTTGCCTGCGTGTCTCTGGGATTCGCCGTGGGCCGAGTTCCGACGGTGGGGGTGGTGTATAACCCGTCGACCAAAGTCCTCTATTCCGCCATTCGCGGCCAAGGAGCGTTCCTCAATCGGGAAACCCGTCTCCCACTCAAGGGTTCTCACGTAGAGCCTCTGGCGGGGTTGAAAAATGCCCTGATTGCCGTGGAATGGGGCTCAGATCGCAGTGGCATCAACTGGGAGACAAAGATCCGGACATTTGAAAAACTGGGTCAGTCCCAAGAGCATGGGGGTGCCATGGTGCGTGCGATGCGGAGTTTGGGCTCCGCCGCGTTGAATTTGTGTGCCGTGGCAGACGGCACGTTAGATCTGTACTGGGAAGGTGGCTGTTGGGCCTGGGATGTCTGTGCCGGATGGGTCATTCTCTCCGAAGCCGGGGGCATCATGGCAGATGGCTCCCCAGGAAACTGGGAGCCTCGTCTGGACGGACGAAAATACCTGGCAATTCGCGGGTCTCCGGACGGAGCTGGGCAGAAGGAGCTCGTGGAAGAGTTCTGGAGTCATATCCAAGGCCCGCTACAGTACTGAGCGACCTTGGGTGGCAGGAGGGTCAGGTCACACATAATTACAAGGGTATATATCTATGTTGTATGTACAAGAGTTGGGTCTCTATTTATGCCGCGACCACCGAAATCCAACATTACTGTCCTCCAAACCGGACTCGCAGTCGTCATCTTCATCAATCTCACGATCAGTCCATCGAGCTGAATCTTGTCTGGAGACCTCCGGGTACTGTGCTCTTTCGCTGGCACTCAACGTGCGAGGGGAATCCATTCCGGCGTAAGCACCATCATCGGATACATCCTCCGACACGTAGAGGCCAGAGACACTCGATAGTATGTCAGTGTCGCTTCGGATGAGTTGGGGACCAGGTTCGGATCCAGATTGGCCTTCTACCTCGTCACCCGAACTAGTTGGTCCAACTCCCGGAGATTTGACTCTGTCCACATTCTGTTTCATGGAATCCTCGACATCCACGAGGGGTGCGTGACCGAAGTGGGTGTCAACCAAGTGTTTGACGACAGGCCAGCCATAAGCATTGGTGAACATGCGTCGTACGATGATGTTGTTATGAGCATCAGGTTCAAGCCGAACAAGAACCTTCCGCCACGACAGGTCGCGGTGGTAAGCCCTTGCAATTTTCTCCTCGATCTTAAGGCCACTCTCGACATTTGTATTGCTACAGTCCGAGGAATGTTGAGTGGCAGAGGTGGGTGCAGACTTGGATTGTTTACCTTGTAGCGAACCAAAGTTCAATGTGCGTCGCTTCGCCGGCAATGGGTTGGGGATGTCCTCTGGATGGTACACGCGATCATGGAAGATTGTCCGGGGTCGCGTAGCAGGATCCAGAATAAATTCAGGAGGGGGAAGCGGGGGCATCAATAAGTCTCCGGCAGACTCGAAGAAAGTGGTTTTGGGAGGAGTGTGTACTCCTTGTTCATGCTGACTGTGAGCAACCGGCGGGGGATGGTCAACATCGGTATCGAGCGCCCCCAGAGTCTGGCTCCGATTATAGATTTTGGACTGTTTGCTGCCGAGGGATTTCTTCTCCTTGGGACGGAACATTGACAAGAAGCTGTCAATAGGACCGAGGGTTGTATTCTCTGATGCACCGTTTGGAGGGCCCCTCTGAGAGGTACTGTGTTGGCGTTGTGCCAAGAATTGCCCTGGCTTTGGGGAGAGGGGACTTTTGTCTCCTTGGTTGCCATTTGGGCTTGTTGCAACCCCGAGAGACCGGGTATCTTGCAAACCAACGTTTGAAGTGGAAAGGCTCAGCGGCGATTCCTCGCCTGAGCGAGCAAAGCGCGGTGATTTGGAGTTGGCTCCAGTCAGCTCTGCCCATCCCCATTCTGCCATTGTTCCAACAAGACCATTGTCCCTCCTGGCTTTTTCGACCCGATCGAGACCTCTCCAGTCCAAAAACAGGAGACACGAGGTCCGCAGTGGAACTATTCCGTCGTTCACCACATTGGAGTAAACGGTACGGTGTTGGAATTTGCCGAGAACCTTATGAGCAGGACCACAGGGCAGGATCCGCAGAAGAGGCTTAGAACCGGGCTCTGGGTTGCTTGGGTCCTTTGCCGCATCTCCCCGTCCGGCGATCATGGCTCCCCAGCCATTTCGGACCTTGGGTGCCGTCCAGCTCAGGCCAAGATCTTGCCCCGTACGGCCAACTAATCCCAAGTCCAGAGCGAATCGAACGTACATGGGATTTTCATTGCTAAGACCAAGGAATGGGGTTGCCATTGCAATGAAATTGACGGGTTTGATCTGGTCAAAGAACTGAGGCGAATGCTTTTGGATATAGGCGATTGCATAAGTTTGAACCAAACCCCCAAGCGAGTGACCGATGAAACTAATGCTTGTAATTTGGTAAGCATGATCGTCAGTGTCTGCTTGGTTTTCCTGGGTTGATGCAGTCGAAGATGGCTGGGGTCGGTCCTTGCGAGCACTGAAAGGGCGAGAAAATGGGTTTGGCTTCGGACCCTTCAGGGGAAAGTAGGGCTGGTCGGGATATGTAAGAAGCAACACGTATTTGGCTAACCGTTTCCCAAGGTACTGAATTCCACGCTCAGTCCGGACGGCATTGCCAGAGAACCCTCTCACAATGACTTCTTCATCCGAGTCACTGTCCGCTTGGATGTTGTGGTTGCTATCGGCAGAACTACTAAACAGAGAGATTAGCAACTGTAAGATTGGGCTTAGACCAAAGACAATACAACGAGTGATGCATACCTGGGATTTTCTGGTCCAATGGGATCCACATGAGGAGTTGTGGTATGATGAGAGTTCTTGTGCGGACTCCTGGCTGCAGCATCGATGCTTTCCTTGAGAAAAAGCATATCTGCGCCCAAGTTGCTGTGCAATCCGTGCGTCAGCAAGACAAGGTGGACCTTTTTCTTTTTGGCTCTCTTCGCTGAGTTGTCTGGGTTCTCCGTCGGCTTCGAATTCTCGGCCACAGGCTGGGAATCTACACCTCCCGGCTCAGCCATGTTGGAAGCCTCTTTGGCGGAGGGGAACGATGGACTATTCCACAGACTGTTTGTATCGTCAACATGAGCAGTGATGGCCTTTGAGTACACTCCCTTAGACGCCAGTACTTGTTTGCCTTTGGTATTCGGCTCCCAATGGTCGAGCAGTTTCCCGGGAGGACCACTCCCACTGCTCCACGCACCGCCAGAAAAGTAGGCCAAAGACTTCTCATCCCGGCTCACAAGTAGCTCAAAGTGAACCGCTGCACTGGTCGAGAATATCACTTGAGATTGGATCTCAACGATCCATGTGACGCTCTGTCCGCTGGTTGGGCCCCCTTGGCCCGGAGACCCGAATTCATGCGCCTCTAGGAGATGAGACGGGATTTTGATCGTAGCATCCCAACCGCCTCCGGCTTTAAGGTATGGCTCATACTGTGGTGTTCCCTCAATTCCTTGCTTCTCGAATTTGGTGTTTGGGTCGTATTGTGCGGGATAGCAAGCAGCATACAGGGTGTAAGGGCCATGGAGGTAGGCGGCGCGCAACGGAATGGCCGATGTATTCCTCACTCGGACGTAGAGGTCGGCAGGAATAGGCAGGATAGGATCGGCAGCCGGGGTGTATGTGATAGTATACCTGGTGGGTCATGTTAGTTGAAACCAGATCGTTGAGGCCTTGAGCTAAAGGTCTCGGCATGTGAGCGCACCTGACCACTTCTCCCACCCGCACACTTCCAACTTGGTGGATTAACAGCATATCGGCTGCTTGACGGGCATCGATCGGATCCTTCCGCCACCCTGCGAGGGTATGATACCGCGATGTCCGTTCAGTGGAAGGTGTTGCACCTTGATCTGGGGTTTGAGAGGCCGAATACGTGCGCGCAGTGATCAGCATCGAATCTTCTCGATTCCATGATAAAGAAAGCTAAGCAAGAATGGGTGAGTTTCTGTCGAAGGGGGGTGTGTCGTTCTCATGTTGTGGCTGTGAGCGGGAATGGCGGGAAACACATGATTTTACCCTGATCGGCGAGACCCCCATCCATTCTACATCTTACATTGTGCTGTACTTCCGGACTCCAAACTTCCGGACTTGCACATTGGAATATGAATCTATCGAACCAGGTTAAGTAACCGGTTGGACTCTTTGCGGAGTTCCACCCAACCGTCCCTCTGGACCACCACGATCTTCCCGTCAATACAAATGCGCCGCCACTTTTCATCCTCTTCTTGGAAATCAATTCGCAGAGTTTCCACATCTGCATAGGTCACGGTCGATTCTTGCACGTGCTGTCCGCCTTGGTAGGCGAGACTCATCAATCGCATCGCGTCCTCGGGGGCCATAGGGCCAAACCGAATGAATTTCATCTGGCCCCCAAGGGGCTCCGAATCCGGTGAAATCAAGAACTCTTTCTCCAGCCGGGGAACCAACGTGGCAAGTGCGTACATGTGCTCGAGTTCTTCCAGTTGTTGAGTTTTGGTAGGATCCTCCGACGTAACTATACTGATCTGGCCTTTGAAGGCATGACACGGAGCACCATCTGAGGGGTAGAGCAGTTCATTGGCCGCCATCTTGAACCGATCAACCCCAAATTTGCGGTATTCAGCTGTGTCGCTGTCAGCAACCAAGGCCGCATGGAGCCCCCAGCTAACCACCACCGCGCCCCATAGCGTATGCGGCACGGATTCATTGTCCTGGTCTATTGGGACGAGTAGACGGCCCTCATCGACAACTAACCGACTGCCAGGGGAGAACTTGGCCGCAAAGACAGGCACCGAGGTGGGATTACCGTGGAGTAAAGTCGAAAGACCTGGTAGCGAACCCGAACGTAATCCAATGGAACTTGCCATAGCATTCCCTGTGCCACAGGGGATCAAAGCCAGGCTGGGGGCAAGTTTGACTGTCCCGTTCGATCTGTAGAACACGTCGAGGATATCCACCAAACCCCCATCGCCCGATAGAAGGATGATGGTTTGCGGAATGCCTTGATGCGCCTGCTCCAAGAACTGCGTTCGAGCTAGGTGGGAAACTGTTTGTGTGTCCTTCGTCTCATGAGCGGAATGGTCGATGCCCAGATATGTCAGAAATGGCAGCACCGCATCCTGATAAATGGTCTTAGCTTTGCCCATCCCCGAGCCCGTGGATATCACGACATGGACTGTAGCATCGCGCAAATGAGGGGGAATGGTTGTTTCAAAGGGAACGAGCTCCGTGGGCAGAGACGTGATCTCCAACTTGTTCAGATACACACGCTCTAGATCTTGGAAGAACAGCACACTATATCCCGATGGGTTGGTCACCACACAGAGAATGTCATCCAAGTCAACCGCAGTATCGACACCTGCATTAGAGCAGTGCAGTACGTTGTCCACGATGTTGGACATGTTGACGAGGGGATGTTGATGTTGGCGGGGCTGCCGCCTTCCACAGTTCCTACCTCCGCCTCAATCGCTCATTTAACGTCTCAACATCTTCACTCTTAAGAACTTAACTCTTCATCTCATCTCAGTCCGGTAAATTATGTATTTTCTTTCTAAACTTTCTAGACTTTTCTTTCTCGCATACAATACAAGTTATTCCAATTTCCAAAAACACCCATTGAAACATTACGATGGAGAAACCCCTCGCGAGCCCTCGTCATGAGAAATATGCTTGTCACTCAGGTTCACAGCAATGAAGGTTTTAGGTAGTTCCACCCTAGAGGAGATTAGCAAAGCCCTCAAGGCCAAAGCGGGGGAAACAACTTACGTGTTGAACTTGGCCTTCAGTGTCTCAATGACTTCCTTCCAATCTTGATGGGCCGTCAAGCTGCGCCGGGGTGCGCATCCGATGGAGTGTCGAGAATCGAGCTGTACATCGAGGGGGTCGAAGGCATGACATCCTGGGCTGACCGAGATGCGAATAGAGTAAGAGTAGGAGTCAGACTCACTATCGCGGGCCTCATATAGTTCGAAACATATCTGAGAGAGATAGTCGAGTTCAGGGATTGCACTTCGGGCAATCTTGGTTTGGATTCCACCCTCCAATATACAGTTCAGTAGGGTATAGATGTGAGATTCCTTGGTGAAGTAGAAGAAGGACTTGGCGTCCTGGGAGGCCTGCACCTCTTCGAGGTCTCGCACAATCTCCTGAAGTAAGGGAAGAGAAGTGAGGAGACCAATTTCCAACTTCTCACTGTCGGTGATACCGTATTCTTGGGGGGTCACGTAGTCGAACAGGACCTTGGCCAGCTTGAACAATTCCCGAAGTTTCGAAAGTCGTTCGTCCATCTTGCATTTGGAAGAATTGGAGCCCGGGAAAAGTTTGAAATAGTGGTCGTACGAGTCATCAAGCGCCCGAAGGTGTGGAAGGGATTCCAGCGCCTGCATGCGCTTCCTCAATCCAAAGCGATGCGCAAAGGTGTGAGGTTCACGCTCTTCAGATCTGTCACTGCCGACATCCTGAATCTTGCCGTCTGCGTGTCCATCGGATTTCGCACACTTGCCCTTGATACTGTCCTTTTCATCGTCATCACGACCAATGTCCGGGGGCATAAAGACCCACTCCAAGAATTGCCGGTTGTGAAGAGCATCAAACTTCATACTGTCGTAAAGTTCAGAAAACTTGCTAGGGTCAACCTTTTCGGTGTCGCAGAACTCTGCAAAGAGCTTCTCCCAACGCTCTTTAAATAATCGGGGATCTTCTCCCGCACACCATCGACCCTGGATATTGTCTATGTCGGGGTGATCCGACAGTGGATCGCCCGAGTTTGGCTGAATTGGAACTTCAGGGTCATGGGAAGGAACAGGAGACACATCTGGTGAACCATCAAGCTTCTCGAAGTTATGGTGCATCACGCTTCGGTGGAACTTCATCAGCTCAACCAATGTGGAAAGAACAACGGAAGGCTCTGGTATATTACCATCCTTGGGCCAAGCAAACTGAGATGGCGCAGACCCTTCTCGCAAGAGCAGTTTGAGCTTCTTTTTGACTTTATCCATGACATCTTTGGCGGCATTCGAATCGTCAAGTAAATCTTTGCGAACCTGTATCAAATCCTCGGGGATGTCCTTCTGGTCTAGAAATGAGCAAGCCCAGATTTGTGCTGTTGAGCGAAAATGGTTAGCTATAAGTCCTGGTTCAATGGTCCAGTGTAGGCAGGTCTGCTCGACTTACCACTGGTGCTGACTCTGCGTTCCGAGCTGGTGAACAGGCGGACATTATTCAAAGCTTCCTTGTTCATCAGCTTCAGATCGTCTCGCATGTTCAATCCAAGATCTTGGGACTGGTAGCGTGCAGCATGTGTAGGCTCGCCACCCCATTTGATCACAAGCTGGAGCTTATCCAGAATCAAGTCGTTCTCAGCGGCAGAGAATCGAGAAAAGGTGGCACCCGAGATGGAATCACTCCGTGTTTGTGACCTGTGCAATTCCTCATTATCTTGAGCTGTTTCGCCCGCCGTGGATGGAAGTGGCTCCTCGCTGGGCTTGCTGTCGGCTAATGGGGCAGAATCACCCGATAAGTCCTGTTCTTTCATCTCTTCCGGCTTTCGTTTCCGGAACATGGGCTTGATCTGGACTTTGGTTCCCGGCCAGCCGCCCTTCTTCTCCAACGATGTACGCAGCAATTTCAGCTTTTCCATATCCTCGAGACCCTTCTCCATGGCCTGCTTGACGGCATCAGAAACACTAGCCAGTGCAGCCTCGCCCTTGATGACTATCTCCTCCTGGTGGCCCTTCAGGAGATTCACAAATGGCTGGCTGTGGAATGTGAACTTGAACTTTTGCTTGGGGGTGCGATCGGCGTGTCGAATCACGGCGACCATGCCTTTCAACTTCCAGGAGTGTTTGGAAGCAGGAAGGGGTGGGAGGGCTTCTTCGTTGGGGTGTTGGATAGAAAGAGCAGGTGATTTGGAATTTGAAGGACTGTATCCCCGCGCAGTACTGTGTCCTTCCCTGGAGTTTAGCTTGCTGAGAGCGGCACCAACATCGGTTCCCTCTACGCCAGAAGAGGATGCAACCGAGGGAGGACAGGTGGAGACATCGGAAGGAGGGTTTTCCTGAGCTTTGTGGGAGCCCTGGCTACCATAGAGCCGGGAAGCACTCGGCGACTTCAACAATGTCTTCAAAGCCTGCCTGTGAGATCCCACTGTGCTCCTCCTGGATGGACCCATGTCTGGTGATGGCGGCTCGGAGAGCTCAGTTCCTTCGCATTTCCGTCTTTCACTCAAAAAGATATCCCTTAGGATATTGGCACATTTATCATAGTAGTCGTTGTTGTCCTTGACAAAGCTCCAGCCATTGACATCGATGACATAGCTTTTATCCCCAACACGAAGCATATCAAAACCACAGATTCTTTGACCAAACCCATTGGAGATCTTTGACGCGATGATCGCCTCCTCTTTGCCAAGTTGGGTAATATATCGGATTTCCTTCCCGTGAGTATTGCGACGTACAAGTCCGTCCACCACGGGTGATTTGCGCGTCTCGGCATGACAAAAGTCGGGTCCAACAGTGTAGGCCTTCACATCCTCAGCGTTATCGACTCTGAGGAATTGTTCATACAAGTAACTTGTACCGGGCTCTGTGACCGATCTTGGAACGGAGAGGGTGGGGTCGTACTCGGAGCTTTTGTTGCCCACCTTTCGAAACAACCGCCTTCCACCCCCGCCGTACTGCTGGTCGTTCGGGAAGTAGATGTGAATGTTATGGTCCTCGCCATTGACTGGCTTTTCGACGAACGGCTTTTTGAAAACCTTTCCATCGACGATCAAAGCCTCCCCATCTTCCGACATGGAGACATTTTGGGTCCGAGGGGCTCCCCCACCGACTCCGCTCTCCGGACCCTCGAGTTTCACCCCAGTCAAGTGATAGATGTGCTGGCCTAGCTCCGGTGACTCTAGGACCGGGCCGCCATCACGATTCACCTCTATCCGCTTGGGGGTGGGGACGCCCATGTGATCCAGAATCATCAAACAGAGTCGTCTATCCCACAACACCTTCTGCATTGGAAGGTCATTGACACACAGGGGCTTTCGTAGCTTAGCATATGCAATGGCTTTATCCAACGGGAAGCCATCTGAAAAGAACGCGACTAAGAAGTCACACACTGGCCAATTCTCCACTGCTTCGTCGAGGATCACCTTGTCTCCGAACACGATCACCTCGAAGTCTCCTCTCGACTGGAGGCGAGTCAGAATATTCTGGCTCGGTTTGCTGCGTGCTTTCACATCCAGGGCACAGACACCGATTCTCCATGGCTTCGCGGAGCTGGACTCCATTTCACTGATAGAGCTTGCGGTGGTGCTGGCCGCTGTACTTCCGCTGAACCTCCTGGGTGCACGACTGGAGGAGCGTGTAGACTGCCCCATTAAACCGATTGTACGAGCTTCGGATGTGTGGTTTCCTGGTTGGTTCTGGGACGATTTCGTGGGCTTGGGCGAAACCAACGTTGTAGGTTCGGGGATGAGGCCTGTGGGTGTCTGATCGTCGTTTTCGGAACCCATGTCGGGCGACGGAGGTCCTGTCGTTGACATTGGGCCTGGAAGTCTTATGGAGTCCACGTCGGCAGAAGAGCCGTTGCTATGCTCGGTGTCCATTGAGATAAGGCCCAACGGACAGGAGGGGCAAAATTGTGGGGCGAGATGAAACGGATGGCAGTTGCAATATAAATTCAGAAGTATTTCAGAGGTTCTGATCCTGTACGGATGTATGAGAGAGAATGAAAGAATGCGCTCGCAATCTTCCGGATTCTGTAGGCGGAGAAGAGTTTCGTTTCTTGGCGATGTTCTCAAGTATCCGGGGTATATCGATACAGTGATGGGTTGAAATACTGATGACTTTGGTTTATAAGGCTTACCTGTCTAGATATACTGATATTTATATGAAGTCCTGGACTGGCAAAGTCATATATAGATTCTCAAAGTGATTCTCAGTGTTAGAAATTGTATCATTGTGTCATTATACTGCGTATTAATGTACTTAAGTAGTCTTTGTCCTTTCCAAACAAGGGGTGATCTTTTAAAACATAATTTAGAAAGAGATGTAAAAGGAGCCTTGAAGAACAATAGCAGTAGCTATATAACTGTCTAAATTTATCTTGGATAATGCGACAGAGAACATTGTACAGAGAAGTTGAAGTATGAAATGCCCAAAATAGAAAGCGGTGTAGCGACAGGACTGGGCGGGGCAGAAAAAATACCGACAGAAAAAAAAAGATAGCTGAGACTGTTCCCCGTGAGCTTGAGCGGTTAAGCTAATAGATCGACTTCTGGTGAATCGACACTTCTGTGGTTTCAGAAGTCTGTTTCATCATGCCTGCAAATGAGACTTTTGACCTACCGCTCGCTAAGCGTCAAAAGCGGGTGTCCAAGGGAAACAATGCTGGACAACGAGGCTCCAAGATCTTTGCTCCTTTTCGGGTATGTGGATGAACAAGCATTGTTGTTTCCTTGACTGACTCCCTTGCAAGACATTAGGATTGGTGTCACCAACACCGGTACCTTTCACTTCGGTGCGCCTGGGTAAATCGACGTATCAAATCACCACCTCCGTTGGACATTCCCTGCAGACCTATGACCTCCGCAAAGGATTGAACTTGATCTTCTTAAGTCGACCGCAAACACCGGAAATTATCACAGCAACATGCGCATGGCAGGACAAGGTCTTTGCCGCATGGGGCCACCTGCGCGCGCAATCCCCCGGGGGAATCTGGGTCTTCAAGCGTGGTAAAAAGGTCGCGGCTCTTACAAGCCCTGCAGATCTGAATGGCCCCATCGAGCGATTGGTGGTATTTGGTTCGTGGGTAGTGGGTTGCTGGGCCGGAGGCCTCGAGGTCTGGAAGACAGGTACATACGAACATTATGCCAGTATGCGACCTCAATCCGTTCAGACCTCTTCTCAGCAGCAGACCTATACTGGTGTCATGTGCAACATGCCCACTTATATCAACAAGATCTTTGTGGGTCGGTCCGACGGTGCGGTCGATATTTGGAACCTACGCACCGGCAAACTCGTCCACACGTTGTCACCTTCCACTTCAGACACTGGGCCTGTGACAGCAATCCAGCCCACACCTGCTCTATCACTTGTCGCCGTTGCCTACAAGAGTGGCGCCCTGTCGATCCAGAACGTTAGCTCGGGCCAGCCTGTCCTGAGGTTGAAAAATGCATCTTCCCGAGGTCTTCCTGTGACATCTATCAGTTTCAGAAGTGATGGACTGGGCGCTGGTCATGATGGTCGAAGCTCGGGCGTCATGGCCACCGTCTCGAGCGGTAGCGGAGACATAACTTTGTGGGACCTGAACAATGGAGGTCGCATTGCGGGGATCTTGCGTGGCGCCCACCGTGTTTCAAGCGGTGAAAGGGCTATGGGGGCGAACCGTGCCGAGTTCTTGGATGGACAGCCGGTGATTGTGTCTTCGGGCGACGACAATTCTCTGAAGACATGGATCTTTGACGCAACTCCGTTCTCACCTATCCCCAGGCCACTCCATATCAGGAATGGACACTCGGCTGCTGTCAGTGCTCTCGAATTCCTGCCAGGGTCGACAGACGGGTCGGACTCGGCCGGCAAGTGGCTTCTTAGTGCAAGCAAAGATTGCAGTCTCTGGGGACTTAGTTTGCGCAAGGATAGCCAGCACACCGAGATTTCTCAAGGTAACGTGGAGAGCAAGGCGAAGAAGGCAGGCCCATCGACCAACTCGAGCCCCATGTCGTCAGAAGAGCTCAAAGCTCCCGAGATCACCTGCATTTCTAGCAGTCTCAACCGTGATGGTGGAATGGGCATCACTACATCTGGCCCGATCTGGTCCAACCCCAAAGTGACCAACGCCGACGCCTCTAATACAACAGGATGGGAGAGTGTGGTCACTGGCCACCGAGGCGATAAATTTGCACGCACCTGGTTCTGGGGCAAGAAGAAGGCAGGTCGCTGGGCATTTGCCACCAGCGACGGAACAGAGGTCAAGGTACGCATGGATTTGATCGGGAAAAACTTGGGATCTCGCTAACATATTCTGCTCGCAGAGTGTGGTTGTTTCACACTGTGGTACTTTTGCAGTTATTGGATCTGCAGGAGGATCTATCGACATGTATAACATGCAGTCAGGCCAGCACCGACAGAGTTTCCCGGCTCGTCAACCCGCTTCACGATCCAAGATCAACGCCTTGGCCACTGCGACTGGGTCTTCAAAGCACACCAAGGCAGTGACTGGCTTGATGGTCGACAGCTTAAACAGAACTGTCGTCAGCTGTAGTTTGGATGGCAAAGTCAAGGTATCATTCCCCCTCACCCTCTTTTGTGCCTTCGCAAATGACTGATATCTTCGGTCATTTCTAGTTCTGGGATCTTCTCTCTGGAAAGTTCATTGATGAGCTCGATTGGAACCCAATGACTGCCATTACTGGACTCCGCTACAACAAGGCGAGTGAACTAGTTGCCTTCAGCTGCGACGACCTCTCTATTCGGGTGATTGATCTCGAGACCAGGAAGCTCGTGCGTGAATTTTGGGGATGTGTGGGTCAAGTTAATGATTTCATCTTTTCCAATGATGGACGTTGGATCATTGCCGCCTCGATGGATTCAGTGGTCCGAGTCTGGGACCTACCCACGGCTCACCTGGTTGACATTTTCCGTGTCTCAAGTACTTGCGTTGCTCTGTCCATGTCATCAACTGGTGAATTCCTCGCTACTGCCCACGCTGGAGGCATCGGTATCAGTCTTTGGAGTAACCGCAGTCTCTTCATGCCAATTTCCACCAAAAACCTGGACGAGAGCATCATCGAATCTATCGGGCTTCCGGCAACTTCAGGAGAAGGCGGCGCTGGTCTTATTGAAGCCGCTTTCGTTGAAGCTGCCGAAGAAGATGAATCAGAGGGTCCGGTGCTTGCGACTGAACAACTCTCCCAGGATATGATAACCCTCAGTCTCGTTCCCAAGAGCAGGTGGCAGGCTTTGATTCACTTGGATACCATTAGAGTAAGAATTCATCTTACCAAACAACCCGAACCCCCCAGCTAACGGTTTTACAGGAACGCAACCGTCCCAAGGAAGCTCCGAAGGCACCTGAAAAGGCACCCTTCTTCCTTCCCTCTCTCCTTGATAAGAGTGGTCCTGAGTCCAACAAGAATGGCACCGATGTGGATGCTGACCTGGGATCGTTGGCCACAAGCGTTGAGGCCGAACGGCTACGGATTGCCAAGGTCCAAAATGGCCAGAACTCCGACTCCGCCCAGTCTCTCTTCACGCGAGCATTGGCTTCCGGTCACCAATCCGGCAACTTTGATTCATTTGTCGATCATCTCAAGTCGTTGCCTCCGGCTAAGGCGGATCTTGAGATCCGTTCGCTGGATCCCCGAGTGCGCGATGGGCACTCTGAGCTGTCCGATTTCGTCACTGCCCTGACTTGTCGCCTGAAGTCCAAGAGGGACTTTGAGTTGGTCAATGCTTGGATGGCAGTGTTCTTGAAAATCCATTCCGACACCGTGAGTCTCAGTTCTCACCGCGATGAGCCCGGGTATCGCGTGTTGCAAGGGGCTCTGGCTGCTTGGGCCCATGAGCAAGAGCAAGAGGGCAAGCGCTTGGCCGAGCTAATCGGATACTGCCGTGGAGTGGTGGGATTCCTGCGATCCGCCCGGTAAAGGAATTAATAGTCAAAAGCTGTATCTTTTGTCAATAGCCTGATTTGTATACGAAACATTCTTTCTTCAGCCAGTCTTTTATCCCAAGCCCGTGTATCCCAAGCCCGTGATCAAACGGGGGATTCGGGGGCTAAGTCCAGTGGGTAGACAAGGTCGATGGTAGGATTCACCTACAATTAAAGAAAGTGAGACATATATGTATATGTAATATATATAGGTTGATTCTGGTTCTCTATACTTATTCTCGATCAAGAGTCAATACTACATCTACATTGAATTTGCCATATCAAACTGGCCAGGAGTCTCTCTCACTCTCTCACTCCCTTACTCTCTTGCTCACTTGCTCAAGCTCACTCACCCATCTTCGAAGCCTGGCTGCATCCACTCAAAACTCAGACCTACCTAGCCTCAACCTCTTTTGATACTTCTGCCCTTGCTTCACCACAATCCTTCGTTATCTGAGAAACCATGCCGCTCTATCCAGACAGCCGGGTTTGTAAAAATTGCGGCAGGATGGGCGTCACTAGAAAGACATGTGAGGTCTGCCCTTGTCAATATTGTCATAAAAAAGACCACCCGATCATCAAATGCCCGACAGTTCCTCCATGTCAGCATTGCGGCACTAAGGGATTACACCGATCTGATCATTGTCTACAACGGGTTTCCCTTACTCAACAATCATCTGCCTCCACTCGACATTCGTCTGCCTCCACTCGACACTCGTCTACCCTTATTCCAGATCATTTCAATATTTCAGTCTCACCTCTGGCTCATGATAGCCTAGAGTGGCGTGAGATCCCACAGGAAACGAGAGATGTAAGAATGAAAAGGCTAGCCTTTATCAAAGATAATAACTAACTCATTGTTTATTAGTATTTCCATGCAGAGAAGCCATTCAACTTACCTTCTCTAAAAGACACATGTTCTACTCTTCTCCGTGACATTCTCGATGAAAAGCTTCCTAGCTGGGATGACAGTCCATATTCTCAAGAGATCCGGACTCATGGTGGGGTTGACGAGGTCACCGACCAACTATTGCTTTACATCAGACCAGAGATTCTTCAGCTTCAGGGCCATCCAGTTACCACCGAGTCGCTTCAACAAATTCAAAGGCATCAAGTCAACGATGGAGATTGGAATACAGCTATGGGATATATGGATTTCATCACTGATACAAGAAATACGGCTTACAATAGACGATATGTCGGACAAACTGTGGATGCTAAGCGGCGAATTGCTCGTGAGCATTTTCAAGGACTGCTTAACCATTCAACTCAGTCTCTTCATCATTTTTGTGTTTGGATTGGGAATGGTACACGGGAAGCTAATTTTATTCGACTTTGGAGCTGTCCCTCTGAAGACGATATACTAGAATGTGAGGGTGCTACCGAAACCTGGAATGAGGTTCAACAAAGTCTTCTGGAAGCGTTGTTTTGCAAAGCTTTCCAAACACACCATGGAGTTCTAGACCGTCATGAACCAAATAAGCTTCAAAAGATCTCTAGCTACGGCTTGAACGTTTTGTCACCACTCTGGCCCAGCAGAAAAAGGCCTACTTTCCAGCAAGTAAAATTCGTCCATGAAATTGACTCTACCCCGGATCCTCAAATTCTTTACTGGAAAAAAGTACTTCGACCGAGACGAAAAGCCCAGGAACAAGAAAAGGAAAAACAGCAATGCGAAGCTTCCCTGGGCATGAGAAATTTCGATTATCATGGAGCATTCAAAGAATCATTGAGCCAGATACCAAGTGATCACAACTTATTTGAGGCCTTCAAAGCCTCATTTGCACAGCCTAGGCCCGATCCAAAGCCTTTGACTCAGGATATTCAATACTTCGGCAATCGTTCTGCTCAATTTGCCTTTGTACTCGATTTTGCAGTTACAGCCCCAGAATTTGATGGTCTTGCGGAAGAGATTGATTCAGAAAAGAAAATTTCCTCCACTATTGATCTCCCATGGGCATTACAAGGTTGTCAATTTAATGCAACAAATGTTCTTGTTTGGACATTCAACTTCAAAGCATTCTCATCTCTTAACAAAGAACATGTCCATTATCCTGCTTCGGATCAATCTTTCTTATATGCAAAATTCAAAATGCATCGAGAACTATTAGATCACAGCAATGCCAAGGTTATCTTTATATGTGGGGCTTATGCAGCACGAGCACTACATTTTGCTTTTAAATCCAAGCAATTGTTGCTCGAGTTAAGAGGATTTAAATATCCTCTTTACATTGAAATCAGTACCTCTGCTCAGATCACTCACCGTCTGTTTATTCTTTGTCCCAGTATTCCAGCACGAATCTGGTCAAATGGTCGAGGAAACAGCGCAAAGTTAAGCGAAGCAATTCGCTTTGGCATTAAGCTGTTAAACATTCGTGGACTGAGACCATATTAGATTGAAAGCTTCACTATATGTGGGACTATCCTCAGATGGGCAAGGTCTGAGAGACTTGGAAAGGGATCTATGACGCAGAAAATATGGATCTCGATGTTAAACTCTGGCTTTACCGTCAGGGGATAACCGATGAAATTCTTAAGAAGATTGTCGAAATTGCAGGAACTCTCCCTCGGGCTCTTCTTATGATAATGCAATCTATTCGACACCAAAAGACACAGACTTTCAAACGACCATTCGAGCCCCAACCCCAGGTACAGCCTCCACAAAAATTGCCTAAGAACAGGGGAGTCTGGAATCTATCCGATTTCAGAGAGGTTGAAAGTATTGTTGTCAATGCTAAAGATGAATTCATGCAATCATTTATGCAGACGTCAAATCCTTCACAACTGGAACCACCTGCTACAGAAAGCACTTCCTCCATGCAGACATCAAATCCTCCGCGACTGGAACCATCTACCACAGAGAGTACTTCCTCCATGGAGAAGAAAGAGTATGATTACAACAGTGGAGTTACTCTTTTGTCAGGGGAAGAGACTGTGAATCTCAGCAAAATTGAAGAGATCCAATCCGCTCTCTTGGATGTCCACTCTAATCGAGAAAAAGAGTCAATCAGCGATGACATCAGTCTAGCAGATCTGATACCAATTTCTCGTGAGGCTATTAGTCTTGGAATACTAAATGGATCCAAAAAACAAAGAATCACCACTGGCTGGAAGAGGAATGAAATACGTACTGCTTGGACAGATGAAAATTCATCATTCCTCGAGAGAGAATACGACTACAAAGTGCCGCCTGAACCAACCTCCAACCAATCGACACGCTGGATTCGCGCTAACTACTGCCCTATCAACTTTGAACCAGATGATGATCTCGGCGATGGAATTGTTTAGCTAACTCTGTCTGGAAGGCCAATACGCATGTTGACAAGCTTCTGGGCAAGTCAGTCGAAGAGATCACCCGCACCCCAAGGCGATTTCTGAATCCTCGTATGACTCCTGATCGTAAGACTGGCTATACCAATGGAACCCCAGGGCACTGAGTCTTGGTGTGACGGGCTGAAAAGCGGCCTGGCAGGTCGGTCGTGGGAATTCTAGACTAGGAATCAGATGCTGGTTTGCGATCTTGGCGAATTTGATGCTTTTGGCTTCGAAAGCAGAGATGGGATGCTGCGGTGTATGTTAGGGTGTCAAACCTCGCTCTGGGTCCTTGTTCTCTTTCTTCCCTATGTTAGAAATCTTCGTTTTAGGTCCTGTGGAATCCATCATCTCTTTGACTGCTTACCTCATAACTTGGCAGCAAGGCTAGAAAGAAATATGTACAACGCCGTCGGTATCTAAGAGATGGTTAGCACTGGCAAGATTCTACCCGAAGACCCTATTCATGAGTAACCTTTCCTAGTCTTTATAGTCAATGTAAGCCTGTTAATGCTTTAATTTAGTTATCGCCCTTGGTATATTCGGATAATGTTCATAAAGAATGAATGTTTCCTAAAAGACTTTCTGAATAATGCTTTGTACAAGATCCTGACTCCATGGAAATGGAAAGCACCACTTCTCAGGGTGCTTTTTATTATAGGGGGGATTTGGGCAATGGACATAATAGTACTCTGTACAGTACAGTGTATTGCTGAATTAATTGCTGGGATCGAATATCTCAGCCCCTGAATGCTTGTATACGGTTGTGCGGTTATGTGCTCCTCTAAACGAGGCTGGATGTCCTGGCGATTGCATACTTTCTTGATATGTGTGATGAGACTGCGTTTTCTGCGTGGTCGCAGGTTTGTCAGCTTGCAGGGCTTATTTCATAGATTATTTAATATTAGATGTTTTGAAAATATTTTCTTTTCATAAAATTTGCTTTTGTATCTGGAAGTTACATTATGATTCAATGAAGGTAAGAGAGGAGGATGGAAATGGAGGGTAGAAATGAATGTATAACAGTAAAAGGTAAAAGGTCGAGTAGTCCAGTGTTGGAAGTAGTAAGTAAAAGGTTAGAGAGGGTTTAAAAGATAAAAAAGACTTATTCATATAAAAATAAATAAAAGAAAAGTAGGATTCCGTAGGAAGGTAATGTATAGAAAAGATGTATTGAATTAAATGAAATAATAAATTAAAATTGATGGAGGAAATTCCTTATATTTATTTAAAATATCCATTTCTATTTTCAGATTTTTTTCTGTTTTCGTATGGTTTTCTGTTTTCGGAAATATTTAATATATAGTATAATAGTAACGTTCAATATATCCTTCCGTTTCCGGACATTTTGGATTTTTAGAGTCTTTGTAAAATTTTAGTATTTTAAAATTTTTATAAATTTTTATTTATTCAAATAATTTCTATTTAGGAAGATAACAAAATTATTTGATTTGAATAATATTATAATATTATAGTTATATTATCATATCATTGTATTAAAAATATTATATTATATAATAGAGATTTATGATTAGAAGTTTTGTAAATTTTCATAACTTTTGGATTGGAGCTTAATTAAATTTTTATTTTTAAAGTTAAAAATAAATTATTTCTGTTTATATATTTTAACTTAAAATTAATTTTATATAGTAATACTATGGTTATGTTTTATATATAGATTAT